AGAGCTTCCAGTCGTACGGTATTGAAGTCTCCTCGTACCATGCTGAGATATGGACGCGTCCCTTGTAGATGATGAAGGGCGGGGTCGCGTACCCAGCAGCGCAGATGCTCTGCACGACTGTAACCCACTCGCGATCGCCTGGCTGGATCAAGTTTGGTCTTGTACGACGTTCTGAGCCTGTGACTACTTTCATTGAGCCAATGACGCCCATCTGGAAGCCTGTCTCATCAAAGTTGTGGATGTCGTCGTCTGCAATGCCATACTTGGCTACTGTCTCTCGGACGAGCGTGAACCACGCGCCGATAATCTCTGGATCTTCTTGGAGTATCCTCTGACGATCTTTCGCTCGGTTGAAGGCCATCTTAAGCTCCTCCGTACGCTGAACAAAGCGCTCTGCCCAGTTCTTGCCAACGGGTGTCCCACCACGTACAGCTAGTAATTTATCTGCGATATCTGCTACCTCTTGCAGCCGGGGGGCAAACCCTCGGGAATTAAGCTCAAGGATATATCGTACGATCGTTTGCTCCTCTGTTAAGGTAAGCTTCTGGATTCCAGGTCGTGTTTGGTGTCGATTTGTGATTCCGTGCAGCCGATCAGAGAGCCGCTGATGTCGTACGCTAAAGGCAGCAGCAGCGCGTCGCAGGGTCTGAAATTGGCCTGAGGTATAGGCCTGAAGAGCAAGATCAATTCTGCCTTCGTTGTACGATAAGTTAGGCTTCTTTTGAGATAGCATTGTAGTTCGTACATGGTGTTCGCGATGCCAAGAAAAAGTGGCCGGCTCACTGGGGTGGCCGGCTCACTGGTGCTTTACGTTATAGTAAACTACTTATTTAAGCACTAATATATAATCTCTTATAATAAAATAGAGGCTTCTAATATAGTATATATATTCCTAAACTATATCTAGTATAATTATAGCTTTTTTAATATAATAGTCTTAGACTATAGTAGATAGTTTATATCTACTTTCTATAATAAGCTAAATGCTTAACTAAGAATAGACCTACGCTTCTTAACTAGCTACTATTTTAAGATAGATAGATAAATAGAGAACGCTAATACTATAATAGAATAAGTTTTACGCGCGTATATAAACTATTAATAAGATAATTAAGTTTAATAGCTCTCTACTACTTAGTTTAAAGCTAATAATACTATCTCTAAGTCTACTAGAGTAACTCTAATAATAGCTTACTATAGTTAGAATCTCTAAATAGGCTTTAAGCTACCTACTAATAAGATATATTCTATTTACTAAGCTCTCTAAGCTTATAAGGTAAACGTAATAGTAGATAAAATATATAATATTACTAAGTTTATCTATAAAGAAATAATATAGGCTTAAGCTCTATAGTAAGAGTACGTAAACTATAAACACCTACTTACGCTAATATATAAAATTAGTAATAAAGTATAGTTAAACGCGCGTAATATCTAAATATAATAGGTATTTAAGAAGCTTAATTAGAAGAATCTTAGCCTATACTAAGTAGCTAAAAAGATCTCTTTCTATGCGTATTATCTTAAACTACCTAGTTCTATAAAGATATACTTAGTATTTTATATATTCTTACTTTAGTCTACTACGCTAAAATAGAAGTACCTACTAGAGTAACTTATTCTACTATCTAAACTTGTTATTATAGACAATAAAGAAGAATACTTTATAGAAAGTATTAGAGACCTCTATTATAATAAGCGTTATAGACAACATAAATACTATATTAAATAGATAGACTATAATAAAATAATCTAGAAACCTACTATAAACCTAAAAAATAACATAGCTATAGCTAGTTTCTATAAGAGGTTTTCTAATATCTTAGAGCTACCTAAAGTAAGGTAAAAGTAAAAGTAAAGTTCTTACTATATAGCCTAAAACTAATATAAAGCTAGCAACTAAACTACTATACTATATAATATAATCTCTACTTATAAGAGCTTAAGAGTAAGAGAGAGGTACTATTATAGTAACTACTATAGTTTCTCTAATACCTAAACATATAGATTTTAGATAGCTTGCTAGTCTACTTAAAATCTACTAATTAGCTAGCTAAGGCCTAAGCGCTGCGTATAGCTTTAGCTATATCTTTTACTACTTTATATTCTGCTCTGTTCTTTACGCAACGTCTTATATTACACTAGATATTGTACGTAGCTATAATTAACGCTTCTTGTAAGCTCTTAAACACGTGCTTATAGTGTCTTGTAACATTCCTTATATATAGTAGATTGCTTCTACTTTTCTTAGGTTCGTTATAGTAACATAGAAGTAAATAGAGTAATCTTTAAGTTAAACAAAGCTAGACAAGATCTGTTTATATAATCTAGGAGTGTGTTACAGATTTGTTTATATAGTAGATATACCTGCATTACAAAGTCGAAGTGGTACATCTGGGCACACCCGATGTTGAACCTCATTCCTCCATTTGTGTGCCGTGCTTCAGCCTCGAATGCTTGATACTTACTCCTCTTGGTCTACGTTCTCGTCCACGCCATACTCTTCGACAATCCAGGCACAATATTTCTCCCACTTGCTAACCCATTCCTTCAATCTTTGGGCCCGTACGCCCTTGCCAAACATTCCATCCTTGATATCTTGGGTCCATTCCTTTGCACTGTAATCATCCAGACTAGCCCAACGCACGCTGTTCTCTGCCAATGAGCCCAGCCCTTCGAGACCAAGGTTCTCCCATCCCTGCAGCGCTTGCCAGAAGTCGTGCGACATGCCAGATACGCCTTGGCCGAGGATGGTGGGATCGTCATTGCAGAGCGAGCAGGGAACACCACGGGCTAGCAGCGCTGGTAGGGGATGTGACATAATGCTCGAACAAAGCCGTAGCACTTCATTGGATACCGGGCAACTCTCCACCAAGATCCTCTTCTCCTTGACCATGTCGATGAGAAGGGGATGTTTGTAAAGGCTGAACCCGTGTCCTATGCGTCGCGTACCCAAGATAATAGCGTCGAAGAGATTCTCATCCGTCGAATCGCCGTCGCCCAGCGTTTCCCCAGCATGGAAAAAGAACGGTATGTCAACGCCTTCCTGAGCGCAGGCCTTGCGAAACCAGAAAAGCTCGGGGGCAAGGTCCGAAAGTGGTCGGCCAAGATCTTCCTGGCCTACGAGATCGTACCCGGCAATAATCTCGGGGAACTCGATTTTCATCTCGATACATTGCTTCATGCCTGGCCGACGGTTAATAAGGTAATAAAAGTCTCTCCAACGCATTGATTGAAAAACGTATGAGTGGTGCGCAACTTACTCTCGATCACCTGCTTCTTTCCGAATTGTCTGATGGTCGTCCAGATCATTCTGGCGCCCCAGAAGTCTTTGCCCTCTTCACTCGCCTTGAACTTCTCAACTTCATCCGCCAAATGCTCGAGCAAATTGAAATGGTCCGAGTCCCAATCCTCCTTCTTGCTGCTGCGGTAGGGCGTATAGAACGCTGCACGCAAGTCAACGTAATGTACACCGTCGTCGACCAGGGCCTTGCACATCCTGCGTACAAACTTGCGGAAGATGGGCTCATAGTAGATGAGGGAGCCGAGAATAGGAAAGCATGAAATGAACTTGCGCCATACTTCGTTGGGGCCTTCGTGATGGGAGAGGTGTTCTGAATGGGTGATAGTGACGCGGGAGCGAATCCACTCGATGAATGCTTTCTTGCCACCATCTGGGAAGGCATCTGCGGCTTGATTTACGGGCACCGGCGTGTTCGCCGTGTAGTTATCGTTCCATATTGAAGCGTCACCGTTCGCGTCCTTGTAGTAGGTGAAGGAGAAGCCGGTTTTGCGCCTGGTTTTGTCGTCGGTGACTGGGCCATCGGCAACAATGCAGACACCCTCAGTGTTGAAAGCTTCTTCAAGCGCCCAGTCAAGGTCCACCATAGCTTCCAGATGACAGTGCAAGAGTGCGCCTTTGGGCATTCTCTTGACTATCTGCCACAGCTTGCTCTTCTCCATGCGCTCCTTGGCAAGTGAGAACATCATGCCTGGAAAGACATCGACATGTTCGGTTAGTAGGCTGTCTTCGTATTCCTTTGTCCAGAGGGTCTGTTGCTCCTCAAATCGAATCTGGGAGACGATGGCGCATGCTTCTTGTGCCATGGGCGAGAGATTCTGGCGGAAAAGATAGTCTGGAGGCTGTTAGGTCAGTGCACATAATGTGCAGAAGCGAACAATTTTGGTTCACGAACCACTTCGTTGTCTCTTCTCTTGCTGAACCAGAGCGTCTCGGCCCTGTAGGTACTGTTGGATAAATGGGTCGCTTAGGTTCGGGACGCCTTCGGCCTGCGCCCACTCGTCGTCGTTCGCAGCATCGTTAGTAGTCATGATAGTGACTGTGTTTGCGCTTCAGGATAACGAACGTCTGGTGAAGGAAATGTTGTTCGCAATTTGTTGCACGAGTGTCAGACGCCGCCCTATCGGTGACTTCCGCGAGTTCCTTCCTGAACGGAGCTAGTGAATGCTGACGTAACAGGGTCTAAATCGTGCCAAGAGTGGCGAGATATGGACGCCTGCACGTATTACATGTACCAGCAAGGGCGTGCGGGAACACAGGGAAGATGTCTTTCACTCCCTGGCATGTGAAGTTCAAGCCGCACTGCAAATGCCACTATTGTCACATTCACAGCACGCGCTCTTGACGCGTTGGGGCTTTGCTTATCGATTGCCTAGCGCGCGCTGGTGCATGCGCGGGGCGAGCTGCACGGTCGCCTGCAATGGCATAACACATCATCTGCTCTCCATAGCACCGCAACCTCGACGCTAGACGGCGGAACCTCGCCCTGTGATCACCCACGTCTTTTGTTGCCACGCGAACACACACCTTCACTAATCCCGTTGCTGATGCCCCTACAGTACCGCTTTTCCTAGATCCGGGATCGTTCATACTTCACATCCGTGGCTGGTGAAGCAACAAGACTTGGCAGGCACCACTGTGCATCGCTTCACAGGTAGGAGAAGGCCTCTCGCGCTTCGTAGCTGTTATACGCGCCACCAACACGCACGCTCTGCTATCCATGGAGCCTCTTCCCTCCCGTCGATAGGCGTTCGACCAGCCTGCAACCAACGCGTCCCCCAACCCGGCCGCCAGCCTCTCCACCGCCATGGCTTTCTTCTCTGCGCTCTCGAGCTCTATAGGCCGGAAACTGCTTCTCTATGGGTTGCGCCACATCGACATACTTGACAAAGACCCTGCCGACTTCGTGAGCGTCGATATCGGGAAACGCACCACACTCGAGGTTCGGGACGTCGGGTTGCATGTCAAGGTACGTCCCGGAGACGTCCATTACGGTGCACCTAGTACTAATACCATATTTTAGAAGCTGCTAGCACTATTGCACCTCACGCTTCCTCCCGAGACCCAGCTGTTGAAAGCGCAAGCCTCGCTCCTCCGAGTTACCTTCGTCCTCGAATTCGGCGTCCCCCAGATATCGATAGAGGTACATGGCATACGAGTAGAAGCTCGGTTGACTGAGGATGTCGAAGGTACCTCTCCTTCAAATCCTCGTCAGCAGCACACTCAGACGCGATCTTCGCCACCTCCAATGGCCGCTTCGCCATCCTCTGCCCAAAACAACCAGTACAGCTATGGTTCAGACGATGACGATGACTACCTGCCGACCGTCGACGAGCTGGCCAAGTCATTCATAAAGACGGAGCCTGCCGACGAAATCCGCGAGCTGCAGCATGAGCTCGAGTCTCAACCTACGTATATGCAAGAGTCGGTCGCATCAAGTGACGATGGCGAAGAGGCTTCTGCTGGTATTGGAGCGCCTCTGACACTCCCAACATATCTTCGCAATATGTTGAATACCGCCTTAGACCGTCTAAGCATAGTTGTCAACAACATCGACATAGATGTGGAGGATCACTTCCCGAACGATGCCCTAGACTCGTCAAAGTCAAGCGAGACCTCATCTTCTTCTCTCAGCTTTCACGTTGAGCGTATAGCGATTGATTCGACCACTGCCAAAGACGTTTGCGTTGAGGCTGGGTCTGCAACATTGCCTTCCGCCAATTCGAAGCTAGGTAAGCGAAGGATGCGTGTGGAAAACATCTGCGGGCGCCTAGTGTCTGATGTCAAAAACTTCGTATCCCAATATCAGTTCTCGCAGCCGTCATCTCCGGCTACGTCTCGATCCCAGGCGTCAAGTAGCCATGCAACCACCAGCGATCCTGCGACGAGTCAAGTTCAAGACCAGCCTGTTGAGTCTAGGCAATTCATGAAAGAGGAAATGATAAGCTCGACAACATTGCGGAGCGATGAGGAGGCGTTATCCAGCCAGATCGTTTCGCCAACACAAGTTCAAATTGCCATCTGTCACGGGAAAGCTGCGTCACCCGAACGTTCTATGTCTCCGGACCAAGCACAGCTAGCATTATCGCTGCAAACAATAGACCATGATCGTTTTGCAGACGCTACTTCCGATGATGGCGTAAATGATCAACATCCACAGCTCTCACTCGGCCAGTCTCAACAACATTACCCATTACCTGATCTTGGCGGGAGTAGTGTATTGTATGACGACGAGGGCTTGCTTGACTACGCGATGCAGAACAACATGGTCAATTCACATCTTGAGGATGCGCCAGAGATGGAACAGTCATCGGAAGCGGCGACGTGGGGGCTAGACGGTGCAAGCTCAAGTCGACATACTCATATCTCCGAAGCCGCTAGTGATGCATCCATGTTAGGTTTACCCACTGTGTCTGTTCTGGGCCGCTCCTTACCAGTCTCGAATGCGATCGACTCACCGTCTCAATCGGAGCATGTCGAGGCACCCCACATTAGTATTGATAATTTAGCTGCGGCACATGAGTCAACAACGGACGATCCTCAGGAGCTCTCCGACAGCGCGCATCAGCACCTTGATTCATCGCCATCACCAGATGAAGACATGGCTCAGTCACGGTTTTTCACGCACGATGAGGCTGAAAGTATGTACATGAGCGCAGTGAGTGCGACGCAGGCCATTTCTGCTCATGCTGGGCACGTTCCCGGAGGCTGGGACTCTTCGTCAGGCTCAAGTAAAGACTCCAGCTCCGATAGGTCGGAACCGATACCAGAGGACATGATCTCCGGTAGCATTTTAGCGCCGTTGCCGGAAGTAGAAGATGGATGCGAGACTCCACGTCCGGGGAGCCGCCAGAGCTCGGTCTTGCCGCCAAGACCCGAGCTTACACAAACCCCTACGCCTGTCGCGCCGGGTCCTCGAAAACAAGCCAAACGATTTCTCACTATAGATGAGATTACTGTGTGGTTTCCCATGGCCCTCGGTGATAAAGAGCATAGTGATGCAACAAGCGAGCAAGTCGATCATGGGGCAGGTATGGCGTTTGGGCCTTCCAATTTGGGTGAAGATTCCATTTTTACGGAGATGCCAGGGTCGTTTTCCAATTATGCACATTCTTCTTCACACCGTCGAAAGCCCTCACTGGAAGCATCGTCTCGCGGAAGACCTATTCCCAAGTCCTTACAAGCGTCCCGGCCATCAGTGCAGCCTGCGTCAACAGGCGTGGCTTCGATTATTGTCGACGTCGGCTCCGTAGTCGGTCATATGGACATATCCACTGGCCGCGTCATGGCTGCTATGTTTGCTCGGGCAATACAAGCTCTGACGGGGGAACAGCCCTCAGACGAAAGACCGGTGAAATCGGAGCCCACGGATACTTTGGAATCGCCTTTCACAAGTCTTGAAGTTTCCGTGCAGGGCATCGCTCTGTCGTGGTTGGACCACGTCTTGGCGGAATCTACGCAGGAAGAGCCTTTTGCAGAGCACCAACTGGAACCTCAACCTTCGGACGCAATATTGAGAGCCAACCTCTCAGCGATACACCTCAACTGTCAGAAGTCTTCCCATACTTCGCGAATGCAAATCCATATTGGCAAATTTAAACTAGCATCTTTGGATCACGACATCATTTCCTTCCACAGCTCGCGGCCGAAATCCAGACGCTCGGTCAATGCTCCGCTGGAACACCCCAATCACGATATAGAACTGGACTATGAGCAGGGGAAGGACGATCGCATCACTATCGTCACTCGTCCCCTCAATGTTGTGTTCGACATCCAGAAACTGGACGACGCGCTGGGCTCCTTTGGTGGATTCAGCGGCATGTTAGAGCTGAGCAACTCCATCAACTCTAGTAGCGCGGTTGCAAGTCCTGCCATATCCCCAGCACATTGTCGGCCTCGCGGTGTACATTTTGGTGATGGCCTACCTCTCCCGGTCGAAGAACCGCCACCATCCACGAAATCTCCGAAGATCGACGTACAACTCGGTGAGGTATCTTTGACCCTCAGGGGGAAAACATGCTCTATGCAGCTTCACACGACAACGGTACGCATTGCTGTACGGCAAAGCAATGTGCGCCTCAAAGTATCCGAGACACAGCTGACTGGCCCCTACACCGAGGTCGTCCCAAAGACTGCACCTTTCCTTGGAGAACTGAAAGGCACTGAAATCAATTTTCTCTTTGCTCCCGAGGAAAAGGATCTGACTAGGCTAATATCCTTGATCACGCCATCAAAGAACCCATACGAGAACAACGACGACATTCTCATCGAAACCCTGCTACGTCAGCGGAAGAAAGGTTCCGTTCTCCGAGCTGAAATTGCTGAAATTGGTGTTCATGTCTCAGATCTTGAACACATGAAAGCCTTTGAGACTCTTGGGATAGAGCTGGCTCGATTGTCGAAGGTCACCAAATACTTGCCAGATGACGATCGTCCCGGCCTTCTAAGTCTCGCATCGGTGAAACGGCTGGATGCCCGCGTCACTGTGAATGATAAACTTGGAGATGTCTCAGTCATTTTGCAGGAATCTGCATTAGCACACGTCGGAGTTCCTGCTTTGCTGGCTGTTGAAGTTGGCAAAGCGACTGTTCGGCGCAACGACGAAGTATTGGTCCAAGAAGTTGTGAAACTACGCTCGTCGGAACAACTACCCGTCATCATGCTGAGGATGGTGGGCGATGAGATGGAACCCATGGTGAAAGTCAAGTTATTCAACCTATGCATTGAATACCGAGTCAGCACAATTATGGCAGCACTGGGGATTGCTGAGGATGGCACGGTAGATGATCTGGCTCTAGGCCTAGCGTCGAGCGTCGCAACTGTCACAGGCGCATCTTCTCCTAAGACTGTCAGTCGACAATCTTCCCAAGCGAGTTCGCCAGTTACAGCCGTCTCTCAGCCGCTTCAGGTCGATCTTCTGCTGAGGGATTGCGCAATCGGTCTCAATCCTCGGAAGTCACTCTCGAAGGGTCTCTTTGTCCTCACGGAAGCGCACGTTGCGGGTAAGCAAGCAAAGAACGACTACTCTGTCACGGTCGACCTGCGCAAGGCTTCAATGCATGCTATAGATGACATAGCACGCCTAGAAGAAGACCACGGGCCTGTCTCGACTGTACCCACTACCAATGGCCACTTATCTGGACTGAAGAACTTGGGCTATGTGTCTCTAAGTTCGATTTCGGCCGCAAAGATATTTGTTAAGATTGGAGGTGATGGACAGGAACACCCACAGCTAGTGGACGTGGAGTTCAAGAATGAGCTGTTTGTTATTGAGTCTTGCGCAGATTCTACACAGACGCTCATCACAATTCTGAGCGGTCTACAGCCCCCAACGCCACCCTCGACCGCAGAACAATATCGTACTATCGTACCACTACAGCAAATGATGGAGTCGTTCACTGGCGATGAACTGGGGCAAGACGAAGAAGCCGAAACCGATGACTTCATGAGCAATGCTGACTTGATTGAGGATGATCTGCCGACGAATCTTGCTTTCGTTGGGGGACTCTACAATTCACAATCCTTACCGACTGATGAGGAACTGGGCGACAGCCTACTGGGTGAAGAAGATCTCAGCGCTTTGGCTACACCGCCTATAACTCGCCAACGTGGTGATCGAGCTCTCCTAGAGAGCTTCCAGGAGAAGCATGAAGTCACTCAAGGAGAAGAAGACTTTGATTTCGACGACGAATACTTCGGAGAGTCAAAAATCGAACCTAAGGGTAAAGCTCGTAAATGGGATTCTGCCAAGAACCAATATCATCCATCCAATGAGTTCAAGGTTGCAGACGCCCCACTAAAGGTACGCGTTCGCGACGTCAACATCATCTGGAACTTATACGACGGCTATGACTGGCCTCGAACACGGAGTGTTATCAGCCAAGCCGTGGATGACGTTGAGGCTCGCGCCGAAGAGCGACGGCATAAGGGACGAGAAGAGGAAGATGACGATGACTTCGTTGAGCAAGACTTCCTTTTCAACTCCGTTTGGATTGGTGTGCCTGTGAAGGACGAGAAAGGAGCCCTAGCTCGACGTATCAACCATGATATTGACGATCTTGCCAGCGAGACGGGCAGTTACGCGACGTCGACGGCGACACGCTCGACTGGAGCTACTTTACGGCCTCGAAGTACTACCAAATCCAGGCGTCGTCTCAAGCTCGAGCGTAGTAAACACAAGAAGATTGCATTCTCCCTCAGCGGGGTCGCAGTCGACCTTGTCGTCTTTCCACCGGATACAGGCGAGACAGTCAATTCTGTGAATGTCCGCGTACGAGATCTAGAGGTTTTCGATCACATTCCCAGCTCTACCTGGAGGAAATTTGTCACGTGCGCAATCGATCCGGCGAAGAGAGAGCTCATTCGTCCAATGATAAATCTTGAACTCAACACAGTTAAGCCGATCACTGATCTAGCGGCTTCAGAGCTCGTCATTAAAGTGAGTCTTGATGCATGATGAACATCCCAGCTCTTGCTAATTTGATCATCAGGTGACTATCCTTCCGCTCCGCTTGCATGTCGACCAAGACGCTTTGGACTTTATCACGCGTTTCTTTGAGTTCAAAGATGATTCCGCGCCCGCTAGCAGCCCGGCTGGTGACCAACCTTTCATTCAGCGATTGGAAGTGATGGCGGTCAAGCTGAAGCTGGACTACAAGCCAAAGCGCGTGGACTATCGCGGCCTCCGGTCCGGCCACACAACGGAGTTCATGAACTTTCTCGTCCTCGACGGCTCGGACATCACCTTACGCCATGCAATCGTGTACGGAATCACATCGTTCGACAAACTTAACAAGACTCTCAATGACGTTTGGACACCGGATGTCAAGGATAATCAGTTACCGGGCGTACTATCGGGTCTGGCAGCCGTGCGACCTCTTGTGAATGTCGGTTCCGGCCTCAAAGACCTCGTCGTTGTGCCCATACGCGAGTATAAGAAAGATGGTCGGATCGTGCGCAGTCTGCAGAAGGGTGTATACGCATTCGCTATAAACACAACGTCAGAGGCAGCACGTCTGGGTGCGAAGGTGGCGATCGGCGCGCAAACCTTCCTGGAAGGCGCTGAGGTATTCTTCAACCCAGAGACTGCCTCATCTAGCCGCCATCAATCTTCTGATTGGGATGGGGAAGACCCTAGTTCCGATACAGAAGAGCCACGCGCCGTATCGAACTACGCCAATCAGCCTATTGGTGTGGGCGCTGGTCTTCGCAGCGCGGCCCGACACTTCGAACGCGACTGGCTCACTGCACGGGACGCGGTAATCGCAATTCCTGCAGAGGTTATGGAAGAGGGTAGCGGTACGGGTGTTGCAAGGGCCTTGCGTCGACATGGACCGACTGTCATCTTGCGACCTGCACTCGGTGCCACGAAAGCGGTGAGTAACACGTTGCTAGGCGTAGGCAACGCGCTTGATTCCGGATCGAGGCGTAAGATTGAAGACGTAAGTGGTGCCACTCTACTAGTGATGTGGACAGAACTAACATTCGTGCAGAAATACAAGTCGTACTAGCGACTGGTCGTCGTTAACACGAGTATCAGGCCAAGGAATTTGTTGATTAGCAGGCCATCTCTGATAAGGGAGGTTCATTCTTCTACATGTGTTTTCTTTTCACTTTTCATTAGAGCGTTTGCATAGCGACGGACGGAGTTTGGTTGATGAAGGCGTCGCATTTCCAGCCTTTTGCTATGCCGTCAGCATTGGGCGGGGCGTTGTCACACATTTGGACAATTTGATCTTTCGCTGGATACCACTTCATTTCCTTTAGCGTGTATCATAATAATAGATTACAAGCCGCAGAACATGCTTTGTGTACGACACCGTCGCCCATTCCTGTATATTTCCCCAAAGGCTCCCACTCTGACTTTGTCTTTCCCGTTGATCAAGAGTCTCCCAGGCCCGAAACTCCGTTCTTCTGGTACCAAGGGCGTAATTATGCCCTAGATAGATGAATACCTAGTGATGCATCTCTGCTACCGAATTAACAGCGTCATCTTCAGACTAGCCTGTCCCAAAGCCTGTTCCCCGTCCCATTGTGCACGCCGTCTCTTCTCCACCTCGCGGGCGGCACGTCGGTCTCGAAGGGGCAGGGCATCGATCAGGTCGTCTTCGCAGCTACAACGTGTCATTTCGCAAAATTTTTCATTTTCGGAAGAATCCATGTTGATCAGGAAGTCGCCCTTGTGACGGGAGATGTTGAGACTCATGGTGCCGTTTTTGGTACTTCATCTGAACGTGGTTAGCTACCATCGAAGCTTCCGAGTGCGGGAAGGCATCACGCACGCGAAGACTCTCAGTGAATTGGGGGTAATTTAGCTCAAAGCATTGTTCGGTCTTGTATCACCCTGGTTTGAGATTGTGGTTTTGGTTGGGATGATAGTAAAAGCTTTGAGATGTTTCGGTGGGTGATTGAATTGCGATCAGGTGGTTCAACTGCGAATTTGATCGTAGCCAGGTTCGTATGCCGTTGGACGCGTAGAGATGAGGACACAAAGGATATATGTGGAGGGGCGGCCTCAATCGCCGCTCAAAATTGACCGCAGCTGGGCAGTCAAGGTGCATGAACTTCGCCACGTTTGTGTGATCGGCACCATAACTGGATGGGTTGAGCTCAGCCGAGCGTTAACTTGCTTCTCGACATATTTGTCGAATTACTTGCGTGTTGATAATGATCGCTTCGTCTGGCCAGTTTACTCCACTTTGCTAGTTGATCGCTTTGCGAACTATACATCATTAACTGGGTATAGCACATGATATCGGATCAGTCCGGTGAACGCTCTGGCACACCCTCAAAATTGATGGCCCCAAGTACTTCGCCTTTTGTTATCGAGCTCGCAGACGTCAGAAATGGCCATCCGTCGCTGTCCAAATGGATCGCTCGAGATCCTAACGATAAGCCGCTTGTTTCACAAATTCGGGGTACTTGCAGCGCGCGGTATATTGTCGCTGCAATGTCGGATGATGACACTCGAAGACGAGATCGAAGTTCTGGAATCTAAGATCAGGCATTCCGCCTATCTGGACACCCGCTAGCCGCTTCAGCGGTGGTAGGTCCTGTGTGAAAGGGTGACGCCCAGTCTGAACAGCCTCGAGCTGCAGCTGGAAGTCACACTCAAAGATTTGCAAAGAGCTCTCAAAGAATACTGTTGGTCTCTTCGTCATATCCAGCGCTGCATGCTGACACGTGGGTCCGACGAAGCCCTTATCTTGCGCGCTTGAGTCGCCCAACTCGGTAAACCCAGCCAACGAATCTTGACTACCTACACTGACTACCTTAACAAATCCGCAATCGAGAATATGCCTATCTCCTCGAGGAAGCTGATATTTGGTCGCGCAAGCAAGTTTCTGGAAGACACAAAAGACCTCGTTGCTCCTCAGAAGCCTTCAAATCAAGATTACCTGTCTCGTTCGCTGAGAAACCACTGGCTCTTCACCAAACATTCGCCAAGCGAGGAACTCGATAGGTCAAACGTATACAATGACACACTTGTAGCACAGGTTGTGGCTGCCATAAGCATGGCGCTTGCTGCAGTCTTGCTGATCGGCGCGATCATGAGCAACCCAAACGCAAAGCTAGAGCTCATAGCCGTATACACATTGATGTTTGCACTGAAGTGTGAGGCTTTGCACGAACGCAGGACGAGCAGAAGTCTTCGCTGCCACTGCTGCGTACGCTGTTGTTTTGGTAGGTCCGTTTCGCCCTCCATGAGATCTTCTTACCTCTGCTAAATGTGCGCAAAGTGTTTGTGAGCGGTGATATCAGTGGCGGCAATAGTGAATGCTTTATACAGCTCGAAGGAGGACTCTGGAAGACTGTGACCTGTCCCAAATAGGTGGAGACGATTATCGGGAGCGAAACGAGCATTGGCCGGTGTTTGGGCTGATAGCGGCATCCTAGCAACCAGATATTCAGGCATATGTGACTACGCATATGCTTCATTGGAATGCAAGCCGTAGCCTTCCGACGTGTCCAGCGTCCAGTAAGACCCTGGAATCCAAATTGAGATCTGACAGGCGCGCACGTGCCAAGACGCGAAAATTGTGCCATCAACATACCCAGATAAGAAGCGTGTTCGCACATTTCGCCATCCAACGCTTTATGACATTAGTTTCGGCAGCGCGTAACGTCGCGTCACTAAAAGCGGGCGATGCATACTTGAGTGGAACAACACCAAGAAGAAGATTACTCATCCCGAGGCTGTCCAGATACCATATAACAGGAGCCAGATTGCGCACGCCCACGCTGTATGCAGCTACCCAAACCCAATACTCTATCACTATCACGTTGCACAAATGTACGCTCGAGACACGCCTATCAAGATCAATCAATAGGTCGCTTGAGTTCATTAATATCGGGACGCTGTCCGAAGCCGGAGACGAATTTCTGTGGACTCGATCGTGAGGTATGGTATCACAAGTTCATTTAGAATCATCATTGCTTTGATCGCCTTCTCAGTGTAACTCTAGTAAGTATACCTGAAGCCCTTCTGGTCGCCGTCCTGTGCGCACGTTAATGTATTGCCATATGAGTAGGAGATTGGAAACATACATCGTTGTACTCTAGTTCGAGCTCGCCACGGTCCGCACGCTTGTTCAAGCTCCACGATCTCAATGTTATGAGAATTACGATGACGATCGTGAGCAGACAGCATGCGATGCAGGCATACAGTCCTGGCTCGTACCCGGGCTTGTCTTGTTCCCTACACGACATTAGAATGGCACGGTCGATAGAGTGTAACTTGCAGGTACATACCTGAAAACGAGACCTCCAGCGATACCACCAACGCCACCCATACCAACCAAGACGGCAGAACAGAACGCGCGCTTCCACTGGCCTCTGATGTTGTTGGCCTGGTATGACATTGTCGCAGGAATATTGCTGTTTGCGCCAGCGGTGGTCAAGAAAACGCCAAAGTATCTAACGTTCGAGTTGGCATGGAAACCCATGATGGGCAGGCCGACGAGGCAGAGAACCATGTTGAACAGGATGATGGGTCCGCGAAGGTGATATTTGTCTCCAAGCCAGCCGGTGGTGTACATGACGATGGCGGCGAAAGCGTAGGGAGGAGCAACCAGGCACTGGGCCGCGCCAGTGCTGAAACCCATGTTTCCTGTTAGGATGATGGGCAGGAAGTACGCCAGGGCGTATGTGACCGTCGTGGTGTTGAAGAAGATCTATACCCGTCAGCGAATGGGAGATTAAAGGTCATCTTGGGGCTTACCATCGCGAAACCCCAGATCTTGATGTCAGCGCCACCCTTGAAAAACTTGGCCATGGACCATGGCTCTGGCTTGGCATCACCACGGTCCTTGTTGACACGGTCGATGATGAACATGGCCTCACGCTCAGTCAAGAAGTTCCAGGACTTGTGGGCCTTGTCAGGGAAATCTACCAGAGCCCAGTAACCGACGATACCAAGGAAGCAGGTGAGCGCGCCTTCAATGATGAAGATCCCTAATTCGAAAGTGTAACGTCAGCATAGTCTCATTGCAAGGCGTATCCGGCCGATGACTTACAGCGCCAACCGTTCAGACCCTGCTGTCCCTTCAGTTGCATCAAGCCGTAAGCAAGAATACCGGCGCAGGCAGATGCCAAACTTCCAAGGATGTAGAAGCATGAGTATCGCTTTCCGATATCGAATCGGGTATCTGAGAGGGGTCTTAGCAAATTGTGACGATCCAAGAGCCGGCATGTGCTTACACCAGGTGGACAGCAAGTAGACACAGCTCGGGAAAAAGCCAGCTTCTAGGACTCCCAGGATGACTCGTAGCGCGGACAGGGTACCGTAACTATCAGCAAAGCCCATGCCAATCATGACACCGCCCCACAGCACAACGATAACCGATAGGAAATTGCGAGGTCCAAGATAACGGCAGATGACTGTTGCGGGGGGTTGAAAGATGATGTAGGAGGCGAAAAATACGATGGTGACGATGGAGTAGTGAGAAATCGAGCCCTCTAGGAGGAAGAGCTTAAGGTCAACGGTCATACTAGTTGCTGTTAGTCCTGGTAACGCGCAGTTCCGCACGTGTCGTTCACGAACCCTGCAATGGCAGCGGCACTGAGGTTGGTGCGGTCCATCAGACTGATGCAATAGAGCACTCCCACGGTCACAACGAGGCGTCGGTCGATGCGATGAATGATCTTCTTCTGCTCGCGCTCGCTGAACTCGCACTCGTACCCGGAGCCGTCCTGGGAGCCGTCGACATTCTCCCTAAGAGAGACGGGTCTCTTCTCGAACGCGTCGTCGTCACGCATGACAGCCACTTGGTGAGCCATGTTGGGGCGCGTAGGGTAGACGTCGACCTCGAGGGCAGTAGGAGGTGAAGGTGGGTAGTCCGGGTAGGAGCATGGTAGGCGCACACGATAGACGCGTTATATGTCAAAAAGCACCTGCCGTTTGCCTCCCCGCCTGCCCGCTGCCAAGTGAAGTGGGCGTGTTGGGAACGCATCCCGCAGGCAAAGTACCGAGGCTCGGGGTTTCACCACTCATTCGTCCAGCGTGTGGATACTCTTCGAGTACAGCACGATGCCATCAGCAGCAAAGCAGGCCACCCGCGGGAAGGAGCGAAAAAGCGAGGGCGATGAAAGCTGGGGAGAGGCTTGGCGTGTGGAGACCCCGCATGCTAGCGAAACCCGCCGTGGCTTCCGGATCCACTAACACGCCGAATGACCTACGAGTGAAGCCTTCTCGTGAGCCGGCCGCCTGTTCTTATCGTCCGCCATGGCGAAGCTACTTCGAGGAACGAGAGCTGAAGATTCGGCAAGGCCCGACTGGCGTGCTTTTCTTTGTTCGACCTCACGTTGTGCGACCCATCTGTCAAGCGATCGGCGTCGCCACGTTTCCACGACACGCGCGGGGTAACCGGGCACGTTCCTGACGCTGGAGGAACTCCACATGGACACATTTCACCTTTCAGACTTGTCCCAGGTGGGGGACTGCTCCGACCTGCTTTGCGGCGCGTGTGGTTTCAAGCCGCATTGAAGCTTAGGGCATTGGCACTGATATCCCGTTCCAAGCCTCCGGCGCCTTGGCAGGCTCTTGTCGGCGTCATTCTGATCATTCTCGCGATGCTTGACGCTGAGGAAGATTTCCTTGCAGACGCTTGCGGCACGCCTACCTCCGCGCGAGACCCGGGTAGCCAGCGACTTGGACTGCGGCGCAAATCCAGGAGTCTAGCATTGTATCAGCTCAGCAGAACTGCTCTAATATCTAAAGAGACACATCGAAATTCGGTACAGCAGCCGCGAATGTGTGGGGCTTTGGCGAGAAAATGACGCCGCATGGAATACCACACAACCGAAAGCGTAACCTTCAGCACATCGACTCGCTTATTGACAGTGCCTCTAGTCTAGACCAGTAGAATCCACCAATCTTGTCCCGAACCTGCCATCATCACAAGCGCCTCGCCTATGACTCCTTCACTATCCGTCGCTAGACTCAACAACAAGGGATGCTGTGCATGTGTCCACGGGTGCGCACCATAACAAACGTGGCATGATCACACCACTTGACATCTACGCTCTGCACGAGATAATTTCACCATTGCCACTCTCTTGTAAGTAAGGGGATGTTGCTTCCCGAGTGTTTGACCCGAATGCCGATTAGAGTTACGAGCCCCAATCATGGATACCAGTTGAGAATATACGCAACGTACCTGAGGAATATGCTTCTCTTGTATCTACAACATATATGTCTTCCTTGCAATGTCTATTTCACCATTCAATGGAAACCATATCTCATGCACCCATAACCAGGAGCTCGGAACATGGCGATCGTTGCATAGTAACCCGGTGCTTGGGAGCCTAATCGGTAACCTTCCCAAGACTCTGGCTTCCCAATAAATTATCCAATCAGCATTAGGTTCCTACTCAAATGACCGAGGCTATCATGGATCTGACTTCGCAAGCCAACGACACTAAGATCTCAGCTTCGCAGATGCATCCATCAGGCGTGCCGCGAACACAATGTTGTGTGGCTCATAAGTCCTCAACACCACCAGACCTAGGTAACTCGTATACTGTCACCAATCGCGGCGCATGCATGAAAAGAACCGAGGCATTTACGATGTTCCCGCGTGGCATCTCAACACTTCTCGTGAGGCACCTAAACATAAAAAAATCCAAGAACCGCATTTACACCATCGATATTGGAAGCGCACGATTCTACCAATGAGCTGGCTTGGAACCGAACAAGTTCCGAGGCAACGCGCCGTCAGATCCAACGGCCAAGGAACGCCGTACACATCGACATAAGCCACAGAAGTTGCAGTTGGCGGATAGATAGGTCTAGACATTGGCAAGAAAAAGACTCGGCTTCGCTTCGCATGATGAATGTGTAAGATCGCTAAATCAACATTTCTCTAGTTTCACATTACACATGACCTCCAGGCTTCGCGTCAATCCAGAATCTTGGTTTAGCTGTGCGGTTGGCATCGGCCTCGCGAAGTGAAGATGTGTTCTATTGGGTTGTCTCCCTCTACCTTCTTCCCCGTCTCTGTGGCGAGTAATTTGCTGAAGACTGCCTCCACGACTTGGAGAACCTCACGCCGGGACATGTTCTCGAACTGCGTTGGACCTTCATCGTCTTCGCTGGCGGCGCGTATGCCTCGCGGTTCGTCCAGTTTGTGATCCTTCAGCTCATCGAACGCTTTTTTGACGCCTTCGCTCTCCCAGAATCTTGTTGTACGGTGCTGGAGGTCTTTCCAGTGCTCCAAGTAGCCGAGGTACCAGCGTCGTCGCGCGTCGGCGGGTAGGAATAGCGGAGAATCGCTTTCTGGTTCAGGCAGCTGATCTGTACTGAAAGGCTGTAACACCGCTGATCTGATGGCGGAGGTCTCCATGCCGAAATAAAGAGGTGGATTGAATAGCGATGGAAGTGGTAACGACAGATGCTGTGCACTGCGAACTGGAGGTGGCGAGGTGCTCGAAGTTACCATCTGAGGTACGCGGCATGATGAGGCCGTAGCTACCCCGAGAAGAGAAGCTGCTCGCGATTGCTACATTGTGGGTCTGATGTTTCTACCTTGGATGGTCCTCGGGGCAACATGGTAGCCACGCTGGATATGTGATTACTCTCACTCTCCTGGAGCCCGCATGTTCCTCATGGGAAATCGATTGTAACGATACCGGGCATATTCCCCACTCTCGTTAATCCATTGTCACCTAAGCAGGCAGTGAGGGAGAATGTAATTCTGCACAGCCCCCTACAATGGCATCAACGGCGTCTAAAAAACATGTCATCGATATGGGCGCTCAATAAGATTATGCTGACCTGAGAAAATAAAGCTCTAAGGTTGACATTCTGTCGACGCAAATCTAGGAGCAATCAATCCTGAGAAGATTAGATGGAGAAATGCACGGGCAGCAGCCATCGTAGACGGTTGCTGTACAGCCTTTTGCGGCTGATACGTCGCCGAGACTGAGTATATGAGAGTAAGTCAAGCGACATATAAAGCGGTAGGCAAAGTCTGAAGTTTGGTGTTGGCAGCGAATATCGCATAGGGAAATGGGGTGAGGCATGGTAACTTTAGCCGAAGTCGAGCCGTCCCACTATGACAACATCGTGCCGAACTCCACCTCAACATCCCAGCTTGCGCTGCCATACATCCTGTTTACAGCATCATCCCACAGCATGTCTCCCACGCGCGTTGATCACGTCGCCCATGCGACACCCACTCTGATTAATCGTCTACCTACTTGAACAACACAATGTACGCACTGACGCTAGCCGGCATCCCCATCTCCATTGGCGCCAACGAAGCGGTGCACCAACAGCGGCTGCTGGACGAAGAAGCGGAAAGTGATGAGCGCCAAGAAGAGTTCTATATAGATGTATTCTGTGATGCGAAGAGTAGGAAGAGGGACGAGGTGGACGGCGCGATTGTAGTACTGAAAGATGGCAAGGTACATGCGACGAATCTGCTTCTTCCTTTGGACGGGCTAACGCGTGTGTAGATACGACTCTGGCCCAAAGACGCAGAGACAGGATTACCGACATCTGGCCCGAACGACGAGCCACCACCACATCCCTTCACTGGGTTCTACCTACCCTTCCCGTCTTCAGAACTACCGCATCGTCCGATGCCTGCAGCACCAGTGCTAGGCCTCGTCAGTACTGTACCACCTTCACCACCTCCATCGCCCGCTTCATCCGCACCGTCTACACCATCTCCCACGCCCTCCAAAGCACCTTCGAAACCGACGAAGCCTAAACTTAATTGGCTCTTTGCCAACAAGACGACGCGCGAATTGCGCTACGGACCGCGTGTTGAAGCGAAGAAACATACAGTTGGGCCTTGGGACTGGACAGAAGACGAGCAGGGGCTGACGTTGGAAGGAGAGGAATGTCTTGTTGCTGTGGAAGAGGAGAAGGGTGGATATGGTTGGGCTGTGTACTGGGATCGAGAGGATGATTGTTTGAAGGAGCACGGGATAGGTAGGAATAAGAGGGTGCTGAGATGCAGCTTGGAAAGAAGGCTTGTAGAGGAGCAGACGATCAAGGGGTTGGATGAGGACTGATGCTGTCCAGGTGCGACAGCAAGGGCCGAGCGAACAGTTTCCGTATCTCCAGTAATTGACACAGCATACTTGCTACGACTACACGTCTTATCGAGTTTCGTCCATTCACCAATTTCGATACATGATCTCTCACGTATGCATTCAGTCTTGGGAAGTGCTCCGTTTGGAGGCATTCATTGTCATTTTTCATGGGCAATCTAATTCCTCTCAATGCGAATTGGCAAACTCTTGATACAAAGACACGCAATTTTGACCATTGACCTCAACGATGAGTCGCCTTGAAACACAGGCGTTGTGTCAAAGAACGCGAACCTCGCGCGCTCTAATTGGACGAGGCGGATCGACGGTGAGTGGGGAAACGCGTGCAGGGATGTCCACGTGTCGGGGCCCTCGTTGCCAGGCAGACGCAGGGAAATCAACACAACACCAAATTCACGCCGTGCCTGCATTAGCCACGCCGTCCCACGCACCCTCCTATCCCCTCGCACACCAGCACGAAAGAAGCCGGATTCACCCCAGCCTCTTTGTCTCTTTCGCACTACCGGACGGTCCCGGTGCTTTGCTAATCTCTCTGCGATCAGAACAGAAATTGCCCCGCTGCAACTCGCGACTGCGTGGTAGATTCTACAAACTTGCAACGCAACTACACCAAAAGTCTCGTCTTCAACTTCGATATAGACAACATGAGCGGTGCAAACGCCAACATCGCAGCGCGGTTCGTGTCCCTCCTATCCAATGTTCAGGCCCCTCTACTCCCCAACCCGACTCGCTCCATCATCTACGGACCTACCACTAACGCTTTCCCAGTCTGCAAAAGGAGCTCATGGACATCATGACCAAGCCCACTCCCGGCATCACCGCGTTCCCCGATGACGAGAACATGACCGTCTGGACCGCCACCATCGACGGCCCGGCAGACACTCCCTACGCCGACCTCGTCTTCAAGCTGTCCATGGACTTTTCCAACAACTACCCCTACAGCCCGCCAACCGTCCTCTACAAGACCCCCATCTATCACCCCAATGTCGACTTCTCGGGCCGTATTTGTCTCGACATCCTCAAGGACAAGTGGAGCGCCATCTACAACATCACCACTGTCTTGCTGAGTCTGCAGAGCTTGTTGGGCGAGCCGAACAAGTGAGTCAAAGACATGTCTTTATGCAGGCGCAGCCATGTACTGACAACAACACAGCTCAAGCCCGCTCAACGGTCAGGCCGCAGAGCTCTGGGACAAGGACCCCGCCGAGTACAAGCGCCTCGTCCTCGCCCGCCATAAGGCACCCGAGGACCTGGACGCCTGAGCGCCTTCGTCGCATCTACTTGGGTCTGACAGTGCCTCGCGGCTCGGTGCGTCTGACAATCGGGCCGGCATGCTACTTGACGGCACAGTTTGTTGCGTATCTCCAGCGGGGCGTTGGGTCTAAGCCAATTTCTTGACATCACCTGAGATCATAAGCAGCATCGATATGCTGGGTTGACTTTTGGCTTCGGCATGGAGTTGCATTCGGCGCTTTATATTGGTTCGCATTGCGACGGCGTTGGATAGTGTCAAAGCATGGTCGCAGTAACTTGACTTTGATGTCTTGTGGCGTTACCATCTCAGGACTTACGAATACCTACGACAAATCTATGTTTCACAACATGCCTTTCTTGATGTCCTTGATCTGTTGCGTGATTTTGCAGTGCCATGCCATCAGTGGCTGCTTATCCCACCAACTTACCCAGCCATCGCCTCGATGTGCGACAACGTGAAGTCCATGTGAGCCCCGCAACGATAGATTCAACACAAGGATAGCACTGACACAAGATACCATCTACTGCTCGTGTGCGCAAAAACATGGCGGTGTCGCTCAACATTGAACACTGGCGGCCTCACCAGCGCGATCGCCATGCCCCACGCCACTGCCGCTCGACGCGGGATCAAAGACCGGGGTCACGCTGCACCTTCGGAGTCTGCACTTGCGCCCACGCGCCCAGCGCCGCCCCCCAGGGCCTGACCGACCTGCACATCAGTTGATCACCACCGCCTCGCCGATCAGGGTACGCAATCCACGCTTTTGCTTCTTCCAAATTTTCTACACTTTCTAGACAAGAAGCTCAAACTACGCACGTCAAGTAAATGACGACATACATGGCGGATTGACAATGTACGAGTCGAAATTACAAACCCATGCAATGCGTTATGAACCTCTGAATGGAGATTAGATGGGGTCTGGGTTAGGGCGTTATGCATGACGGCGTTTCTGAGGTGGTGGTGTCGTGGCTGGGAGGCTGGGAAGCCCTTCGGATCGGGGATGCGCAATGGGAAGGTCTGGGTGTGACGCTATTACCTCTGCAGCGGCTGTTGAGGCAGACTTAGTATTCTAGGTTTACCACAATCAATTACGGACATTGGAAGCGTGGCCAGCCATGTGGGAGCCACTCTGTCCGGCGCCCAATCTCCCGAAGCCTCGTATTGCGTCGCGCGCGTAGCTAGGAAATGATGCGGACCTGTTGTGATGTAGCAGGAGGGTCATCCGTAACGGTGCTGACGTAGCGTTCGTGAAGAGTGTTTTTGCTCGGACTTGCTTTCCAATGTTAATGACATTTGCATAGTATAGGGGTAGTTCTAGATCAACGTTGTGTACTGATGTGCGGCTTCGAGTACCGCAGAATCGCGGAGAAAAGCAAAGTCCTCATGCGGAGTGGGTATCAGCCTCATTCGTCAAGCATAGAATCCAATCATGAATAAAGGCGCTCGGTTTGATCGGGTAGCACGAATTAAGCGGAAGGCGAATACTCTATCACCCCAGTTGCCGGAGTAGCCATCTGTAGACCTAGAAAGTCGCTGGACAAAGGCGAGGCAAGTTCCTTGGAAGGGTCGGTTTCCGATGCGCAATCTCGATCTGAAGTTTGCAGTGCATTGCTTTTCTACACAACGTTGCACGAACGAGGGGCGAACCCATCGAAAAGTAATAGCACTGACATCGTTGTGCTCACTTCCCATGGAGATTTAATGATCTTGTGACGGCAGCTTGTGGTACCTCATCTACGTACCCCGCCATGGCCTCGCATTGCAATATCGCCAAAAGACGGGGTCAGGGGTGCAGATATTATACCTCGGATGCCTTCCAGAACACGGAAGGTCTCCAAATTGAAAGACGCTTTGCAGACCCGATGAGGTCGGGAGTGACGGCTGATTGATGTTAATCTTTGACATCAGCTGTTCGCACGGCTTGCTGACAATGTTTGTTAGGTGGACTGGGTGGGCAACACTGGCGAGCGATACGGACTGTATATGCAGGTCAGCGTTGGTCTCGCTGCAGGTGCTCGGGAAGGTCAGAAGCAACCACGAACACACGCTGCTCGTCTGCCTGCAGCCGTCGTTACGCATGCACATGTTGAGTAACATGTTCGTTCACGCATTCGGTTATTGTTGCTGGCCGTCGAACCGGACGCGAGGTTCCGACGCGGATGGCCTTCTAGTCTCTGGTTTAGTCTCCACCATACCGCCTGACGCTGCAGCCGATGATATTCTGCGAATCATAGAAGCAGCCCTGCCTACCGACGTACGCCTGGTCAAATGGTTCGTCGTAGTCGATGAATGTGGCTGACTGCTAGAGGTGGGGGGTTGGAGAGAATGGCATGACTCGCATGAAAACCTTGAAGCGCAACAAAATCAGCGATCGATTATGAAATCGTTTCGAGACACTGACGAAAGCTTGGAGAGCCGCTGGTATTTGCAGAGTTCGACCGTAGCTCCCATGAGTGAGTCGTTCGAGGAAGCAAGCTCCCCACTCTCGGTGGAGGGTTCCGCAGGCACCAAAATAGGTCGGGCTTGGATGACCCTGTCATGGCGCCTCCCGATGAAGCTGATCTAACCAGCACCGAACCCGCCGCGCCGGATGACAGCGCGGGTGACGCGATGTCCCCAACCGAAAGCCTCAGCCCGTGAGGAATCTTTCTGATCAGACGATGCGCCCTGGTGGATGGAGAAAGCCTCACTGACAATATCGGAGAGGCAACTGCAGGCCAACGTGAAGCATGGCCTTGCTGTGGTCTCAAACACGGACAGGGCAGCTTGGATTCGAAACAGGTACAGCACATACCCGACCCTGCCTGGCGCACCCGGCTCCCAAATTCCGCGCCCGTCGTTTTTAAACGCAGGCCATTTGCTGCCCGCAGTTCTGCCACGAGTGATGGTGGACCCGCCCAGGCTTGCCAGACTCAGCACACCGTGCAGCTCTGGTCAGCGTGTTGGAATATGGCGCAGCAACTGGAGATCGAGTCTCGAGTCAAAAGCTGTCGCTTTGCGCTTTTCAGATACTGCGATGATCGGATCGTACCGTGGCAAGCATGGCTGTTTTAATAAAACATAATGGGACCAGTGGGCGTGTATGGCAATGCCTTGCAGCGGCCACAGATTGAGGTAGCACGAGGTACCTTGCAAGCGGGCCGCCGCTGGATTTGGCACCCTGAAGCGTAATCGTGCTATGCCTCGACCGCCCTTGTCGGCACCACCGCCTTCTCAGGCATGTGTGCTGGCCCAACACCGCAACTCGCTCGGCCTCCGTCCAGCTCATTACCCTTCACTTTTGCGTGTGAATACACTGCATCGTCATAGCAACATTGTCTGGTTCTCCCAGCCGTTGATCCTGTGCGTGACAACCAATCGTTTCAGCATCGTACCTTGATATCCGTGCACGCTTGCTCGCTGGATTCCGGGCGCGCTATGACAGTGACTGTCTGACCTGTCTGACGGTCCTCCGAGCAGCGTCCTTTGTTCGTTCCTCCGTCCTCCTCGAGCCTACCAACGCCTCACTCAAACGCCAGAGACGTCTGTGACGGGTCTCTGCCTCGGACCCGACTGCACTGCTTGCTCTTCGCTCAGTGCCTGGGTGCTCTCTCCATGCATTGCCTCTCCTAGCAACATCCGGGTGCGAGCTTCACACCTCGTTCCGCCTCTTTGATACCATAGACGCCAACACTACCAACATGGCGACCTCGCTGCTCCCCTTAGGCGGCATAGCCCTTGTCGGAGCTCCGGATAGCGACGCCGGACTTAAGGACGACAGACGACCGCCTGTGCAGGCCATGCAGGTGGACATTACCCAGGACATTGTCGACGAGCTCCTGGCCAGTGTTAGGAGCGGAAAATCACCGCAGATAATCTTCGGGCGGACTCCTGTATGTGTGCACGCTTGGTGTTATGTTCCTACCTAGGTGTTCCCGGGTGGTTCGACCCGGAATGGGGGCTGGCACGAGCTGGGCTAACCACAAAAACAGCAACTCAAGTATGGCGACAAGACGCACATGCTGCAGAGCAGCAGCGAGCTCCATCGATACGAATTGTACAAGTCCAGCGGGACTGGCAGCCCGGGCAGCCTTGAGTTCGCGGGCATGATCAACCACAGTCTGATGGTACACAAGGCGGAGGACGTGACGGCAGGCGTAGACTCGGCGCTGGAGCAGCTTAGGAGTAACATGGCTGCGATATCAGAGTTCAAGGAAGCCAACAAGTATGCCTCCCCGGTATCCCATGGCTGCCCACGATCTCTGGCATCAAGTCGAGAGACTCGAGCACCCCTGTCGCGGATGATTGCCATGATGAGACGAAGTTGTGTACACCAGGACTGACAAAGATTGCTGCAGGACCATCGTCGGCGATGCTGCTCCCGGGCGCACGCCAGCCCATCGTCGCTTCCCGTCGACGGGCTTCAAGGCATCGCACCTCGCTCCTTCCATGCTGGGCTCGCCATCGCTCAGCGCGTCGTCGTCGCCCATGCACAAACGGGCTCCTACTTCGCAACCGAGCAACAGCCATGACGTGATAGTCAGCGCGCTGCGAGTCCCCATCATCCACCTCCTTGCGCGGGAGCCAGCCACCGAGGCCTCTCTCGCCGCCACCTGCAGGACATCGCTGGCCAACATACGAGATGTCCTGCCCAAGATAGCCAAGCGCTCCACTGCCGACGCCGACAAGTGGCAGCTGACAGACAAGTCGTTCCGTGAGGTGAATCCGTTCAAGTTCCCCTACCAGAGCGCAGAGGACCGGCAGCAAGCCATTGATGGCGCCATCAAGTCGTTCGACCGCCAGCGGCTGGCAAAAGACGACAAGCTCTGGCAGATCCTGCTGCCCCGTGACCAGAGAGGCCAAGGCATATGCTTGTCGCGTTCGACGGTGAAGGCGCCGGAGGCTAAGCCCAAAGCGAGCACCCCAATGCACAAGATATCTGATCTCACCAAGAAGAAGACGGCCACGAAGAAGGCTGCCGACAAGCCTGCAGTTGAGAAGAAGCCCAAGGCCGCAAAGGAAGTAGAGATCAAGCCCAAGTCGTCCATGAAGGAGAAGTACTTGGCCCGTGAGAAGGCAGCCGCGGCCGCGAAGGAAGTGAGGGTGAAAGAGGTGAAGGAGGAGCCCACAATAGCAACAGCCCCAGCCTCTTCGACGCCTTCAAGCTCTACTCCGCGCCCCGTCGCACCTGCCAAATCCAACACACCTGCTACCGACGCCTCGAAAATCCGCAGCAAGAAAGCACCTGCTTCAGAAGGCACCACCAACCCACGCGCCAAACCCAAGATGGCTGGCCGTGATTCCCAGAGAGACCGCCCCGCCAACCGGCCTTTCAAGCCCACCATGCCCATCAACACCAAGCCGAAGAATCCCTCGCCTCTGTCCGCCTCGCCGCCTGTCAACGCCAGCGACTTCGAGGACTCGCACCCAGTCCACAAGGCACTTGCCGCAGCTCCATCGCCCGCCAAGTCCGGTGCTAACTCTGACCGTTCGCTCAAGCGCAAGGCGAACGACATCGACAGCGACATTCACAACCATAACTTGGCTGTGAAGAAGCCGAGTGTCGACCGCGCAACTCCTACTCACACCCCCTCACACACCAACGCCAAGGCCAACGGCTCTACGCCTTCTAGTACTAGCTCCCTGAAGCGGAAGTCGGACGACTCTTCTTCCTCCAACACACCCACCACCGCGCCCAAGGTCCGCAAGGTCGCCAACATCGACACCGGCCTCGCCTCGCGCTATCACCACAACAACCCACGCGCATCCCCAGGCGCCTCGTCCACATCAACCACCTCACCCTCCATGCCCAACTTGAGCTTCCGACAGACTGTCGAGCTCTCGCAGAAGTTCCAGAAGTACTACAAGAGGTACGAGGAGCTGTACTGGCAGTTGACCGAGGCGGAGAAGCCCCCGACCGAGGCACAGAGGAACGACCTCCTGAAGATGCACAAGAAGCTCGAGGAAATGAAGAGGGAGATCAAGGCGGGTGCCGTGCACCGATGAGCACGAACTCTCCGTCATTCACGACGCTGCGCTTAGTGCGCACATGACTTACTACATTACAACCTGCATATATACCCACGGCCTACCGATTCCACGAGGATGGCAGCGAATTGCATACCCACAAAAAGGTGTTTTGGATCTTTCCTACTGGCGGCGTTTGTATGGCAAGACCGGTCAAGGATGCATTTGGGATACGGTGTTTTTGTATACTTTCTACTTTCCTTATCCATCAATACGTCTCGCCCATGATCGCTCTCTACATCCACGACTGCGATGATATCTTAATGCTGTCAATTACAGAAAAGGGTCATTTACGAACAATTGCACGGTGCAGTTGCTCTGTTTCGGTCATCCCAAAACAATGCTATCCCAGATGAAGCGACCTTTCTCAACATGAATAAACCTCCATTTGAACTCTGTCTAGACATGCCGATCACTTGCTGGTGCTTGTGTATACTGTACAGCCCGAAGTCCGCTAACGCCACACACTGGGTAAACACATCTGTGCCCTAGCCTGCATGAGTACCATATCCAGCACGTCAAGACCTTGAGTACCAAGATCAGGGACGACAGATCAAATGCGCCCATCAACACCTGCAATGGCATCACAATCTAGATCGTTGCGCGCCGATCGCCCCTCCCAGGCCCGCTCCCCCGGCAAAGACGCCCAACGCCCAGATCCCAGCCGCGGCCCACGATGGTGCAACAGCCGATCGCGCAGCTCTCGAGATCTGCGGCAGCTACCCCCCTGCCAAACGTCATCCATTCAGCCCTACGCGCTAAACCTCCGCTCTAACGCTCTCTTGACGCCATCTTGAGCACACCACCCGTCAAGCCGTCAACCATTGTGTGCACGTTAATAACCGCGCGTGTTCCTGCCATCTCCTCACTCATGCGCTTACTACGCAATCTCCTCTCCAACTTTGCACGTTCAGCACGTTCAGCTCCGAAACGCAAATACGCTCACGTTCACGACGTGCAGATTAAGTGGGAAAGAACGCCGGCGCAGAATCACGGGCAAAAGCAAAAGGAAGAAGCTGGCAGTATGTCCTTAAACGGTACGTAAGATCACATGATTCAGTAGAGTAGGGAGAAAAGACATCGAGACTCCGCATTGGTCGTCTCAACGTTCGGGATCCACGCAAACGGTTACGCGACATCCCGATCCTGTTCATTTGCATGAAACGGTTTCGACGCAGACTCGAGATCTCCAGGCACGCGTTTCGTCGTCCCAATGTCGCTCATGCGCTACGGCGGGTGTTTGCAATTCGCTCATGAACGCATGGCCATGCTAGCTACGACACTACAAGGACACCCATCACCAGCCCACCACGGCTAACCCACCACAGTCTTCAAGCAACCCCTCGCGCTGCACTCGACACAGCCCCTAACCGGCTTCACGCGCTCAGGCTACTGCGAAGTGCCCGCCTCGGACGCCGGCAACCACGCCATCGCAGGTGTTGTGTCGAAAGAGTTCCTCGACTTCTCCGCCGCGCGAGGCAACGATTTGCGCCAAGTGGGGCTGACGGATGGCTGCAAGTGGTGTCTTTGTGTGAGCAGGTGGAAGGAGGCGTTTGATGCGAGGACGGGCATGGACGATAAGAAGGTGCCGAAGGTTGTGCTCAAGGCGACGAATGAGAAGGCGCTGAAGGGTGTGGCGATGGATGATCTGAAGGCTTTTGCTGTGGATAAGGAGTAGAGGGTGGGGGTAGACGTGATGGTATTGCTAATGGTACTACTGAATGATAGACATCGTACATGGATGGAGATACAGAGATCTCTTGGACCATTACATAGCGGATGTCCTATCTTGTGCCGTCTCAACAGCTCGCATACCTCTCTAGAGACCAATAGCGACGATCTCCTCTTGCACCGAATCACCCTTTTCGATGTCCCCAATCCCCTCATCAACTGCCGTCTCCACGTTCTCTAAATCCCTCTCCGTCATCTCCATCAGCACCTCTGGATGCGCGAGCAGCTCCGCAATCCGAGCCGCAAAGACCTTCTGGGCCCTCTCCTCAGTACTAGTCTCAGTATCCGAGTCGGTGGCGACGGCAGCGATGGTAGCAGTATCGTCGGTGGTAGCGTTGGCAATTTCAGTCCCGTTCATCGTAGTATGCTCCGCTTCAACATCGAGATCCCTCCCCATGAGTCTCACACCAGCGTAGTAGATCTTCGCTCCAATGCGGCACATGTGCTTGTGCTTTTCTTGCTTGCATTGCTCGTACATGTCGTGTTTGAAGTTCTTATCGATTTTCTTACGGGCTTGCTATTGTGTGATAACGTCAGTCTATGTATGTCAAGGAAAGTTCAAAAGCTGAACGGAAGCGGAAGAGAGACGTCAGTGAACGCAAGGGGAATGGAATACTCACATGACCTAACCTCCCTTGCCTTTTGAAATTCTTATATGCAAAGTCATGTCGGATACAAGCTGGTTTGACTACACCACCGTCAGCTCGAACTCCCAAAACCCCTTCCACTCCCCAAACAAACCAAGACATGAACTCACAGTCCCAACTAAACGGCCTATCATCAACGCCCGTACACGCATCCGTCGCCCAGATCAGACCCGTAACACCGTACGAGGCCTCATGGTTACGCCACATGCTCATAAAGGCCCAGAGAGGCTCGATAAAGACCATGCGATTTACGGCTTTGGCTTCCAGGGTGTGGGCGGTCATGTCGCGGTCGAGTTCGGCTTGGATTTTCTTCTTGTCTTTGTGGGCGGAGGCGTCGGTGATGAGGGATGTTATGGTGAGGAGGGTGGTGAGGAGGGGGGTTGTGAACTTCATGGCTGGATGGATGGTCGGTGGTAGTTGGCGAGAATAACGATGGGAAGATGGATGACCAAGATGCTGGAAGGGAAATTTGTGTTGAGTGTAAGAGTGATGACTTGAAGTACATGCTGTACCTGACTACATAGACCGCACGAGTGATGGATGCTCCTACCAATCACGAGATCGAACCTTCCAACAATGTGGGATATAAAGGGAAACACCTGATCACGATAGACGAGAGACCCAAATCAGGAACAGAGTCTGATGATCTTACTGAGAACCATGGTTGCGATACACTAAAGCCAAGGCTTACATTCGACATGTGATGATATATTCGGTCTTGAATGGAGCCCTTGAATGTTACACAGCCCCGATATGAAGGGATGTCTTGGTCACGATGGACGGGAGGGAAACATGACAGGTAGAGATGGATAGCATATCTTGTCTGGAAATGGGCCCTTCAAGACTACACGTATCGTCAATATGAAAGATCGCGCTAGATCACAATGGAAAACAAGGGAACATGAGGACTGGAGCCTAATGATGCCCAGGTTTGTTGTGTTCGAAATTAGAAAAATTAGAAAATGAAGGGGATGCGCTTGATCACGATGGATAGAAGCAAGAGGGGAAGATGGCGAAGGTAGGCTTATGATGTATTTGGGTTGGAAACGGGCCCTGGAATATTACTCGTGTTCCCAGTCTAGAATTTGTAGAACCAAAGAACACACCTGGCGCCGACCAGAAAACGCCCATCGCTAATGCCTAAAACAATGATAACAAAGCGACCGAATAGCACTAGGCCTCCAAAGACATGTCTGAGGCGACACTCTTGATGCATATCCCCGTAATCTATATTACCCCTTCTCCTTCCTCTGTACTACATCACGCATCTTATGCTTAACCTACAAGTAGACTCTTGACCCCACTACCAAACCAAACCAGACTACGCGCAGCGAGTAGACCCGGGCCAGCATACGCGGGCGGACCCATACCCTTGAGTCCACCCACGGCCCTGATTTCCAAATCTCCAGCCACAGGAACGTTGGTCCTGCCTTTTTGCAATATAGCGAACCGAAGCAACACCTCCAAACACGTTATGCAGATACTCAGGACAATGAGTACGATGATGATCCACGTAATCTTGGTCATTTTCTTGTCGCTGATGGAGTCGGATAGGATCTCACCCAGATCCAAGAAGACTTGGCATCGCTCGTTGAGGACTTGAATGCGGGGTTTGATTTCGAGGTACTCGCGGACGGCGGTGTAGAGTGGATGGAGGGTGGGTTCAGAGTCCCAGAAGAAGCTTGGGGTGTCGAGCATATTGGATGCTGGTGGAGTTGTTAGTAATCAGTGGGTCGTGAGAGGGTAGTTGAACACGTACATAGGTTCACCTCCACACGGCTGGTGAAGAGCTGTCCAATCATCTTGACTACGTCGGTTCTCCTCATGCCCAGCTTTCCCGTCAACGCTAAGCGCTTCGGTACGTATTGCGCGGCGAGCATAGTCCGGCTCATGCTTTCTTCAAACAGACTGAGCTTGGTGCTCTGCGCGATGGCATGGCTCATAGCCAGCTTGATCATATGGTCTCCGCTCTTGAGGGTAATCATGTCGTTGTATACGCGGGGACGTTGGATCTCGGGGTTGTATTCGAAATGGAACTCTTCCGTCTCGAAGTCAGATTCAGCCAAGGGTCGGGTTGCGATGTTGATACCGGTAGCGACGGCGGAGAAGGTGAGGTCGGCCAAGATGTCCTTTTCCTGCTTCTCGGTAAAATTCCAAAAGACTACGATGCCGTAGGAGAAGACAAACATCTCGCCAAAGGTTAGAGCATTGGGCGCAATTCTAGAGTTTTCAGTCGAGTCGCGGCGGTCGTGCATGCCATCCCAGGGCTGGTCGAGCTCGTGGTCGTCGCGCACGTAGTATGTCTCGTCGTCGCCAAAGTAGCCTTCGTGGTGATCGCGCTGCTCGTTGCGCTCGATTTCTTCGTCGAGTACCGTCTTTCCACCTGGGCTCTTGAGCGCCGGGCTACTGCGGACTCGGTAGCCATCGTTTCCTGGCAGCAGTGGGAGGTGGTATACGGTGTAGAGGCAGTCGTCGTACAGCTTGGTACGTGCATTGTGTGTGTCCTTGACGAACTGGGCGGTGCTCTTCATCTTGTAGGCCTGGGCAGTGCAGTAGGCCGTGACGCGCGAGAGCTTGTCCGTCCGCCTCGCTTTGGGCAGGCGCTCTGCATAGCTCTTGTCGTTTGGACCGCCTTTGGGCGTCCGTCGCGCAAGGTCTTCGTCGGTGGGCGGGCCCTCGTACTCATCGTCGTCAAAGTCGCCCTTCTCGTCCTCTTCCTGTCCGTCCGTCTCGGGCAGCAGGACAAGCTTCTCGCTGAGCTTGCTCGAGCGCGTGGGCATGTGCTGGGGGATCAGGCGGCCAGAGAGTCTGGGATCGAGCGGATGGCGTCCGCTGGGGGTGCGCGTGTGCATCATGGGGCGGTTGCCGGGAGGGCCGCGTCGCTGCTGTTGCGAGGGAATGTCCGAGGCGTACTGCAGAATGTTGTCCACCGAGATCAAGCGCGCGCCCGTCGCCTGTCGCTGTACCGCGCCGGGTCGTTGGGGTGCTCGGGGTGCAGCGTCGCGGCTGTCGGTCATGAGCACCGTCGGCCCTCTCTTGCTCTTAGCTGTTGGCCCGCTCATTTTGCTGGTTGCTGCTATCCACTCCGCTAGTGCCTGTAGCTGCAAGAAGGTTTGGCACTGCAAATGTCGCGATTGCAAGCGATTAGAAGCTGACAGCTCTATGTTATGGAGTGCTGGTAGTGGTTCCGATAGAGCTATACAGGGCGCGACTGGTGATGCGCGTACTCTGCCGATAATGGACGTAGAGGTGCACTTCGACGTCGTGAAAGCCGGCCGCGGTTCACGTCATTGCGCCTTGGCGTGCATGCACCGACTCCACACCTAACGGCTCGCCAAACGTCAATCAGGGGTGCATACATCTCACGCTTGACTACTTTCACATAGCAATTGGGCACTGCTAAAGATGGATATCGATTGGCGGGGTTTATATCTCAGTTGAACTCGCTATTGATCGTCTCACAGAGAACGCCGGAACACCATGCTCTAGAAAGAGAACAGCCGTCCATAACCAGAACATGGCCAATCCAAGCATAGGTCAAAAACAAAGGAAAGCCTGCTGGAGGTCGGATGCGACGAAGCGAGGGGGTATCTTCTCCATGTCCCCGCTGGTCTTGGTCCCCCTCCGCGCTTCGTATTCGCTGCTTCCGGGAGTGTATCCCTTTCGAACAGCTGACAACGCCAAGAATAAACAAACATTACATGTGGTATCAAAACAAGCCATGCAGCTGCATTGGCTTACAGGCGCTTGCCTGGAACGAAGATGAAGAGACAGCAGACAGCTACCGTGACAGCCAGGAACATGACCATGACAGTGACAGAGCGCCTGTTCAGCGTCTTCTTGACGAATGGCTCCCTGATCCGGTTGAAGTCGAAGAAGGTGTACTCGCTGAATCCAGCCAGGGCGAGGATTGGGTCAAGCATGTACTGGTGGGTGAAGATGAGGTAGATGGCGATGGTGAATGGGAGGATGATCTGCGCACAACATTAGCTAATCCTCGAGCGAATCTAAAATGGGCAACATACCCAGCAGCGCGTGCTTCTTGACTTGTCGAGGAATATGAGAATAAAGGACGTCCACATGGCAGCAAAGAAGCTTATCAGTCCTACTATCAGACGGAGCATCATGCTCTGGGGCACGAGGTTGCCAAGGCCCTTGTTCTGCAAGAAGCCTGGGTATGCGTCGCGCTCCATGGCTTGAAAGACGTAGTCTTTGGCACTATCAAAGAGCTCGGGATCCGCACGCTGCTCCGGCCCTTCTATGGCCTCTTGAACCTCGGTCAGGATACTCTGGGGGATGATGATTTCCCGCTCGGACCCAGGGAGCAAGTACGTGTACAATATCTTCTCCGCCGACGCGCGCAAGTCCTCTCTGCGTGGCTGTGTGTTGTCGGTGGACGAGTTCTGGCCGGGCGAGCTCGAATCACCTGGAGTGTCTAGTAAGTTCAGGCTTGGACGCGGGAACTCTCGGCTCTGGTTGCTACCCTGACTGTTCTGTGGCGAGTGGTTGCGGCTGCCGCGGTCGGAACGAAGAAAGGCGGACAAGCGCTGGTCAGACAGATTGTCACCTTTCTCGTTAGAAGGGCCTTCTCCAGCGTTGTCCAACATATAGGACGAACGCCTACTATTTTTCTCGAGGTCAGGGGTCTCTTCAATCATGCTCCTGTGTAGCCGTCGGACGTAAAGCCTACATAGCTGCAGATGTTGCGACACATCAAGCCTGTTGGTGGTTAGCGTGGCCCGGGAGCCTGGACATGGGAGTGTCTTACCAGAAGTCCAAGTAGTCGACAGAGCGCTGCTGGTCTCGCATGTAGATGTAGAAGGAAAAGAGATCTAGCGGTGGTCTTGTTGTCCTACTAAGGACTTCGAAGAGGGTCGGGAAGCGGTTGCGGTGGGCTGGAGGCACCGGGGAGCCGGCATCCTGGGGGTGCGACATGACTGCGGTGAGTTGGAAGATATGGCGATAACGAGAGGCGCGCGACGATCGTCGCTGGTCGGTGAGGAGTGGTAGGTATCGATAGACGATAGATGCAGGGTCTGGCGTAGGGCTCGCGGCGGGCGGTGTGTTTGCGTGGCTAGTGCTGTGGTTGCTGAGCGAACGGCGGCGAGCGTGATGGTCCGGCCGGTCGCGACGCCAGGGACAACGTGTTGATAGCTGGGGGCAATAGGGCAACGATGGGCAAGTCGCGGAGAATTGAGCTTTGCGGCGTCGCGTCAGCGCCTCGGAGCGTCGTGAAGCTGGCGTGAAAGCGGGAAATTAGGAGTGAAGTCGGCACCTCTAGCTTGGCGCGACGGTTGGCGGAGCAGGGAGGCAGCGGCTGTGGCTTGCGATGGGGTTGCGTCGCGCACTGCACGACGGCGCTGGTGTCGATGAGAAGCAACGAGTCACATGAAACTGCCCTCGCTGTGCTGCGTCCGACTCGTGTCCTGTGGATGAGCTGGTGGATCAGTTGTGCGCGGTGACGATGATGATGCAGCCCGGATGCAGCCCGTGTGCCTGAAACGCGAGGCTGTGAGGGTCGAGAAGGGCCGCGAATAGCTACTGCCTTTCTACGTGATAGTCCCTGCCACCCCAGCACCCAGCAACACCTGGACAGCTGCAATGAAAGCTGTCACCCATGGTCGGTGCAACTTCAACGGCACACCGCAGAAGGCGGCAGCCGTATCTCTAGAAGCCACCTGTCGAGCTACTGTGCTTTCTTTTCGCCGATCACTGTCTCTTGGCCAGGCCAGGGACCGGTCGTCGTGGAGCTACTGCTTGTTTCTTCGAGGGCGACCAAAGCATAAGATGAGCAAGAAGTCGCTCTTGGAAGCTTGTATGTGTTCCTTGAGGGCGGTCAACATGCAATGCACGAAAGACGCCCTACGAAATTAGGACTTCTCGCCTGAGGCGGCGGCTTCCAGGCAGCAGTCAGATGGTTTCACAGCCTGGCGCAGCCTTTATAGTCTGCGTTGATTCAAGCCCTTCATTTCAGAACATGCTTCCTTTGCGCGCATTCTGAGTTTCAGTGCGATACCCATCAACAATGGCAGCTACCAGAACCTTACCCACGGACTTGAAGGAGGACCTGCTTCGCGCCCATGAACGTCGGACATCCGTCCAGCCTAGCCCTCCGCCCTCCCCATATACGCTTCCCGATGGTTTCCTCGAGGGCCCAGCGCCGAATTTAACCAGGTCAAAAATTGATTTCAGAAAGGCTGGCCTGTTAGAAGACGAAAAGTCCTGGGCTGTTATACTTGATGGCGTCCTCTCCGAAGACGAGTGCAACACTTTATTGCAAGCAGCCGAGGCGACCACGAACGGCAAGTGGGAAAGGGCTCTAGTCAACATTGGTGGAGGCATGCAGGCTATGTATGAGGACACGAGAAAGTGTGGGCGTATTATCTGGGACAACAAAGACATCATGGCCAAGCTATGGGCGAGGATAGAGGCGTCGGTGCCTGAAATCCATCGATTGCAGAATTGGGTCCACGTCACAGGCAATGGCCCAGCAAAACGGGGAGAGACTTGGAAGGTGACCAGACTCAACGAACGTGGACGCTATCTCAAGTACGTCGGCGGAGAGTATTTCAAACGTATGTATTGCAATTTGACATGATAATGCAGCTACTGACTACGTAAGCGCATTGCGATGGCACGTACGAGACGCCTGACGGCACCGAGCGCTCTTATTTCACCCTGCATCTTTACCTGAATGACGCGGTATTAAAGAGCGGGGAGAAACAGCTCGAGGGTGGCGCCACTACGTTCTTCAATAGCAGTATGAAGCGCCGTATCAACGTCGAGCCAAAGACCGGACGCGTCCTGCTCTTCCAGCATCGCTTTCTCATTCACTCTGGCGATGACGTTGTGAAGGGAACTAAGTATACGTTACGGACGGACATCATGTATGCGCTGGAGAAGGACGTGGCATCGGAGCCGGAGGCGTAGGCACTGCTGACAGAAGGCAAAGGGAAAATCGCGCAGTAGTCGTAGGGCTTCGTTTGGTCGGATTCGCATGTTTTTATTATTAGTAGTATCCTCGAGCCAGAGCAGACAGCGCAAAGCGCACTTACATAGAAAAAAAATGTGAACGGCCTGCCTCGCCAGAGTAATCAGAATCGAATGATACCATGCCCTCTTTCGCCCAAAGGGCTACTCAAAGTCAAGTACGCTGCGTATTGTACTACAGTGTCACCTCTCACCCGAAGGATCAAAGCACACAATCTTCGCACCGACTCCCATAGGGACACCAGTTCCACACTCCCTCCCGCCGAAGCAGGACGTCGCGCTTTCTGGCGCCCTGAGTTTTCTGATGCCAGATGCAGACGTGAGTCACGCCAGGCTCTTACGAGCAGTACAGCCCACAAGTGGGCGTGATGAAAAGTGAAGATTACTCCGAATTTCTCATTTGCATGGTGGGACGAGCTCTCGAAAGAGTGTCTGTATGTGTGCAAAGAAACGCAGCGTTGGCAAGGCAGGCCGTTGGAGGAGCAAGAAATGTTTTTGGCGGGGTTTTGTAGCTGGCGCGCCGGCGCGCTAGTGTTCGGCTAAACTGCGCCCGTGACGCGGATCCACGTGGAGACTGCCCGCGTCTTTCCTCCGTGCCTGCCATGCAGGGTTTCCGATCATCTGTTTCCTTTGGTTAGTCGTTCGATTTTAGGATATACCGGGGAAAACTACAGGTTCTGGCTAATCTGAGGTAGACGGCCTGATGTGGCGCCGACACCAGCCACTTCAAACATCACCAATGGTCGCCTCTCGCTTTATTACGAAGTAATTGTCTGTAAGAGTTTACTTATACGCAGCAGTCACGGGTGAACGCTCTGTCTATTTCACCTCATCGTGCACTCTCCAACGACTTGAGTTATTTCACATTGCGTCCTCTCCTTTATTTCTTTTTGCTCTACATCAGAGTGAACTCACATCTGCACGACTACTTGAGATCGCATGGCCCCTTAAACAGCTTCCCAACCTCACCTCCACAACCTAAGCAATAATCATGTTCGACAAGCTATTCGGTGTTACGAAGAAGACGTTCCTCGAGAAGATTGTTGTTCGCGCTAGCGACCACGACAAATTCAACGACAATAAGTGCATGTTCTGTACGTACTTCCCCCTAAACTGTTATGTAAATGTGTACTAACATTCTTAGGTTGGGGCTCATACGACGAAGATCATCGCGCTGTTCGCGTGCAGCCATGCAACCATGTATTCGGACGCGACTGCCTCGAAGAGATGATCAACGCCCAGAATGGAGACCAATGTCCCATCTGCCGAACAGTGTGGTTTCAGCCTCCTTTCAGAGTTTTCCTCGGATGTCTCCTTCTAGACAACCTTATGCGTCTGCAACTTTGAATACTTTTCGCTACTTATCGACTGAGAGCATTCTGGTACAGACTCAAACCGTTCTGGTATAGACTTCCGGCCTTGATCAGGTTTCCACTCAAAACCATCAACTCCTGGTTCTACATGTCAAACCCGTACTACCAGATCGACTTTATCTTACAGCACCTTACCAATATATATCCGAGGAACCAGATCTTAGAACTCCAGATGTGGGTGGCGATACGGATATTCCCGATCGTTCAAGCCGCCTATCTTCATATAATGATCAGTTCAGGTCATCCCATAGTCTTGGCGGTGAAGACCGACGCTTTCTATCTCGTAAGCGAGCTTTATCGATTGCCATGGCAGTGGCATTGCCAGAGGCTCAAAAGTGCTGTTACTTTTGACCTTCCAGCACACCCATGACGACCGTAGACTCTCGACCATTGAGTTGGCGCGACCGTGTCATCTTCACAACGACCTCGTTCTCTGTTATATTGGTTCGTTTGTGCTTTGCTCAGACCGTAATAGCTTTCCTTTACGGAGGGACCGTCTATAATTGGGGGCTTTTTGATCGCCACCTCCGATGGTAGAGAGGGCGATTCTGGAGCGGGAGAGGGACGAAGAAATTTAAGCGTCGTTCATGGGAATCTGGCAGCATCAAGCTACGACACGTATACTTATATGCGTTAAGGTAATGCTCAGTAGTTTAATTACGTTTGTTGGTTCTACCACTCCTTTATCCAAGTTCGCAATCGGCCGCATTCCTGTTCGCTTAGTGTGCAAGACTGATTTCATGGTACCGACCATCTTCAGCATCATCCTCATCCCTGGTTACCCACCGCTCACCTATACATAACACGCCCTTGCATTCCACGCTCTAGCAGACTGACTCTACAGACCAACTACCCAACTGAACACAAGCCCCGTACGAAGATTTCCTCTACCTCTATCTCACCAGAGACGCCTTCCTGGATTGGCGGACCTTTCCCGCGAAACCTACCAACAAGTTCAACGACAATACATATTACCTCTGTTATGAGCCCTACAACGACGCTACTCACCCGGCAACGCTATTCCTTCCCTGCAACCACGCTATCGGACGAGATTGCCTTACAAAACTCGTCAAATCTCTAGGTGGGCATTCATGTCCTATATGTCGGTGCCAGCTGTTCGATCCGCGAACCACTGCTGTAGAGAAAGCTGATTCGCTATTTAATCATGCTTTTTACTTGTCCCTCATCACTTGGGTGAGTGTATTGGCGTCCATAGCTGTGGTGGCGATAATGTGGCTGTGGTGCTATGCTGAAATTTGGACGAAGCTTGTCATAGAGGAGCGGAGGCTGAGGAAGATATTGGAGACTCTACGAAGAACATGACATAAGATTTGAGCACAATATTCAACGATCGAAGGAGAAGCTTGAATTCGAGATGCGCTTTCGCCACCGTTGCTGCAACGGAACCATGATGGATACACGGACGACAAGCGCGCACGAACAAGGACAACAACATGCCTTCGGGGAATCAATTCTGGGTGGGATCATCTGCAACACTAGCAAGCGGCAGCAAAATATTCCGCTACCACACCCTCGACCCATTCTGCGACGCCGACATCACCTGAGATCTTACGCCATTCTTGTTGTCCCACTTCCCCCAACTCGTCCCCAGCCTACCGCCACCATCCCCATCCGACCTTACCGTACGGCGATGCGCTGCCTCATAACTCGGTACCGCCGGCAAACTATTCATCGGGAAGTCTGGCGCAATAGTCGTCGCATTCGGATCAGGCGGCCCACTTGCTTGCCATTCGACCTTGATGGAATTATCCTTTGACAGCTTGATACCGTTGTGCCACAGTTCGAAGGATACATCAGCGGGCCCGAGGTTCACTTTGACGACGTAATTGATGCGGTGATATTTCGGGCCGGAGTTCCACCAGTGTCGGTTTTTGAGTTTGAAGAGGGAAAGTGGGAGGGAGGAGAAGTCGGATTCGATTTTGCAGATGGAGCGGCACGCTGGAAATGTGAGTACCTTGCTTCGTCGTCACGGAAAGATGAACTTACAGTTGTTCTTTACTATGGGGAGTTGAGATTTGTCTACTTCTGTGCTGATCACTTCCGTGGGGTAGATCCTTGGTGGGTTGGGGTTCTTGGATGAGGCTGGTGGGCATTTTCGTAGGAAGCTCTTTACTATAGGGAAGTCGCTGGATACTGGCTCACCCTGATCTCATCAGCGTCTCTCTTTGGTCCATGTTGTCATAATGCTATTACCTGCTTGATGAACCAGTCGATGCAATCCATGATGTATTCTTTCTTGTCCAAAGGATCTACCTCTGTCCTCATTCCAAAGTGCGCGAGGTTGAACGGGTCGTACAACATCTTGCACATCGTACCGTAGGATGCGCGACTACATCGCCAACCTAGCACCGATTGTCCGGTTTTGAGCTTTTGAATACGGTCGGCCACGTTGCCTTTGCAGACCACGAGTTGAGGGTCGGGAGCGATGCGAATCTGCATATGCTGCACGTTGGGATGTGGTGTATTGCCGAATGCGTAACGGCTTCGTAGGCAGTTTTGAACGTATGCGGAATTACCGAGGCCACCAGAGAGTACGAGGTGAGACTAAGGTTGGTCAGATGACACCCACGAAGTAGAATTTGTCATCTGACGTACCACTTGTTCGGAGGGAAACTTTTGCAGGACACGAGCGAGTTGTTTGTCCATCATGTCAAAGAGTTTCGATACCTGAGTGTCGAAAAAGCCTTTCAGATCATCTCTGTAAGGTTGTCAGTCCGGGATGGCACGAATGGGTCGCGCACGTGAGTCTGACCGCTGAAAGTACATATCGCCGCCGCTGATACCGCATTCTCGATTGCCATACGCTTTGTCGAGCTTGGGTACCCGCACCGCAAAGGTCTCGGTATCCATTAAAGACTCTTCTGAACCGTAATCGCATTTCGCACTGAGTAGGTCAGTTATGTTCTTACCATTCTCATCAATGACACCGACGAACTTTTGGTATTCCTTAGAGATGCGCATCTCCCATGCCGCCTGGTGGATGTCCAGAAGACCCAACGGCTGGAGTCGGTCGGCATGCTCCAGTCGCTGTAACACCTCCTTTTCGTACAAACTGTCGAGTTGTGCGGCTCCGATGGTGGCACCTTCGTGGAGTCAGTCGAGATCATGTGCTTCATCGTGGAAAGCTTACCAAATACTACGTCGATCTGCTCGAGACTAATAGAGCCACCTTGTATGTTTTTTACACGGAAGACCGATAGATCCTGTGACGTCTCAGCCACCCAGCTATGAGTAGGGTCTTGAACGCTTGCTCACCGTTGTACCTCCACCGACGTCGCATACGAACAATATTTCATTCTCCTGGCGATGATGTCAAAGTCTGCGCAGGTTTGATAAGTTTCATACGCCGGTCGTACCTTGAAGATGCCAGGCATGCTGCGCGCTGTGTGGACTGCGGCCGCCTCGGCTTCCGTCAGCCCGATCGATGCTGTATGGTTGGCGCATGACCCGAAACCAGCTGCCGACATAGTCTTTCTGAATCGCTCTACGGTTGGTATTGGCTTCCATGTCGTGGGTACTGAAAAGATGAACTCAATGTTCGCGTCTTCCCATCGGCTCGCGAGTTCGCCTCGTAGTCGTGCTTCGATCGTACGGTAGAGGTAGCTGAAGTAATCCGTGTACCTAGACTATCATTAGCTCATTGCCAGGCTGGATTCTACCAACAAATTTACCATTTCTCCACTTCCTTGATAAGTGGTACTTTCGATGGCTCACTAGACTTGGATCTCATTTGTTCCAGTAGGTCCTCGTCAAGCATGATCTTGAACCATTCCCTACTCTCGTGACCTGCGCCACTACCCTCCTGTGCGGTTTCGGCAAGAAACCCCCATGATGACGGCGCTTCGGAATTTTGTGGGTATACAAGCAACGTCGGCACCTGCGATTACTTAGTTCGGATATCATAGTACGCGAACAGCGATCTTACCTTGTTTTCGTTTGCTTGAGTCCGTCCAGGCCATCGTTGAATATGGCGCACGCTATCGGACCCGGTCGCTACGTTACAATATGCGACACCAGTACCTGTGGATTCGATTAGGATTGATATACTACTGACCTACGAGTCGGTACCTACATGTCATGCCAAAATCGATGGACACAACTAAATCCGGTCGGGACTGTGAGTATTCCATGATGAAAGTGTGTCTGGTGTGTAATAGCGATTGTAGCAATACAATTTGGTCTGAGTTCAACAAGACGTAGTGATGCTCATCAAGTATGGATTCCCGGTGCGAGATATGGCAAGGCTGAGATATGTCGGCACTCCCTGGTCAACTAGTGGAAATATGTCCTTGGCTCAGCCTCACGCTTCGCTCCAGCCGACAGGTCGAGACCATTCTCAAAAAGTACATCTTGGGCTTTGCGGTGATGCCAATTTATTTGTGGCGGTGTTAGGCAATGTTCATTCGGTGAAACAAACCGATATGCAGTAGCGACACGCCACGCAGGCTCGTGCTGATGACCGTTCGTCAAAAATGCATTCGGACCCCACGTCGTAGGGTTCAACACCATGTTGCTGGTATCTGCCTCGTCAACATTTACCATTTCCGGCGAAGAAATATTGCGGTCAGAGCTTCGCAGCCTGCGCTAGGATTGTACAGCTGAAGCATGCATATTTCTGACTGGGCTGCGCTAGCGAGTACGCGTGCCTTATAGAACGGTATCCCAACTTCTCTCAGGAAAGTACAAGGTCTTGACATCTTTGTTAGCTCTGACTCGTTGTGAGTAAGTGTTGCGACATGAAGCTCGAGCACAGGCAGAAACCATCAGCCCAGTCAGCGGCATCTGGTTCAAATCGAACGCCAGCGCCGTCTTCCACCCCGACAGGCGACCAAGCAGCCCAACAAGGGGCAGCATCAACATCGTCAATGACAACGGCAGCTGTGGCAACACCCCAGACCAGCTCGATGCCCGTTGCGCGCTCGCAAGGAGCTGCTTCAAAAGCTGTAACTTCGGAATGTGTCTCCGCGACATGGAACGAGGCATCGAAAACATTGGTCTGTCCAACGTCACCAACTGGACAGCTAACCGGACAGTTGACAATTTCTGCGTCCGCGACTGGATCTCTTGCAATCAAATCGTATACAAGCAAGATTGCGGGTACCCTGATTCCGACGGCGTCTGCTGGCTCATCGTCGGCTTCGGAAGGACTTACAGGGGGTGCAGTCGCCGGAGTGGCGATTGGGATGTTGCTCGCCGGGTTTCTGATCGCTGGAGCCGCATTCCTGTTCCTGTCACGCCGTCAGAAGAATAGACGATACAATCCAACGCTAGCTCCACCACCGCCGCATGCACCCAATAGCGGCGCCGGCGGGCGATTGGAGAAAGACCCGGCAGTCGTTACGAGTGCCCATGCTACGGATATCGACGATATGCTACCTCAGCCTGCATCAGATGATACTATCACCGACGCAGCCTTGAAGATACGGGATAACATCAAAAACCACGTTCGAGAGTTTTACCACGTTTCTCCTGTCCCAGCAGCCAGTATCAACCAGGCAAATATGAAAGAGCTAGCGATTGCAACTGGAACGAGCTCTTCCGTACTTGCAAGTATGCTCTTGAATATCTCGACTCGAGCCGAAACGCTTCGCCTTGTTGTAGCCTGGAGTGTGCTCTCGAGATGCACTGGAGAACGCGTCGAGAGCTTACTTCCGGGGGAGCTTGCGCCGCTCGCCTCAGCGGTTCCTGGAAGAAATGGTAAAAACGCCGGTATGTTCATCTAGCCATTCGAAGTCTGTAATGGGAAGCTAACTCCACAACTCAGCGCAATCAGCCTTGTACAGCAAGTGGAAGGCCATGACTGGTGCTCTCCTGCATGGTCGAGTTGGCCAGGATACGCAAGACCGATTCCATAGATTCGCTAGTGCGGCTGCAGACCTGGACGCCATCGTGGCGCCTTTTGTGCAGAGTGGCTTGGAATCTCAGCGCAGCAAGAATCTGAACATGATTCTTGCGCGATCGGCAAACTTCGCGTTTCTGCTCTTCGAACAGCCCGGGGTATTTCATTTTGGATTTTCTAGCGAACACGGAGGGTTGACAGTGTTCCCGGCACTGGTACAGATAATCGGGGACCAGGGGCAGGTGCTGGTGCCTTCACGCGTGCTGCTGGAAAAGGAGATTGCGGCATGAGAATGGGTTGTGATGAGGCTGAAATGGCGTTTCATCGATAGTTTATGCAGTATGCAATGCACCTATTGATCAGCTGAGATGCGTCTAGGATATGGCAAAGGGGTGCGGGCGGAGACGCACAGGAGGAAGGGACGAGGCTGAAGAGCGAAGTTGATGGTTACTTTTGCACTATACTCCATGTGTCTTAGCGCCAGTGCCACCAGCGCGGAGAGGGAGCGTCACTTTCTGCTCCGTCCAATCTGCGACTCGCCATCGCGACACACGCAGCAGGCACTCGGTCGTGAGATACATTTAACTCCATGGGTACGACTATCTGGTATAGGCCCGGCATCATGCCCCGCGGAGTAATGACCCTATGTTTGAGCGCAGACGCATGAGCTCAGCCCGTGGGAAAAAGCATTGAGCTGCAGATCGGTTCTCGAAGCACGGCAACACAGCATGACGGGTCTTCCAGTACCCGCAGATTCAGCCTTGTTGGTTCTTTCGCTGCTTACAGAGTGTTGGGGGTCTATGAGCCGCCCACCGGCAGCTGTCATGCTCGCAAACATGTTCTTCATGACCTGCATCTCCGTATCATCATGAGCATCAGGCGTCGTTGAGGAGCTTTTCCGTTGCTATTCGAACTCATCAGAATCTGATGATATGAGCAGAATGATTGGTATGTATGCTGTACATTCAGAGCGCAGCGCAGGGCTTACTATGTAACAGCTATACCCACGAGATCCGCCAGTGTCAGCAAGGCGTTTCAGTTCGCTGATCTTGCGATACGTAGCGCAGATGTAGGAAGCGAGAGCGAAGTCTTCTTGCGAACTATACAAATCGTTCGTAACGACCTGTCCGAGGTTGAGCGTTTGGTGGCCGTTGTCTCGGTACGGACAAAACTCGCACAGACACCCGAAAGACTCCCTTGGATAAGAAGTTGTATCGAGAACACCACCTCTGCCTTGGAGGAGATCGGCAGATGGGTCGACTGCGGCAGTACCGGGCAGTATCGAAATGTCTTGGACCAATCTCAGAAACTTCGACACACTCTCAACGACCGCGAGCGACTAGCCGACCGCAAAAGCGAACTCATGGCATGCCATCAACAACTGTCCAACGTACTCAGCTTCCTGAATCGCTTGGAGGACCTTCCCAGTACTAGGGCGCTGCCAACGTATCAAGACACCACCTACTTTGACGACATCGTGTCGCGGCACAGAAGATCAACCGGCCATGCTCAACTCGATGATGGTTCACCGAAGGTCTTCTTGGGGGACAGCAATCGAACGATATCTTACCCTGCCACCAACAATTCGTGGTCAGTGAACCAGAAGTCGTCCCTTCATGAAGCACCATACACACAAGACACGTCGACCACGGATGCGGTGAAGTCTACCTTACGGTCATTATGTGGACAAACGCAAGCGATGCCAAACCATCTAGACTACAAGCCATACAACCCGCGATATCAATTGCCTCCCAGCCTACCAAGCAGTCCGCCACCTACTTATGCGTCGGCTGAACAGCGCAGTCCCCGCTCGGAAACATACCCTGAAGATACCAAGCGTCATCTCAGTATTGATCAGCCGAGCCATAGAAGCTCGCGATCATCGCCGAGTGAAGTGCGTGATGACGCGCATAACATACAGTCAGTCAGAAAAGACACATGGGCCTATACATATCCAGAGAGGCATCAAGCGCCAGCAGAACTGGCGGGCAACAGTTTCATGAGTGGCACAAACTCGGACGGACCAGTGAATCCGTATGCGTTTCATCCTACTGCGCCAACGCCAGTCCCAAGACCCTATGCCTTTGAAGACAGCAAGATTGAGACTTTATCGGAGCTGTTGGGGGATGTGGATCTGGCCGTGGAGCTGCCCGGTAATGAACCAGCCCATTTGTCAAGGCATAGTCTACGGCTGAGCTGGGATACGTCTAACCACGGGCCGCCCGCACACCCAGCATACAAGCATGAGCATCCAGAATCGGTTTCTGAGCTACCGGCTATCCCAAGACGTAGACCGGTCATATCGCATACGGTTAGCGAGCCGACCGCTATTCTCAACGAAACATCAGTCACGCCGCCGAGATTCGAGCTCGATTCTGTGTCCTCTCAAACACACCCTTCTCTGATCACACGAGGTCAGGCTGGTTCTGGTAGGCACTGGTCTGTGTCTTCTGTCTCTTCAAGCCCACGGCCACCAACGAGCATCAATGTATCTCCGAACACTGTAACATATGTCGCTCCACTTGCGCCGCAAGCAAGCCATGGTCATGAACGGCCCCTATCATCGCACGCGCCACAGTCAACAAACAATAAATCATCAGCGAGGATGAGACGTCAGAAACACATGTTGGATCTACTTGATAGCATTGATAGATGACAATGTCACTACAAATATGCTTCTCTCTCTCACATCATTCACATGTGACTGCGCTGGAATCTATTCTTACAGGCTGAACAGGTTGATCATCATACAGCACATCCAAGGACTGATCATATTGGCCTGCTACATCCAACCCGTACCCATCAGGGTGCGGATGCATGATACATCGTAATCTAAGACTAGAAACTGCTCATTTCTTGCTTCTCATACTCGTTAAGATCTGAAAGAGAACAATCTTCATCCCCATTGATTTCATCCGGCAACACCGTCCTCACTATTTGCCCCTTATTCACTATCTGCCTCCTCCTCACCACTCGTTCCATCCGTGAACACTCCAACTTCATACACATCATCTGCAATAAGGAATCGACGCACGATGGACGTCTTAAGAGGTCCGTTGTTGAGATATTCCGTGGCAAGGACGTTGGTCTCGCTGGACTTGTCAGCAAGTTCGTCCCTGATCTCCCTAGCAGCGTTGTCTAAGCTTCGCACGCCAAAATCCTTACTATAGTACTCGTCAGTCAAGGCAGTGCATATCTTGCCGTCGTCAATAAGTGATAGTTTACAATGTCCGATGTAGCGGATGACGCTAGGATTATGATCGCTTGGTTGGCGGATGCTGGTCGCGTATTCCAGCATGAACCTGTGAAGTACAACCGCGCACTCAGAGGGTGAGAAGGGAATGAATGGAACGAAGAGATGCAGACGTCCGGTGAATGGCATCTACACTGGTTAGCGGATACGCGCATCTGAACGAGGATGACATACCCCAAACTTGCTACTGTACTTCTGTGCCAGACTCTCTTGGAGGGGTCTGATGTCGAGATTGTGCTTTTGCTGCTCACTGAGCCTCTCGATGTACCTGGCATAGTACATGTTGATTTCGTCGTCACCGGAATTCGTCGCAACAATCCATATTGTCTGTGTTCAGTCCACACCGGTGCTGCGACGGCGATCTTCTTACTCGCCTACTCTGCGCACCCAAGCATCGTAGTACCAGACCTAACCTTATACTCAATAGACGCCTACAAATAAGCGTTATATTAATAGACTGTAGTACTAAAGTTTCCTTTAGCAAAAGATTAAAAAATTAACGTGTAAGCTTATCAGCTTAGCGCTTTAGCTTGAAGCTCTACGCCTATTTACTATTCCATTGCGAATAGGCTGGGGGACCTACGCACCTATATTTATCCTACGTATATATATACTGTTGCTTACAACACCAACTTGATGAATTTAGAAATTCGTACTCGCCTACTCAACATTAGCTTATAGTGCGCGCGCATCGTCAAAGACGTGGGAGACTTACCACTTTGCATGATAAGGAGAACAGCGTCCCGGACCTTCTGATTAGTCTTGTCGAACTCGTCTAGGAACACAACCGATCGCTTTCCACTGTGGTCAGCCAGGAATTTATTGAGCTTTGATCCGTGTCCATTTCGGTCCCAACCTGCAGTGACCCGAAGAGTGCCCAATCGTCACGGCAACTGGCGCAATCAATCGATGCAGTCTCCACGGATAGAAGGTGTCCCATCGATCTGGTTAGTTCTGTCTTGCCGTGACCAGACGCACCCGCGAACGCCCTGATCAGTGGTTTCGTCGTGATGGGCGATGTACGAGTAGATCTTCTTCATGACCAATGTCGTCGCACATCGCTGGCCGATAAGAAAGTATGGAAGCTTCGTGAGTTCCAGCATCTTGTTTGCTTTTGCGATATCAAGCATTCGGGCTCGCAGCGGGGCTATGTTGTAAGTCAAGGACAAGAGCTATCGATGGGTCAGATGGAGCGATCGAGCCAGAACCGGTCAGATCGTTGGGGTACACCATGCTGACTTCTGCAAGGCAGAGTTGGGCACCGAAACCGCAGTGTTCAGCTCATCTCCGGGCGTTTCGAGGAACTTTACCAATATGTCCATGGATATGACTGTAGGATTGGCCCTATTGGCAAGCACAAGCTTCATGACTTCGCTGGTGTCGATAGCCTCTGATTAACCATGAACTGCTACGTAGGCGATCAAGGGGATGACAAAGGTGTTGTTCGGAATTTCAGTGTAGACACCAAGCTGCTGAAGAAGTGAAATCGTCTCGGCAGAGTTGCGTTCAGCCGCATAATACAGCGGAGGCCAACCGTGGTTGGTTAATGTCTCTTTGAACCCGGGGTTGCCCGCGTATGTTTGTAGATATGCTTTGATGGCTGTGAGAGTGCATTTCTTCTCGATCGCGGCGCATAGTGTTTCGATACAGAAGACCGATGAACGTATTCTGGACTGAAGTAGCTCGTCGGGTGGCGATTTTGGGTCGTCCCAGTAGGTACGTAGTATCAATTCGTAGAGGCGATAAGTTTCGAGATCAAGCGGAAATACATCCATCTAAAGTTCTCGGTCTTCTTGTTGTAGAGAGTGCAACTTGTGGACATGGTGATCTTGTTGTTGGTGTTGTGTGGTGGATGGAAGCATACGGATTGCTGTGGGGCAAGCATTTGAATAGAGTTTTTTTGCTTGAGATGCAACTAGGACAAAGGAGATCATCTTGGAATGCGCTTACCAAGCGCTGTATTACCAAGTTTATTGACCACGGAATATTCTTGTAGCAAATAGAACTGATAATCAGGGTAAAGATTCGTGGTGGCTGGAGAGCTGTGAGTGACTTCCGCTTCGCGTTGATATATCAACTACCCAATTACCGCCGTGAGATCCCGCCCAATTCTCGAAGGCGAAATGGGAATAATAGCGTATAGTGGCCACCAAGAAGCGCTCATTCCTCGGCGCCCTCCATTTCGACATCGCCCTCTTCGCCCTCTTCCTCCTCTCCGCCTTCGGCCCACCAAAGAGTTGGACCAAGACCAGGCTGAGCCATGGAGCCCTAGATCTCACATTAGTTGTTATCTCAAACACAAGTTGTACACGACTTACTATTATCTTCCAGGCCGTCGGTCTCTCTTCAATGATCTCGCCCTTCTCATCCTTTTCTATAATGGTCGGCCGTTGATCATACCACTCCTCATGCTCTACCCTGAACAGAACTGGCTCACCCTTATCGAAGAAAAGTTCTGTGCCTTCAGAGTTCCAGATCCACACCATCTCGGCTTTAGAAAAGGACGAGTTTTCTGGCAGGTTCTGGTAGGGAACGAAGACTTCTGAGGTGAACTCCAGGTCAAGGATGATGCCTTCTTCGTTGGATGACTTGATCCTTCCGTAGATGATTTCGCCACGGAAAGGGCGGAAGACAGTCATACGAAATTCGACTGTCACTAGTGTGAGTGAACATCTTGAAAGCGGCGCGACATTACTGACTGTTGACATTGACAAGTCCAGTCCCGTGGCCGATCAAACCTTCGGTAGCTGAAATGAGATCCCACATGCAGAGGCAAAGGCCAATGCCAGGAACGATCCTGTTGCTGTACTTGTCGTTGACTACATCTTTGATAGCTTGTGCGCTAGGCTTCTCGAAGTCCTGTGGCTTGATTTGTATCAAGTCTTGAATCGTGGTCTATGCAATAATCAGTACAAGACCCACAATATGCGCACGCGCGATCTCCGGCGACTGAGCTCTACGCGTAGTCATAGCCAAGTCCCGTCTTTCTCTTCCGCTCAAATTTTCTGACGCGCAGCGCGAAAGCGCGTAGGCGATGAAGACGACACTAGATTTGTAAGCAACTTACAAGGATGAACATGATCGCAGCTTTGGAGGCTTCATGGGTATGAGGGCAGAGAAACGGTCGCTACCTGGACATGGTGGATATAGACAATGGAGTTGATGGTGAGAGTCCTTTGGGTAACCACTGGCGCTGCGCTAGTGATATCGATAAGGAACTTTTGGGATTTGCGGACTCCCGAGGCGTGTCGCATGTCCTGCAACAGCTACCCCAGCGTTTTCGCGATTTTCACCCTACCATCATTCGCTTCTTGTAACTATTATACCTAATGTCTTAGCAGTTTTATTCGCGCGCAACACGGATTTTCAACCACCGTAATGTCGTCTTTCAGATTTCCTCCTCCGCCGCCGCCGCCGCCGCCCAAGGCTACTACCAGCGAGCAACCACACGCGAGTCAACGGGGCGGCCCTGCCCGAGGGGGTGGTGATAGGGGTCGCGGGAGAGGCGGCAATCAAAACCGGGGAGGGGGTTTCAATAACTCTGGAGGCAATCCAAGAGGTGGTCATGGGCAGAGTCGCGGTCGCGGAGATGGGCGCGGCAGAGGAGGCCAGCGAGGAGGCTATCAGAACAACAGAGGCGGCGCAAATAGCAGGGGAGGTTACAATGCCGGCAACGGACAACATCAGGCGAATGCGCCGCCCAACGGCGCCTCCCCGAATGCCTACAACAATACGTCCTTCACCGGCGGCGCCCAAACATATGGCGCGGCACAGCAGCAATACGACCCCAACGCTCTTGCCCAGGTCATGTCATACATGTCGACACCGGCTGGTGTACAGTCGATGGCAGCATACGCCAACCATATGACAAGCACGGGCAACGCGCCCTTCCCCCCGTCTCCACAATCCCATCAGCACCAACCGAGCCCTCAGTATTCGCCGCCTCAACACGCCGGTCAAAAGAGAAAACTGAACGACCGAAACAGCAACGCACAGCCCCAGCGGAACCCACCGCAGCCAAGTTCGAAGCCACCGAGGGCCAAGGCCGCTGTACCCCCACAGGTGCCCAGCTTCGGCTTCTCCCTGCCTCCACCTCCTGTGGTGCGACCGGACAACAAGAAGCGCAAGGTCAATCTGGGACTTTCGAAGCAGCCTGTTCCCGATGAGAGTAGCGATGAAGAGGACATCGACGAAGAAGCTGCGTATACGGAGAAGCTTAAGGGGGGAGGCTTCGCGTTCGAGCACGGAGGAGAGATGATTAGCATCCAAACAGGAGCTGAGGTCGCTGCATGGATCAAGGACAGGAGAAGAAACTTTCCGACACAAAAGAGGATCGTGGAGAAGGCAGAGGAAGCCGCAAAGAAACGAGCAGCCGAGCTTGACTTTTTGCGCAGAGTGAGCGGCAAGCCACCGAGAGAGCACCACATCGACAATCAAATTCAACAGCCGAAGCCTCGTGAAAGGAAGCTGGATAGTAGCACGAAGAAGGAAGACAGTGCGAAGCGGGATGCCGAAAATCGCAGACAGGAAGAACTCGCGGCTTTACGTAAGAAACTTCATGAAAGCATGATAAAGAAGCAATCTGCGCCGAGCGTAGTGGATCTGGGCTTAGGATACGAGAGCGAGACAGAGTCTGAGTCTGAAAGTTCAGTGTTATCCGAGTCATCTGTGGTATCAAGTTCCGAAGAAGAGGAAGAGGAGTCCGAGTCTGAGTCAGACGACAGCGACGGAGCGCCAGAACCCACATCTTCAAAGATTTCTCCACCAGCCATTCAGGTTCCTCCTCCCCCGCGGGCATCAGTCGCCGCAAAGAAGGCAACGAGTGTGTGTAGCAATTGGAAGCGCAATGGGAAATGCCCTTATCTCCGCAAATGCAAATTCCAACATCCTCCAAAGGAAGAAAAATTACAGGGATTGTACGAGCGCATGGTAGAGCAAGAGCTGGTCAAGGCAGACCAATTGGCACTCGATGCCATCAAATACTTGGGACAGTATGGGTTCTTGGGCTAAGCGATGCTGAACGGGCATGCTCGCAGTGCTTCAATAGTTCATTCTCCAATGACATATGTACAACCTTGTTTCCCTACCCATACTTCGTGCACCTTGTTCGCATCGACATCCCATCTAGCGCCGGGACCTATTGTTTCCTTCGTCGCGTCGGGGTCACCAGGGTATGTGTACGTTATGGAGCCGTTGAGTACAAGATGTGTCGTCTTCCCGCTGTGCTTGTGTGGCGAGTAGTGCGCATTGCTATGAGGAAGTTGGTCTACATTCAATGTAGTAGAGCGATTGTATACTCACGGGCTATCGGTCCACGTAAACACATGGTCGAAACCCCAAGACCGGACTTCGCTCTCTGCTTCTTTCCGTGACTTGACCATTGTGAATGTGATTTGCGTCAAGAATGTCAGTGCTCATCGAACGATGGTATCTTTGGCCATGCTGGACCCTGAGTGACGTCGGTGGGCTTGGCGAGGCTGCAGAGGCACATGTTAAAGCTAGACCCTTTTCACTCAGCGCCGCAAACAGGGCAGCCCCCATCCATTCACCTTGCGCATGCAGCAAACGTCGGAAGTTGCGTGTCAATGTCCAGCAAGTATTAGCGATGTATGTGCTCCACCAATTGGATGATCAAACGCCGATGCGGCAAGCCAAGGCAGGCACGAGCTGACCATGAGGCTATTGCGCCCGCGTCAACGTCGCGGCCCGCACCCCTCATACCTTCACAATTAGATCCCGCTACCACTCCACAAAGGCTTTGTAGTCGCAAAACTAAGTCGGGCATATCTTTGATGCGTATTTCATGTATGTTAACTATACTCGCCCATTAACCGATTGCGCAATTGGGAAGGAGATACTGACATCCCAGAGCCAGCTGAGCTGCCTGGATTCAGCCATTACTCAGGCACGCATACGCGTCAAGGATCATACACCGCTGCCACTCTGCACTCTGCTGCCGCCTATAAACCCTCCCGCCGCTCCTCCTGACTTCACTCTCTCTTCGACCCCGCTGTATCCGTAACATCATCACAAGATGTTGCCCGGCAAAGACGAAGACAAAGACCGCAAGCTGGGTACGCCCAAGGCCGACAACCCAGAACTTCAAGCAGGCGGTGGTACAGCATCTGCCTCTGCTGCAGCTCGCAAGGTCGATGCCTTATCACCGCTGCTTACGCAACACCTCAAGAAGCTATACGACCAGATCACAACGCACTACGACTTGACGACAAAGAAAGGTCAACAGCAGTGGCTGACTGAAGAGCAGGAATGCTCCGGGCAGAATGCTGAGATTCTGGCTGACGGGTCATTCTCCAATTTCGCCAACTACTTCATGTCGGGCTCAGCAAGCGTCTTGAAGCCTGCGCCACCAGTCGACGAGTCGCATCCCATCTCCAACTACTTCATCTCCTCGAGCCACAACACATACCTTACCGGCAACCAGCTGTCAAGCGACTCCAGCGTTGATGCCTACAAGAACGTCCTGATGCGAGGATGTCGCTGCGTCGAGGTCGATGTCTGGGACGGAGACGAGCTTTCCGACTCCAGCTCTGACGAGGAAGCTGCGATGGGCAACCCAGGATCAGACGATGCGAGAAAAAACAAGAAAAAATCAAAGTCCGGTCTAAGCATTCGTAAAAGGCTAGCCATGAAGTTTGGCAGCAAGGACAAACCCGAGGAGGAAGAACAAGAGACATCAGAGCCGCCTCAAGAGGACGACAACAAGGTTCAGCCATGGCATTCCGCTTCCTACACATCGAGAGCCGAGCCTATTGTAAAGCACGGTTACACTCTGACCAAATACATGACGTTTCGCGCTGTGTGTGTAATCATCAGGGAATACGCATTTGCTACGTCGAACCTGCCTTTGATTGTCAGTCTCGAAGTACACGCTGGTCCAGAGCAGCAGGAGATCATGGTCGAGATCATGAACGAGTATTGGAAAGGTATGCTACTTGAGTTACCTCTCGATCCATCGCAGGGTCTGCAAGAAGCTCAACTACCCACCTTGAAGGACCTGGAGAACAAGATCTTGGTGAAAGTCAAGCGCGGACACCTGAAGCCAGCTGCGGCTGAACAACAACCTACAACACTTGCCGCGCCAGCTTCAGCGCCAGCTTCAGCGCCACAGCTACAGCACACTATGAGCATTGAGTCCGCGACTTCGGACGACTCATCAGAACTTGTTGAACCAGATGCGGAGAAGAAGCCTCCAGCGCCGAAACCCAAGGTCATTGAGTCACTATCACGGCTGGGTGTCTACTTGGGAGGCTACTCATACAAAACTCTCGATGCTCCAGAAGCGAAGGTTCCTACCCACGTCTTCTCTTTGTCAGAAACAACACTGATGGAAGTCCACGAGAACGACCCCGTCCGACTCTTCGAACACAACAAACATTTCTTCATGCGCGCATACCCCAAAGCCTTGCGGTGGTCATCAACAAACTTGAATCCCTCCGTCTTCTGGCGTGCAGGTGTGCAGATAGTAGCGCTGAATTGGCAAAGCTGGGACGCCGGTATGATGCAAAACGAAGCCATGTTCGCAGGCACTGCTGGATGGGTTCTCAAACCAGAAGGCTACCGCAGCACGAGCAAAGAGGCGACACAGAAGACCGCAATTCCCCATCACGACCTTGATTTGAGCATTGAGTTCTTCGCAGGACAAGATATCCCTCTGCCGCCCGACGAAGACGACCCTAAGGATCTCAAGCCTTACGTCAGGATTGAGCTGCATGTTGAGTCGCACGAAGAACGCAATAACGAACATGTGCCCGATGATGGAAGAAACACTGGGGAGAACCCCAAGAAGGAGACCAATACGGCAAGGACAACGAACCCCGATTTCGGCGGCGAAGTCGTCAAGTTCGTTGGTGTTCGTGGTGTTACGGAGGAACTGACATTTGTCAGGTAAGTCTCATCTCTTTTCTTTCGCTCCGTATCAGGTACATGCAGGTCGTCATGGGAGCCGCAATGTTGCCCTCGCACGCACGGATACTCTTCCTGGTCTACCGAGAGAGATGGTAGAATAGCGGTCATTGAATCCGGCTGGGTAACTCTGCATCGTTTCGCTGCATACGCGCTGTTACGTTGTATGGCGAACGTTGAAAGAGAGATACCGAGTGAGCAGTCGTGGCACGGCTGTTGAATGATGGTCGGGATCACTGCGCCTGCAGATCGTCCTTATTCCCGTTCACGCCGTTCTAGCGCCAGCGCCTTGTCGTTTCTTCGATGACACTGCATATCTCTTCGTCTGGTACAGCGAGTCGGTATTCAGTGTCGAGCTATGGAGCAGCTGCAGTACCAACGCGGTATACTGCTGTGGCTTCATCCATCGGCCGTCTCGTGACCGCTTCAATCCGCAGCGAGAATAGCTTTGCTATGCGCAATCGGACACCGGCGATGATTTCCCACGACACACTATTCCTCGAATCTTCATTCGTCAATTCACCACGCTCATGCTAACTCACTGCTATCAGATTCAAAGTCATAGACAAAGAGCGCTTCGGCAAAGATGACCTAGCCGCGTGGGCGTGTTTCCGCCTCGACCGCCTGCAGACCGGCCTCCGCATGCTGCATCTCTACGACTCAAACGGTGTAATTACCAAGGGTGTGCTATTAGTCCGCATCACGAAGACGGTCAGTACGGCTTGAATCAACTATATCTGTTATTCCTGACCGTTACTACTTACCGACTTATCTTCTTGTTTTCTTGGAGCTGGTGCACACTTTGCTAGGTGCGGTGTCGTGGCTAATGCTGTGATTTAGTTGTTCCCGAGAGGCGCGCGGGTGCAGCGTGGGAAGCAGTTTGATCATGAGACTTTGTCGCGGCCTCAGCATTTGGTTCATAAGGTGTGGGGTGAGAAGCATAAGCCGCGTAGTGGGCTGAGGAGAAGGCTTGCGTCGTTATGACGGTGACGGACGACCCGTCTTGGAGTTTGCTGCATGTTATTCCTGGTGTATGTGTGTGTGAGACACTGCGCGGTACCCATCCAATCTGCTATGCAATTGTATATCATAAGAAGAACATATATACTGAATCTTTTACAATAGTATTTGCATGTTGTGTGACATCATTCAGTTTGCTTACATCCAGCCTTTGATGAGTTGATGTCGGCAGTTTCGGGGTATAGTGTTTATCCAAGTGTGAGCATATGCGCGTAGAAAGTAACATCGATCGCCTTCGCGAAAAGCGACGGGGAGAAGTGCCAGTCCGAGAAATACAAGGTTAATTCATGCCAGCAAGCACAATACCTTGGCTGAAAGTGTTGACATCACCTCGTCTCACGCGGCAGCATCACCCGAGAGACAGCCGCGGTTTGAACGACACTGCGACTGTTAACACGGCAATCGTCTGGCACACATCTCCTCGAGGCAGACAAAAGTGACACCCGCAGTGTAACTGAAATCGGAGGGCAAGGCTGATGGTCAACAACGGCCACCTTTCCGACCTTATGCGGCTCTGTGGCGTTACTGTGCATGTTGCCTGGCTGGGAATCATCTCCCGGGTGTGTCGCTACACCCATCAGCTCGGTGTTTCGCTGCACTACGGGGTTCCCCTTGTAGGTTCGCGTCGACCCGGACGCGGTTGAGTCGAGTCTTTGACGAAGATGCTGTTATATTGGTGCGATGTCATTTCTCACGACGGTTACGAAGCGACATTGTCCCACGATGCGACTAGGTCCGAATCAAGTGCCGCAGACCTGCTGCGCGGGTGTAACTGGATAGAGTATCGTAGGAAATTAGGGAGGCGAATAGAACTTGCTGGCTATACCTACATCGAACGATGCTGTGTGACGAAAATGTTGAAACTCACTTCGCGTGGCGTTGAAGCTGTACCTCTAGGGTACCTTGCATTATGCTGAAGTGTCTCCTTGGTCGTTTGAGCAGGACGCGGGTTGGTTTGGCCAGTCGCGGTTCACTGGTACTGGTGCAAGTTCCCTCGTGTCGATCGACGGGAAGTGAGATCATAGGCTTTGCAGATGGCTACGAATGCAGCAATCGTCGGCTGCTCATCGGTGGTTTATGGAATGCCCAATCCAGGTGTGCTTCAATCTGTAGCGATGAGCTAGATATGAGCAAGACGTGCCGAGCGGATACTACAAGAGCTTTGGCTAGGTTAGAAATCTTTTAATTTCATCGGTGTGGCGCCTGCTGCGCCTGCACTAGATCAAAAGTGGGCACCGAGCGGCGAAGTATGATGTGCGTAGCTAGCTCGCTCGTAAAGCGACCGACAGCTCTCGCCAGGTGACAAGATTAACGGGTGGGCCACACGGATTAGACCCAGCATGGTGCGAGATATTCCAACTCTCGGCGTTAGGTCAAAGACTATATATTCTCGAGGCGGCTGTTCGAGCCCAGTGTGTGGCCAGAAGAAAGATTGTTAAAGACTATCGAACGTGCTTCGTCAGTCCTAGCGGGTCCTTAGCACCAGATGATTCATCTTTCCGGAGGTAACAGTATGTCTGGATTGGGGCAAGTTTTTGCAATATTGTATCCTGCTCAATCCGAATTTGTGGTAGTTTTGATGAATACAGTTGTCGCATGGCCATGACTTAAGTAATTCCGCGCGCTGGGTCACTCGCTGAAAAAAAAAGCATGACAGTGCCATTGTTACCACGCGGTATTCTTCGACATGGCAAGCGGACGGGACGGCCCCTTAGTCTGGCTGATGCAGTCTACCAATTAGTGCTAGACTAATGGTGGTTGATGCCCTCGCATCCTCGTGTCAGTCCTCAGGTCGGCAATAATGACGTGTCAAGTCAGATGTGTTAGTACCATCGACAAAACACCAGAGCGAAGATCCACTGATAGAGGAAGCTCAGCGATGTCAGTAGGGTAGTTATGACTGGTCGATCAAAAGCTTCAACTCGTCATTATAATGCACCACAAACAAGAGCTTTGGACGCGTCCTCGTTCTGAGGAAGATAGGGACCGGGGTTCGAAGGTTTGTTATGGTACAAACGACCAGCAGCTATCTAAGATCGCGATCTCGTGGCTTGGCTGCGTTTGTCAGACGCCTTAGATTGGACAGCTCGAGTTGACATCCGCTGTGAACGTGCGACAGTCGTAGATGGTCATACCACGGAAGGACGGCTATCGGTATAAGCTAAAAAGCGAAACGGCGATCGCAGTCCAAACGGGCGGCGGCTCACGGGATGTATCGCCAAACGGTTTGGCTCATGCAAGCCTGCAAAAGCACCGAGAGCCTAGACTATGCAGAAAGGCGGGGAAAAGGCATAAGTCTGCTTGCGGCTGCATGTTACAAGGCTTGTAGATAATCGTGGCTTCGTTAGCGCCGAACTTGACAAAATGAAAAAGCGACGAGGCTCAGCGAGACTGACGGTGCCGTGACCCGCACGTAGACTATCAGCAAAGATAGGGTAGCAAGCCATAGTGGCGCAATTAAGTTCTGATTGAATTATCTCAAAGTAGCTTGGCGAGTCCGACTCGGAATGATGGGAATAGTGCTGTTTCATCGCATGTTGGTGAAGTACGCCTCACGCGGAACGTAACTTTTTGTCGTCAACATCGAAATGATCCAGTACAGTATGCAGCTGAGCTCCTTGCGTACCAGTATTGGTTCCGCGGTCCAAATCTTTGTGGCGCCAGTGTATACAGCCGTTGACATGCTCTAGAGCGATTTTCGGTTAGGTAGACGATCTGGAAGTTTAGCGTCTCCGGGATACTGGTTGACATGTATCTGTCCGTATGCTTCCAGGCAGGTGGATAGACATGGCGCAGACTTTCCTTGATCTGTTATCGTTGACAGTGTACGACGCCCCATGCACATCGTGCAGGTCAGAGGCACGAGAGAGAGTCGTCTCCTTGAATTTGGAAAACTGCAGACCGATGCGGGCGCTACAAGCGTACTGCGAAGCACAAGGGTTACGCTAGCGATAGAGGATTTTGGTGCACAGAAGCCGTTCGGGAAGTTGAGAATGTATAAAGACGCGTCTTTGGCCTACATGGGAGGTACTCGATATGTTCACCTTGATTTGTTAGTGTCGCTCCACATTCCTTCAATCTTTCAGCCATCTTTTGCTCGCTTGTCTCTTCTAGATCATCACTGTCATTTGCTTCAACCATGTCCTCCAAGATGCAACTCCAACACTGGCACCTACCCAGAAGCGTCATGTGGATGCACACGCCCATCGACAGAGTAGCCATTCCTTGTATGAATGACGCTGAAGGCATCGTCACTATGCCGGTGAGTCGAAAGCGTACATCGTCATGGGGCGTCCACTGATCGTTATAGGTACCCGGTCGTCGCTGCCCTGCCTGTCTCGAGCGTGGAGACACAGTCTGGGTTATCCCTGGAAAATGCTGCATTCAGTGCGGTACTCCCGTTAACTAGACGGGCGCTACACCACAGTGAGTATACACTGAGGCGACGCTGTGGCATTGACTGATCGCCATGCAGGACATACGTAACTTCCGAACTTGAGACTTCGCGTGCTTTCCGGCGGTCGTCATGGCGCGCGTAGAGTGACTTCCGCATATTGCGTTTGGGGGTTGTTTGTCCGCATTTTCAATTGCTGGCCTAGTAACGTTGTACTTGTACTTGTATTGGTGGATCTGTAATCAACTCAGACGGTTCCAGGTGGCTTAGTGCTGGTGTGAGCGTTAGACTCGAGCTCAATCTACGTGTGTTAATTTGGTGATCAGTGAGTGCCTCTTGTGGATATGTGTGGCTACTCTTACCGTCATGCCCAGAGTGAACACTATAAAGTGAAAGCGTAGTTCGTGGAGTGCAGATGGCTGACGGTTAGGAGAGCAGCGTATATGATGAAGCGTACCTACGATACTCTGAGTTCAGTTGGATTATCGTGATGGCGCCATCTTGCGCCGTGATAACGTTTTCGAATGTGGTGTAAACAAAGCTGAGCGTGGAAGGGGCCGATGGAGCTTTGCTTGGCGCCTCAGGGTCCGGGAAAGAGCGCCCAAGAACCAGCAGCAGCTGGCGCAACGGCGGGCGATAGCAAGATAAATCACAGCCTATTGAAGTGACCAGTTCACAATTTGAGTATTAGCAATAGAGATGAATGTATGACTGGTTAGGACTGTGCGACATGCAAATGCTTGAATGAATTAAGAGAGATAGGTGACCAATAGTTACGAGCCTTTAGATCGGAAGACAGCCATACAGTGTCCTGCGCGTACAATGTCAGAATGTCAAGCCTGACTACGATCCCCAATGAACGCCTGTTCATCCCAGCATATGTGGTGATGTATGCCAAACTCCAACGCCATATCCAAATATATTACAAATTGCCATTCAGCCCGGGAAACAAAGCTTGGTCATTATAGTCGTGTTGTGTGGGAGCGCAGAAGCCGGATCGTGCTTGGTGCGCATGCTGGCTCGGTCCTATATCGCGTCTCGCTCGATGGCCCCTTTAACGGGTTGTTGGGTGACGTGTGGAGTATGAGATGAGACGTTCATTTGCCCCCAGTTTGCCGTTCATGCTGAGTCATGACCCATCGCATCTTATCGCGGGTTTGCTCCAACGAATCGACAAGTTTCTGCGCCTCTCGTTCCTTCTCTGGTAGTGCGCGTCGCAGCCGCTCTGCTTCCTGTATGAGAGCATCCATCTCTTTCCGGTGCTCCTTCTTGTATGCCTCCATCAGGTTGACCAGCTTGGCCTCGGCCCGTGTGGATCGCGAAGATTCGTGTTGTAGCTGGTCGCTAATGATGGCTTGCCGCTTGATCTTATCGGCGTCTTCGAGGCGCTTTCTCCGTAACTCATTAAGCTCATCGTTGATTTGGCGGACCTTCTTCTCGTAGCCGTCGGTGATGCGCTTGAAGCCGTCTCGTGCTGTTTCGAGGTTCGTGTCTGCCATGCCCCTCATCTCGTATGCTTGCGAAAGCTGTCGTTGCGTCTCGGATCGTGTGTCGCCCAGCATCCGCAGCGCTTCTTCGGCTCGCTGTTCGGCGGACTTCCTTCTTTGTATTTCGGCGTCGAGTGTGGCCTTGAGTTCTTCTAGCTTCCGGTCTTTCCGCTCTATGGCTCGCGCATTGGTGTCGGCAAGCACTTGGAGATGTTGGTACTCGGCGCGGGAGTCTTCGGCTTTGGTTTGTGCAGCCGACACACGCTTGGCTTCATCTTCTCTTGCGAGCTTTTCTGCCCTGAGTTCCCGTCGCAGGCGGTCATTCTCTTGTGTGATCTTATCAATGTATTGCGATGTCTTTGAGTTGGGGGTGCTGTAGTGGTTGGGGCGGGCCCACGGGCTGTTCTCATCGGCGGCAGCCATGGCGGCTTTGTCGACAGCTAGCGGGCCTGAGACGTTGCGGGGCGATGTGTATGAGGGCATGGTGGTGGTCGAGGTCGTGCGTGCTGGTGCGGCGTTCGCAGTGCGAGAAGTGTCGTCGGTGGTCCAAGCTGACCCGTTCATGTCATTCCTCTTGCGGGCGGTGAAGTTGAGTTCGGGGAGCAATGGGGCCGAGTCTTGGTGGAGAGGGTTAGCATCGAACGTTATGAAGGCGCGTTTCAGGAAGCGGCATCGGGGGGCCAAACAATGCAATTGTGCAGCACAGCGCGGACAGGAAAGATGTTTATGCGGCGCGTCAATCAGGACGATGGGTGATGCGCTGTGTTTGGGGACACCAGGGGTCCACCCTAGCGCTAACTTACCTGGAGCCGTAGCGGCCGCAACTACCTTCCTTCTGCGAAAGGGAAGGAGCGGCATGCTTCGAGTGCGCAATGCGACAGGACTGGACATCTGTCTATGGATTAGTTTTGGTTTTTCGAGAGCCGTCGACCAAGATCCAGTGCTGCTGCTCAGCAATTGCCCACGAAAAGGCACGAAAAAGAATGCAACTGCAGCAATCTAGCGGAGATTGCGCACCACCAACAGATGACTGGGTTGAGGAGGACTCATACCTTGCTGATGGTCTTGTCGTGCTCCGGCGGATCTTCACAAATCGTTAGCAACCTCTATTGTTCTTGATTCATTCGTATTTGGCAGGCGGCGAGGTTGGGCGGATGAGGTTCCAAACGGTCGTTATTCAACGAGCAACAGGAGCGGCCAAGTCAAAAGCAATGCATTTTGCAGTGAAAACTAGTCTAGCCATTTGAAGCGCCTACAAACCTCCCCTTCACTTCACCTTGGATTCATCGTGGTCTGGTAATGCTGGTGTAGCAGTTCGCCAATCAGCGATGATCCCAGTTCAGGAACCCGCTGTCAAGTGGGGCGCAACCCTAGCAACTGCCCTACGGAACGTGACGTGTGCGTTTCCCGCACGAAACACCGTAAGACCGCTAGGCTCGTCAGCATGAACGCGTTCGTGCCGGGACATTGCGAAGCGTACGAGTGTGCTGGGGAGTCCTTGGTACTCCAAGATTTGATGCCTTTGCAACGAATTACCACCACGAAAGCCAGCAGCCATCACCATGATGCTCATGTACCAGAATATTGAGCCTACTGTCACCCGCAAGTCTGCCAGCTCCGTCACCATAATATTGTAGACAGTATACCCCACATTGCACTACCAACGTGGCTGAGCCTCACCGCCCCCAGCATGACTGTACTGGGAGTCACTGTGCAACATGGTTGAACGTGATTTTCACTTGTAACAACGGCCGCCACCCTTCACGCAGATCGGCCCGTTACTTCTCTATGAATAGACCCAACCGCCGAGGGAAGGGTGCAGCACGCTAAAACCAGAGAAATCTCCAAAAGCATCAGCTCTACTGGTGAAAACCACCCAAGCATCACAAGGAGCTCATGACTTGCGTAGAGACGAACTGAACGCACTCCCGAGTCTTGCCTTTTTCCCGTCGTCCATAAATGACCCTGAGCGTTACGTTAAATATACTGTGAGAAGAAGGTTTCGTCAGTGGTTCATGGTTGGGGAATATTTCCGTAGATTGAGGCTTGACGTGGTCATTGACAAACCAAGTCTCTGGTTTATTGTGTGCCTTTCCACCGTAAAGACCAAAGGTAGGCTGTCTGACAATGAATCAGGGCGGCCAGGAAACAATGGTCGGATAGCGATGCGATACTGAATACTAAGTACCGACTGCCAAAGCACAGTAACAGACACTACAAATGAAACGGATATCATTCCTTGAGTATGTACATATAGCAGGCCGATTTCATCCCAATCTAGAACATGTCAGGCGCCTTCTTAACGCGGGTCTTCGGGCCCGTTACGGGCGTCTCGGACGAGATGTCGTTATTCCTCAACTTCTCCAGCTTGCGCTCATTGTCCTCGTACGCCAGCTTCTTATATTTCTCAATGACTTTGTCCATCTGCACTTGGCTTCCGGCGGGAACGTTGTATGGCGATCCGACGTTCATGATCCTGCATTCGTTAGCCTGAGACTCCACACCAATCCCCCCTCCATGTGCGCTGAATCGCCTTCATTCCAACTCATAGTTCCTCCTCCTATAGGGCTGCATGCCGCATTCTGGGTATACATACTCTGGGAACTTCATGTCGACGTATTCCTGAGGCCGTGTGTTCGCGAACAGCACCCTGTCCTCACCCGCCTGCTCGATCATACGCACGTGGTGGTCGTTCTGCGAAGTCCACTTCTCGTGTAGCCCAGCCGTCGCATTGGAGATCATGCGGGTAATGTAGGGCTCGTTGTTCTCGCCGTCCGGTCGCGACAAGGCGTATACGGCGATTCCAACGGGGATGACGCCAACGGTCATAAAGAAGCCATACTACATGCCAATTGAGTCAGCAATATTCTTCGTGTAGTGCTACGATAACCTGGGGGAAGCCTAGGACCATCTGGGAGGGGTAAAGGGCGGTTGACATACGCCCATGGGCTCGTCGGCGGCTGGGGTCGGGTGGCCGTGAGCGTGCTCATCGTGTGCGAAGCGGCGCGACTGGCGCGTGAGTGAGGTGCGGCTCGTCCGGGCAGCAGCCACTGCTGTTCTGCGTAGTGACTGCATCGTGAAGTTGCTTGCGGTCGTTGGTACCGCTGGGTTTCGCGATGATGCTGAGCTCGAGATGCGCTTAGTCAGATGTTCTTAGTGGCTTGGCATTCATGGGCACTTCCTTTTCGATACAATTATCATCGCGTTTGCAAGTAATTCCTTCAAGAAAGCGTCTGATTTATCTACGGTCAGATCTGTATTTACGTTCTGCTGTTAGGATCTTGGAAACTTCACCTGATCTTGTACGGGACTTTATGAGTATTCGCGAGAACTGGGCACCAACACTTCAGAAAATTTCTACTCAGAGTGCGGAGCGTTTCAAGAGATGCCTGGTAGTTTGCGACTGACAACTCTGTACACAATGGGCCGTTGCAAGCTTTCGATTAGTAACTTGCACCGCCGTTGAGATTCCTTTGTTCGGCCCTTGGATGCGTAGCGGTCCTAATCGGGAAACGACCACCCGAGCCTCGGTATCTTCTCCGCAGGACACCTGTGGAGGATCTGTGCGGACGCGAACTACAAACACGAGCGAGCTGTCTCTGCTTTTGACTTCCCATACCATCAGTCTCCATTCAAAGAAACCTTGCTTCCTCGTCTCCCCTCCCGGATCACTACCGTGAAAGTCGACCAAAGCGTTCAGAAGTCTGCCATCAATCAATCAAATCCATCATCATGCCTTCATATACATCTATCCATCTCGCCGAACGGCCAGTGGACGCTGTTGTCGCCGGCAAAACCTTCACACCAAAGCAGCAAGAAGTTCCATCGGCATCATCACTCAAAGATGGCGAGGTACTTTTCCAGACACTCTACCTATCACTTGACCCGGCGATGCGCGGCTGGCTGAACCCAACGCGTTCTTACATTCCTCCGGTCGAGATTGGTGCCGTCATGCGTGGTAGCGGTATTGGCCTCATCGTCGCGAGTAAGAGTAAGAAGTTTCCCGTTGGCACGTACGCAACTGGTATGTGTGGATGGTCCGAGTACTCGGTGCTGAATGAGAAGCATATTGAGTCATTGGATCTGCCGGAGGGGGCTGTACCAACCGATGCGCTGGGCGTACTGGGAATGACCGGCCTTACCGCTTACTTCGGGCTTTTGGAGATTGGCCAAGTCAAAGCGGGTGACTTTGTAGTTGTTAGTGGTGCAGCTGGAGCTACCGGAAGCGTGGTTGGCCAAATCGCGAAGCTGAAGGGCGCCAAGGTTCTGGGTCTCGCTGGCGAGGACAGCAAAGTATCATGGCTGAAGGAGGAACTCGGCTTTGACGAGGCGCTGAACTACAAGGACCCAGAGTTTGCAAAGAAGTTCAGGGCTGCAACCAAGGGCCTAATTGATGTGTACTTTGACAATGTGGGTGGAGAGATCCTTGATCTTGCTCTCTCTCGAGCGAAGCCTTTCGCGCGCTTCGTCATGTGCGGTGCGATCTCCGAGTACAACAAGAAGAAGCCTCAAGGGCCAAAGGTATGTCAAACATCTCAAATCGTTGTAATGCGCCCAGCTAACCGAGCTCAGAACTACATGATGATCATCTCAATGCGCATTCGCATGCAAGGTTTCGTCGTCTTTGACTTCGCGGACAAGTACGCCGAGGCCAGGAGGCAGCTCGCCCAGTGGCTCTCGGAAGGCAAGCTCAAGAGGAAAGAGACAATCATTCAAGGAGGCATCAACAAGGCCGAGGACGCGCTAGTCGGACTGTTCGAGGGAAAGAACACTGGTAAGTCCGTCCAATCACGATTGAAGAGTGAAGTCACTAATAACTGCAGGCAAAATCATGGTGCAGGTCGCAGATCCCGAGGCAGTCAAAGCGAGGTTGTAGAGGTATAACTAATCATTAATCGAGTTCCTGCTGAATGAATGTGTTAACCTTACGTGTCGCTCTGTTTAGAGAAACACTTCGCCAAGTAACGTTCGTGGACATGTACAACGACAACTACAAGTCGATATTTGAGCTTTGCCAGAATCTCAATCTCGAGCGCTTCGAGATTACTGAGACTTGTATCGACGATTCGCTTGACGTTCTGCTCATCACAGACGTTCTGAAAGCACTCTTTTATGGCGCCGCAAAGACTGCTATTGTCGATCCACCAGGGTGCATGCGTGCTCTCGCTGGATACTGGGCCAAAAGCGAAGTGAAGAATGCCCAAAAATTCCGGAATGATCGCAGGTCGAGACACAGACTCCGGACCAGGTTCACGATGCATGGGCGCAAGGAATGGATGATTGGCACATGGGCCTTCAGCAGCGATCAGCGAGGAGGTTAAGCATGTCAATTGGAGGTAGCACTACTCCCAAAAAGCAGTTGGCCTAATAACAAAACATATCTAGGATAACGCGAGTGTGTATGTATTATCAGCCAACCTGGTATCTTCTAAGCGACCGCGTGTAGTCAAATGCACAGTGAATAGCCTAATCTCGATCGAGCTTAGTCAACATGCTTCTTGACTGTGCCACCTTCCCCAGGATGCGGAAGTCGCGCCCCGCACTTCAGACACTCAGTTTTCTATACCACACTCTGCATCTACTTATCCATACTCCACAATCATCAAGAAGATCTAGTAAGGATCTGATTCTATACAAGATGAAAGCGAAGGTGGCGAGGCTATTACACTTTAGATCGACAGACCCAGATACGACGACTGCAGCCGACAACAGCCTCGGATGCAAGGGCAATTGCCGTCTCCTTGGAAGACGATTTTACGAATACCGACATCCACCTCCTCCATCTCCTCCACCTCCTATAGCTCGTAACCCTTTCCATTACCATTACATTCGCCCGTGCTGCATCCGTCTGCTCACTCCCTCACCCAAGATCAACGACGGCTACCATTGGAAGATACACCGCTTTCACTTTGAAGCAATCTACAACAACTTCGAGTATGATGCGCTATCTTATGTTTGGGGCTCTGATTCGGAACTTCTCGATATCAGTCTGAACGGACGTGTTGCGAAAGTGCACCGCAATCTATATAATGCTCTACCTTATCTTGCTCGCCGCGGAGGAGGCAGAACGATGCGACCGATCTGGATCGATGCGCTTTGTATCGACCAGGCGAACCCTGGAGAGAAGATGGGTCAGATCCGGGAGATGAATCTCGTTTACCAGCATGCGAACAAAGTCTGGATATGGCTCGGGACTGCGCAGCAACAAGAGCGTATTCCTGCCGCTATCCGCTTTCTTGAAAATTTGCGCGATGCAAAATCCAGCCAACCGCACAGGAAAATCGACGACCTGTACGAGAAATTGGGCTTTGCAACATTGCCTGAGAAGTCCGCACTGTCTCATCTTGTGTTTAACGACTGGTTTGAAAGGCTGTGGGTCCTACAAGAAGCGGCATTAGCGAAAGAGCCAACCTTCCTTTGTGGAGACAATGAATGCAGCTGGGAACTTATGGAGGATGCAATGAGAGATGAAGTACTCTACAGGCTCTTCAAAAAAGAGTTCTATGAGGCTGAAAATCCCGCCCATCTGTGCGACGACTCCGTGCGTACTGGGACAAGAAGAGCGGCGTGGAGCACTACGGTATTTCAGGTTCGAAGTTGGGCACGGCACGGTTGGGGTAGAGAATTCATTGGCCCTAAGGTTAATAATAAGAAGGGCGCTCAGGTCATGATGCTAGCATTCGCGATCATCATGTCACGTTCACAAGTATGTCTCAGACCCGAGGATCATGTCCTTGGTCTGCTAGGCTTGATGAAACCGAAGTATTTCTGGCGCACCTGCCTCGACCCAGAGGTACCATACGTATCAGTAGAAGACCTGTTCACTCGAGTCACCAAGTTCATACTGGAGATAGCTTGGGACCGGGAAATTGGAACTTTTTGGACGTGGATTAGCTGGGCATGCGCACTTGATAGACGCCAAGGTTTGCCATCTTGGGCACCGAATCTATCTAGCTCAGGGCCGTCGACTAATATGCCAAGGAGATATCACTCCACAAGTCCGTCTCGGTACACAACTATCGGAAAGTTGCAACGTTGGTACCCTACCTTTATAAAACAAGACCAATTGAAGTTAGCCGGCAAGGTACTCGATGAAGTCGTCAAGGTGTTCGCGCAGATGCCTTTTTCTTCTTCGACCCGAGATGCTCCCAGACCAGAACAGAGGGGTCATTTGCTAGCTATCTCGCATTGGGAATCGACGATCGCCGATGTTGCGATTGGTCGCACATTGACACGGTCAAAAGCGGAAGGTGATGACGATGGATCTCTCGAAGAATACTGGCGTACGCTAGTGGATAATCTAAAGCTTTACCAAGACGAGACAATAACGTACGATTGGTATCTTGAATTTCAAGCGATGGGACGACGACTGAGAGATATCAATGTCAACCCAGCACAACTGAAGTAGGTCACTCTTGCTTGCATCGATACCTATTGATAAGCTTACACTACTCAGTGCAGAGACAGAGCCTCAATACCCGAGGTTTTACAGCCCTGTGAAGGATTCTGAAGAGCTTCTAAAAGCGGAAGCCCAATATCCGAACGCTTACAAATTTCTCGAGGCCATGCAGGAGGCCCGTCACAGGCGACTCTTCAAGACTAAGAAAGGGCATCTCAGCTCGACAATGCCGGGTGTGATGCCTGATGATGTTCTGATAGCGCCGAATGGGGCGCCAATCCTATACGTGATCAGAAAGGTCAAGGATGCCGTGGACGATGAGCCGGAGCTTTGGGAATTTGTAGGCGATGCTTATGTGTATTCTCCAGATTGTGAGAACGACAAGGGATATACTCTGGAACGCAAGTCCTCTGGCGCAAGCCAGAAGGAAGCGGCTTCGATATCGACTTACCAACCCACCTATGTACACATTCAAAAGCGGCGAGAAGACTTGAAGCTCGAGGGCGAAGCCTGGGAGAAGGAAGCTCGGGAGAAGGAAGCGGCTTATCTGGGAGAAAGGTTCGTATTTGTATAAATGAGAGCGGTTTTGCGAAAGGACCTGAAAGATTCGAAGCTGATAGATAGGAGTATCCCTGCAAAAAATGCATGATATTTAGCATCTTCTCCGAGGTGTCCAGCAAAGTTCGTCATGTGAAGGAGATGGTGAGGGAACTGTCAGGCTGTACCTGCAGTGACGCCCACGCGCTAACCCCACCAGCAGAGGGCACGTGCGCTGAACTTTCAGAACGCCGCCACTGTTTCCCTCCCCACTCACTTCCCAAACCTCCGCGGTGTCCCTGTGAAGGCATGTTATGCTTCGGACCTTATCACGATCGATAACACGAGCCATGGCATCCAACGAGCCCGCCCGCGTTCCCATCCCCAAGAATGGCGTCGACTACCGTGGCAAAGTGGTGCTTGCGCCCATGGTGCGCTCCGGTGAATTGCCATCACGCCTCCTCGCGCTGAAGTACGGCGCCGACTTGGTCTGGGGACCCGAAACCATCGATCGCGCCATGATTGGCACCACGAAGCGACTGAACCCGCACACGAATACACTGGAGTTCTCGCGCCTGCCGACTTCGAAGATCAAAAACCCCACCCTCGATCCCGAGAATCGCGAAAGCGTTTTATACCGCATACATCCGGAGCTGGAGAAGGGAAAGCTCATATACCAGATTGGTACGGCGAATCCGGAGTTAGCAGTCCAGGCCGCCAAGATGGTCGCAGCGGATGTTGCAGGCATTGATGTCAATTCTGGCTGTCCCAAGCCATTCTCGACTTCGGGCGGCATGGGCGCAGCGCTGCTCAAGACACCAGACCTGCTTTGCGACATCCTGAAGAGTCTCGTGGAAGAAGTGGGAAAGCCATTCGAGATCGGAATTAGCGTCAAGATCAGAATCCTGGACACGGCAGAAGAGACAGCAGCATTGGTGAAGAGACTGGTGCGCACCGGCATCACGGGTCTCACGGTGCACTGTCGAACCACGCCCATGCGACCCAGAGAGCGCGCGATTCGAGACCAACTCAAGATGATTGGAGAGATATGCCACGAAGCAGGCGTGGCATGCCTGATGAACGGCGACGTCACATCGCGCACCGAAGCCCTCAAACTCGCGGAAGAGTTCAATGTCGACGGCGCAATGATTGCGACCGCAGCCGAAAAGAACCCCAGCGTGTTCCGACCCGACGCAGAAGGCGGGCCACACGAGTGGAAGTCGCAGTGGAAGACCGTTGTTACCGAATACATGCGTTTCGCGCTACAAGTGGAGAACCGGTGGGGAAACACAAAGTATCTGCTCAGTCAGATGATCCCAGGGAAGGAGAAAGCGTATCAGGCGATGAATAAGTCAAAGTGCTACACGGATTGCATTAAGGCGCTGGGCCTGGAGAACGTTGACGACTTACTACAGCAGGCCAACGTTGTTGACGAGCATCTGGGCATACCGCAAAACGAATCGCGAGCCTCTAAGCGCGCTCGGGTCAAGGAAGCAGCAAATCCAGAAAGCGATGCTGTCGAGCGGAAGGAGAAGCGCAAGGAACGGGATGATGACGAGCCTGAGGCCAAGCGCGTCAAGGTGCCTGAAGTGGAGCCAGAAGCAACTGTGGCCATCCCACCGCAGGAGATGGCGGCTCCTACTGCCTTGAGCGTATGATATTTTTGAAGATTTCCGGGCTGGGTGTGTATCTATCTGGGCATTGCAGGCGTATTGAGCATTTACGAAAGTGTCGAGGGTTCCCTTTGGTGGTACGCATCCATGACATGGGACAATGAAATGATATCAATATATAGTCTGCTGTGACTGTGATGCACCATACTTGTTCAAACGACTAAAAAAGTCCCCAAGCATCGTTACGTTGCGTCGCTGATGTACTGAACGATGGCACACGAAGGCCTTCCAAAATTTGGTACAAGGGTCTGCTGCATGACGGCTAGCACCGCCACCTGGGCATACTTCGCAACCGTCTTTGATGTCAACTTCCACTTTTCGCCCTCATACATTATATCCTTGGAATACAGAAAGAGGATTTCAGGACCGACAATGGTTGCGTCTACAGTTGATATTATGGTAGATATCGGCGATGACAAAGCGCAACTCGACAGTCTGCCGAACGAGCTACTAAACCTCGTTACAGACTTGGTGGTCTCTGGTGGCACGCCGATGGCGGTCATGCGACTGGTGAATCGGGGGCACTGTCGTCTTGTTTCGTGGTCTGCTCCCGTAGTGAGACTCCATCTACTGCGGGAACGAGCCATTGGGTTCTGCCCAGTGCACAACCTCATGAATCGTAGGCGGTATGACAGCCGATGGTATACTACACGGTCGGTTGAAGACGCCTTGCAGTAAAGGGATATGGCCTTCTTTTGCTGGAAGTGGTCGCGTCATGGTGATCTAGGGCAAAAGCTCAAAACGACCGGTGCTCTGCGTATTCCAGTACATGAACGGGCAAACATATGTACTTGAGATGGCCACTCGCGCATATTCAGGACCGATCTGGCACCGCCTCAATCTGATGTTCCTTTCGGCACTGAACCGATGATATCGCATTCTTGTGGACGTATCACCTACGTCAATGAGATAGCCAACGACCATGGGGTGCAAGGCTCCAAGACTCCTTTTGCAAGGCGTACCAGGCGTACTGCCACGTATCGTACATACTATCCGGTTGTCCAAACGCCTCGATAGTGCCTCGTTGGCTGACAAGGCGCTCCGCCACCACATGCCGGACGCCTTCCCCAGCCCAGTCGTGGAGGCTCTTATTCACTAGGCCCTTTCAGAGCATAGCAAGCGCATCGAACGCCACGGAATCGAGCGGTACGTATGCGCATCGATTCCAGCCTGATGTGACATCTATGTCTCTGTCATCACCATTATTGGCGCCATACAGATGGTTGGGGTCGGCAAAAAGAGCTTCAGATCGCCAGAGTTTCTCAGATGCCAACATTCTCATGATTGACGGGCCAACTGAGTTCATACCATAGCTACGCAACGTCCGTTGCATTCAAGTCGTACGGCTGCAAAATCAACATCACTTCCATGTAAATCACAGTACCAGATCCATCAATTTCTCCAAAGCTATCCATGTATTCGATGCTAAGCCTCTTCAGCAAGAACGGCGAAAAAGCTCGATAATCACACACACACACACACATAGTTATGAGCACCAAACGCCAGTGGTTGCGTACGAATTGGGAGATTTCCTCATCAGGAAAGACCACAACGTGATTGAAGAACGGGTAGGTGCGTATTGCTAGAGAAGAAGAGCCATGGTGATAATACGATTGCGCACAGGGAACCTAGCGCGTTCTATTGGCATCTGGCGCCCGCTGGGATACAGAAGATGTCCAAGGTAGATACGACAGCGCATGTGCAGCCATGTTGTGTGGCGGAGACGAACGTAATCTGCTACTCAGTCTGCGGCCGTGGTGTACACAGATATTTCATCCGTATCGATGTCTTGAGTCTCGGCGTCTATCTTTCCAGGCTTTTAATCTTGATGGCTGTTTCCGATGTATTCCACATCCACTCGGTAACGAGCACCGACTTTACCAACGAGAATGTCATCGGTATATGTGGTACATAACCGACGAAGAGCAACCTTGATACAGCCCTGTCTTGATACCAGAGGAATATTCATCCGATTTGTAAAGCTATCCAGTTTTGATTCCAATCGCGATGTTGACCCATCGCCTTGCATCTCCACGCTTTGCAATTGAAGCTCTTTTATGGAGTTGCCCAGTACAATGATTGGCGATAAACCTGAGGAGGTACTGGATGTCCTTATCGTCAAAGCAAAGCGGTCGGAGGTAGTTTTTGAAACTGTAATTATCGTGCCAGATCCTTTCGGGTGCTCATAACTGTTGGTAGTGCAACTCCAAGATGATAAGGTGAACGAAGAACTGTGGAACTCAAAACGGGCGAAATCATGAGCGACATGTGCAGGACGTGTGGACTTGTCAGATACCATTAGAGTCTGGGGCTCCATTTCAATCCCGCGAAATCTCTTCATATCTACCAAGAAGGGAACTCCATCGTGGCGAATATATTCTGATGTTGGCAGTCGGGTAAGAAGGATTCCTATGACGTGGCGTTCATGTCCTACGAGAGTGACAGGCAGAAGTGCGACCAACTTGTCCGGGCCTACTCTAGGAGCGACATCACCGGATCTCAAGCTCTGAATTTTGAGGCTGGATTTATACGGTAGCCGATGTACCTTGAGCTTTACACCGCCTTTGACCAGCTTCAGGTAGTGTTCGTCGAATGCTGGCCATCTAGTGTCAAGGGTCGTCCGCATCTGGGAATACGTGATGTGGCCAGGAAGGCATGTTACTTGGGACACGCAGTCTTTACAGCGATCTCTCTGACAAAACTGCCTGACCGAGTTCGCGAGCAATGGTGTGATAGCGGGCTCGCTGTTTCTGAAAAGGAATAGCGTGTGGTCAGCTTCGCTCTCAAACACTACTTGCTGCAACCTGCGGAATGCCTTAAGCCCCCCTTCGCCATACAGCAACGGCATGTTAGCATCGAAGAGCCCGAGCAAACAATAAGCTATGTCTTCGGTTCTAGTGACGAGTCGATGCGAAGACCATGAAATCTTCTCTGCAGCGAAGTACTTGTCCTTCAAATCGTGCCAGTCATTCCGAAGAGCGGCAAGGTCGATTCCAGTGATATGGGCAATTTCAGCGGCTCGCGAAGCCTTGGAGCCGATCGAGGTCCAGTCAGTCGCGTAGAATTCGACACTGGATGGTGCCAGTAACTCCTGTAAGGTCCAACCGCGAGTGAACCATAGACTCTGTTTGAATGCATCAAAACCAGCCTCCCTATCCGGAATGTCACTTAGATAAGCGTAACAAATCTGGGCCTCTTGATACCATCGAAACATCGAGTTGATCGCCTCCTGAAGCTCCGCAGAGCTGGATTTGTCGATGCAGCAACTGTCTATCCAGACCCAATCGAATCCATCCTTGAGTGCGAGTGCGCAAGTCCCTTGCACTTTGGAGAACCCCCGTTTGGCTCGGGCCGGGCTGCTCGTGTCGCTGATAGGGCTTTTCATCACATCCTCGAAGATAAGTTCTTCCTCTTCCCATCGATGTGATAGGATGACATAGTCAGGCGCTTTGCCAATGAATGCCGTGAGTGTTAGGGTACGCGTGTTGAGGAGCCTCATGTTTGCGCGCTCGTCGTTATGGGCTCAGTATGGTCGCGTTTATCCACCGAGATCTGTGGTGTGATGCAACCTGAATGAGCCTTTTAGGCGTGGACGGCCAGAAGGTTTGCGGAAAAAACCCGAAGTCATGATGGTGGCCTTTGATGTGGGAGACTCGCCATCAAGCTGCAGGTAAGCCACAGCCACCTGAGCATGCATGCGGGGCAACATGAATCGAAGCCCGCGCCCCCACTAGTCGCTATGCAAGTCATCGGTCCATGTCTCAGTTCATATCGATAGTGGTGTGGCGACGAAATGTGTAGACTTTCGCCGTGGCAACTCGCAGTGAACACGCTCGGGAATGAGCGCGCCAAGGTTCACGCTCCAGCCACTCACGTGACGTGATCCGACCTTCTTTGAATGACCCCTGTCTCAGTTGCCGCCTTCCATCTGCCAGTAACTAAATGTGGCAAGCATCAGCATCGCTTCCAACCGTTATCGTCTCTATAACAGTGGGCAACGAGAGCAGACTTCGATGACGGCTGGAGATGGATGCGTAGCCGCGCGCGACGTGCGAACTAGGCTGCCTCAGGTTTTCCCCGCCTCCCAATACTCACCGGCCGCGTTCCACAGCCTCAATGTGCCTGCGATACAGACACAAAACCTGAGCATGCGTCCACAAGCGGAACTTTGCGAATGCACGGATGACGTGGCGCAATTCTGGCCCCCATTTGATGCAGACAAAGCTCCGCCTCGATGCAGAGCCGCGGCCCCTTCGGAAAATCGAGGGCTCGCTTCCTTCATCCCGTCTTATTCACGACAACGCTCTCTGAATCCTTAGCATCAACGCGTTGCTCGCCAGCTTCTCAAAAGTTAATATTTTGTCCGGGCTCTGATATTGGGCACGCTACGCGCATCTGCATCAATGACCAACGACGGTGTCAACGCAGTCGAGATGGGGACTATCGCCGAGGCTCCAAAAGCTACTAAAACCTCCGTTGCTGCAACTTCGAGAACGGTCACCCCAAGCCCAAACATGTTGAAAGACGAAGGACCATTGATTGGATCGTGGCTGTGTTCTGATGGTAGAAGATGTCTTGTCCAAGTGCCATTTGCAGGTGTCGTTAATCTTGAACAGGCCCATATCGCCGATATATAGAGGCCTTGAGCGGATCCAATCCTGGGCTGAAGAAGGCCGACCCAAATAACAGGGATGAGCCGCTGAAAGACGGCAACGCGCTCGTCGCACTCTTGGACGCTCCTGCTACTGGAGCATCTGGTTTCACCACCACTGAATTCAAGAGCGAAAACGATCTTCGCAAGCACTTTCAGTCAGCAAGACATGACCACAACCGCCGGCGCATCTATATCATGGAGGGTTTAGCACCTGATTATGTCGCAGCCGTTGGCGGTCACTTTTTCATGGATCCTTCATTCTTTCAGCGGCAAGAAAGGACGTGCGTCTGGAGTAACGACTTTACACCAGTGAGCGATGCATTGCCCCAACCCAGCTTGCTTGACCCACGGCAAGCTTTCCAGCTCCAGTATTGCGAGTTACGACAGTTCAACAAGGCGCTTGAGAACCGCTATTTCTTCTGCGAGCGAACGCGACGGCATGTGGGCATGACAGCATCCCGTCAGAAGGAGAATAGCACGATCGGAATACTACGGCGTAAAGTCGGGTGGTGGTCTCGCAAGACTGAGAATGGCGGCTGGGATGGTACGTGAATTTCACGCTCGATCCTAAGATCATTCTCTGAAGACATGTCGCCGCCTTAGAAGCCCGATACCGGTCCTGAAGACAAAAGCAGTGAGGGGAAGTCTGGGTGATTTTAGCTGACTTACGCAGTGGTCATATTGTGTGATCCCCAGCTGCTTCATCTAAGCCCTCCGCCCAAAGAATTCAATCCCGACGATAACACGCTTCGTCCAATCGCCAATGTACGCGACGAACTTCGAAACACGCCCTTTCAGGAAGGCTATGTTGACTTCATTCCGCCCGTCCCTCATCATCAGATACATAGCAAGACGCAACATCCGCATACGTCAATGCTGCGCGACCTCCTCCACTACTACCAGCAACACTCCGATCTGTTCTCCGAGGACGAGTGGGCTACGCCCAATACATCAGCAATTTTCCTCAAGAAGATAGTCGCCGCGCACTACCTCCAGCTTGTCGACTACATAAAAGCAATGCTGCCTTCATTGGAGCTTCGTCTTACTACCGCATGGGTTGAAGAGCAGGGTCAATGGAAGAGCTTACAGACTATATCGCGTCGTTGCGGCAACTACCGCGACGACCTTGAAGATGCATTGCTCAGTCTCGACTATTCACTAGATGGGCAGATCAACAAGTCCGTCAGGTTGCATGCGTCTACGTGGAAAGACTGCGAGAAAGACTTTCAATACGTCTACTTCCGTCTCAAGATCCTCAAGGAGCGCGCCGATAATCTGATCCAAGCGATGACCGGACTGGCATCGATCGCAGGTAACCGTCAGAACTTGGAAGAGGCCAAACGCGTCAAACGACTCAACCTTCTCGCCCTGCTGTTCATCCCGTTGGCATACACGAGTAGCTTGTTCAGTATGCAAGACAACTACGCACCGGTAAGATCATCATGAGCATGTTACTGGTGATACACTTACTAACTTCTCACGTGGGATCTTAGAACCGAAGTGAATTTTGGGTCTATTGGGTCAGTGCTATCGGAGTTGTCGCATTCACCGCCGTCATCACGTGGATCTTGGACAATGCTCTGAACGACGAGGCACAGTGGACCTGGAAACCGATCGGCTTCCTCAAATTCTGGGGCGGCAACGAGCAACAACCCCAACCCGGCAAAGTGAAGAGAAAAATGACTAATCTCTACCGATTATGATTGATGTCTTGGCTATGATGGATGTCTTGGCTATGATCATGCAAAAAGCGTTGTCTGCACTGCCACCTCGGTGCTTTCACCATAGCAGAGTGACCAGAGTGTCTCGCTAAATTGGAGCTCTTTCTATAGGAAGGTTTCCATTGTCAAAGCACTTGGTGGGTGCTAGACGCACGTTCGCGCACTTTCCCTTCCGTTCTCAGAGGAGATTAATACGTTTGTTCTAGCGTCCCTGGCATTTTGTCTTTCATTCTTCTTCCAATCGTACGCGATATCGATATCCGACTAACAACGTCATCATGAATGAAGCCTCGATAATACTTGCTCGCCTCTGCTGCATGTGCCACCGTAAAGCTACACGCACGTGCACGACATGGAAATGCAGCTTCTATTGCTCGACAGAATGCCTGCAGGACGACAAATCCGTTCATAAGCTGCTCTGCAGGGCCCATCGAAACCACAAGACACAAATTCTTCCTGAACCTGCATTATTCAAGGCCATATTCTTCAAGGCCAGAAAGACCGCGCCCGAATGGGTATGGGTAAGGATGACGTCTCAGCCCGGCGACGAGGGCTTTGTTCTTCAATACTACATGATGCTGGATGATCAGACCAAGGGACTTGTCAGCTATGGAGACTCAATCTACAATTGCGTCTTGAAACGCTCTCACGACGCCATTCACATGCTCGGCTGTCTTGAAACCTGCCCAACTTTACCCGATCAACTATGGTTGAATGGCGCCCCAAACTTAAGCATGGGAAATATTGCGCACGAGCTACTAGAATGTTGCAAAGGCAATATACTCTTCGTTGGCCATCGCGCACATCTGGACGTGACAAGTTTCCGGCATATCGTCGACATGATGTACATGGAGTACGACAAATCACTCCGCCAACTTGGAGACCAAAAGAAAGGCCACATCCCTGGTATCCGCATCAACTGCATTGGTGATCGATTGGTCAGTGATCGTCCGACACTCGAGGCTTGCAAAGTCACCGGCAGCTTCTACGAAAAGGACGAGAACCTCCTCATGTGGATTGTCTCCAAACTCGGTATCGATCTCCTCGCTCGCGCTATACCCCCGGCACTGCCCTGGAGAAATCGTAGCGGCGGTTGTAACTGCTTGCACCATGCTTGGAACTTCGGCTTCGCACAACTCAACCCTTCTGAGTGGTCAGCCAGCCTGGGTAGTGTTTACGTCGCGAGAAAAGACAAGAAGCCATTGCTTGTCGCTCACATCGCGGCTCTGATGGCATATTTATGCATCATTGGTAGTGCACAAGTTCGAGAAATCCTGGATAGCGAGGAGTCATGGACACTGGTGTCCAAGTTTGATGTTGCTTTTGAGATGCACGGGGACCTGTTACTCCAAAGAGCTTCCAAAGAGGATTTCGAGCGGTACTGGGCGAAATGGATGGACAAGGAAGGACGACAGAAGTATGGAGATGTCTCCTCACCCTATGAGGTCTAGCGCGCGGTTGCGTTCATCACGTCAGGAAGCTTTCACCACGCGTTTAGAAACAACACTAGTGAATTCGAGAAGAATGACATGTGTCGTTGCACGGTGCGAGGGAATCCGGCGTCCAGGTCCGTCGGCCTGGTACGAATAGTGTTCCGGTAAATGTGGCTGCACTAGAACTCTGCCCATAGTGTTCTGCCGCTCTGCTTAATTAGCCAATATGCATAGGGCTCACTAGCGCAACACTGTCATGATACCTATAAAATCTTCATATACAAAGTTCATCGTCGTGATCATTGGCAGTGTTTCAGAAATAGCTTTTCGAGATGCATCTCCTCTCTCTCCTTCCCTTCCTGGGCCTCGCCCTCGCGACCCCATTACACCCACCTCCACCTCCGCCTCCACATGCACCTCCTCCTCCTCCTCCGCCTCCCCATCTCCACCCACACGCCCCAAAAAGTAACATCAAATGCCCCATAATCTTCGACGGCCGCATCACCAAAAATCTAACCCTCCAATCCTTTGACACCGCCGCCGGCGCCACACCCTACAACCCAGACTACGTAAAAGGCGAAAACCGCACCTGGTCCTCCATCCTCCTCTTCCCCTCCGCCAGAACCACTCTCCTATCCCGCTTCGACAACCCCCTCCAGCACAAACCAGTCGAAGTAACAATCGACGACGGCTCTCTCTTCCGCGCAGGCGAAAATCTCCAAACGGGTTTCCGCCGCGCAGGCCTCTTGTTCAAAGACGACCAAAACGATGCTGGCGCTGACGCCTCTGATAACGGTATCGTAACGTTCCATTGGAGTATTCGGCAAGATGAACATAGGCCGTTGAATTTGAGTCATGAGTATATGAATGTGTGGCATGAGAAGGGTGATTACTCTGGTAACCAGTTCATGTTTGTAGGGGGTGTTGTGTTGGTAGGTGATGGCGGGACGGGAGTTGACACGAAAAAAGAGAGGGAGATGTGGAAGGTGCAGGATGCGAAGAATGAGTTTGTGTACGAGACGAGGATACTCAAGGGGGAGTGGCAGAATTTTGGGGTACAGTTGGATTACGTTAAAGAGTAAGTGGGCTTATTTCTTCTGGGGCAATGAGATTTGGTTGAGGAGGTGAAAGCTAACGAGATGATCAGCACGATCAGGATTTATTACTCCGAGGGTGATAAGCCGCTGAAGGCGGTTACGAAGGCTACGCCTAACAACAATGCTGGCGGTGGACAATTACAGATTGGTATTGCGAAGAAGCCGACGGAGACGGAGACGGTGGTTTATGATGGGTACCAAGAGCATATACCACTTCGTGGTGAAGGCCAGATTTACGGCGGTATCTTTGTCGAAGATAGTTCGAGTGGGTGTGTCAGTGTTTGAGCTCTGTATGGAGATAACAGAAAGATAGTCACATGGAGGAGAATATGAATGGCTCAGTTTCTTATAGCTGCGGAATACATGCTGTTGTGCATTTGAGTGTACATACTAATCTTTTGCTAACTATCGACCGATACATGAGGATACAAGCCTTCCCAATCGGAATACCATGTGCGTTAGTATGATCCCTGTCTACATAGCATAACCATAATCTCCTGCCGACTAGACTTCATAAAGCGAAGCAACGGCTCCATACTCCGTAATTCCACCACTCTGCAGGAAGTCAGCGAAGAAACTCTCAAAGCCGTCTTTCGAAGCACGAGCGAGTAGCTACTGTGAACTTGCTTGATGATTGATGTCGATAAGGGGAGTCAAGTCTTCACCAGGGTCATGAGGTCCTCCGGGTAAATCGAATATTTAGGCATCACTGAAGCTTTTGCGAAGACAGTACTCGCGTAGTGCGTCTACGTGGGCGCAATGAAGCGGCTTGAAGTCTTTGCGAATGATCATAATCGAGCCTGTCAGAATCTGCCATTGCGCCGGGTTGAGTGTCCGCGCGTCAAAATTAAGTGAATATTTGACAGTTGTGTCACCATCGAGACGACGATTCCTCCACGGTACAGCATACTCAATTAGCTGTACCTCTAATGGGATACCGATCTTCTCGCCTACTGGGATCTTAATGGACTATGAGTGTGGAAGAAGGTGTCGTGGGCTATATTGCTCGGTTCGTATCCTGGTCGCTTACTGATAATGGTGTCGCCGAGGCAGTTCGCACGAACGCCCTTGATGGGGCCTGGTATTTGCCTCTCGGCCACGATCCTGGCATCGTACTAATAGGAGCGCAGATGATCTACTATGTGCCGAAAGGATATCATGTCGAGGTGGCATCGCAGACCGCAGAATAGCAGTGGCCCGTTGTAGCCATCCAATAACTCTGGATCGATGCTTCCAACGCTACCAGTCGGCTTACCTGCGAATCTTGTCTCACCGTTTATGCCGGCAGCGAGAAATCCCACTATGCTAATTGGTTCATGGGGCCGCTGTAGAACCCGGTTTTCGTCGATATCGCCTGTTGACTGTGGCAATCAGTGGACCTGAGACCGTGGTGGAAATGGCACGGTGTCGAAGTGGATGATACTAGCTTGATCAGGCTGGTTGCAGTCTTCAATGCGTAGCCATACAAAGATAGGACCCGCTCCATCCTTTGACAACAATATTGCGCGAAAGTGTTCCGAAGAGGGAGCCAAGCTCTTGTCGAATTCCGTGTACGATTTGCATAGAATCTTGTGAGTAGGCTCGTCGTCCTCTTGACAAGCTTTCGAATAGTATCGGCTGCAGTCACAGTCAAGGCAAACTATCGTGCCGGGTTGCGGACACATGGAACATAGCGCCGAACTCGATGAGGTTTGAGTGGTAGATGATTCTGACATTGGGATGTATCTTGAATACACTGAGTAAAGAACGGTGTAAGTGAAGGTCTAGTGGATTTTGTGAAGGAAACAGATGAGGCATTAATTCGGTAGGATATTTGGAGACCTAGTGGCGAACAGGCGAGACAATCGCAGAGCGCACGAGACATGTCATGAGACAATGTTTGCTCAGCGTGGTATCGTTCTTGGGGAATTAACGGCAGCATTATTGATTGTAGATCAGAATGGGAATGAGACAGCGAATGGGATAGTGGAGAATGCTGTGAGAGTAGGAATAAAGGAATCATGATTTGGTATATACAGAAAAGGATGTTAAGAAAATAAGAGTTACCAGCACTAAGCATCTCAATGCACCATGCTCTTCCCAATCTCACTTTCCCAGTTGTTCGCCCTCTCGAAGCCATTCGAATGGCTCTGGTAGTCCATCATAGCCTGCATGACCTCGTCTCTTGATGTGACAACAAAGGGTCCGTATTGTACGATGGGCTGGTCGAGCGGCAGACCAGCGACGAGAATGAACCTCGATGGCTTCTCAGCACCCTCTTCTACAGATGCTTCGATGCTGTCGCCGTTGCTCTCGAAAACGACGTTGTGGTATTGTTCGATGGGTCGGGATACGCCGTCGGACGAGAAGATGGTGGTGCCGTTGAGGAGGTATGCGAAGGCGTTCCAGCCCTTGGGTAGGGGCTGCTTGACTTTGCCGCCGGGCTGGACTGTGAAGTCGAGTAGCCATACGGGTGTGTATGCCAGTTCCTTCAGACTCTCGGTGCCGTAGGCTTGTCCGCTGATGACCTTGACATGTACCTTGCCGTTGTCCGCGGTTGTCTCCGGGATCTCCTTCGCTCGTAGGTCGCGGTAGCGGGGTTCGCATGACTTCAGCTCCTTGGGCAGGTCGACCCAGAGTTGCATTCCGACGTTGGGCGCGCCGTCCTCATTTTGGCGCGGCATCTCGGCGTGGACGATGCCGCGACCGGCTGTCATGAATTGCAGGTCGCCCTGCTCGATGGTTCCCTTGTTTCCGGCAAAGTCTTCGTGGTCGACGGCGCCGGAGAGGAGGTATGTGATGGTTTCTTGGCCTGGAATATAAAGTCAGTGTGATAATCCTGAGTACTTCGTCTGCGCTCATCACGTACCTCGGTGTGGGTGATCAGGGAAACCTGCGCCTGGTGGAATGGCAAAGTGGTCGAGCATGAGGAATGGAGAGAAATTGCGAAGTTTGGGAGTGCCAACACTCCTCCTCACTTTCGCTCCTGCGCCTTCAGATTGCTCAACGGCAAGGAAGGACTTTGCGATCTTGCGGGGCGCATCGGTGGTGAACTTCTCGTCGGGGATGACGGGCAGTCCGCGGAACATGGTCGACATATCCTCGGTGGCGTTGTAGAAGGGCTTTGTAGTCTTTGCGAGGGAGGTGACGTGCTTCAGTGACTGTGTAAGTCTCGAGAGCATGTACTCGTTGTTGTAGACTGCAAGTGCGATTGCGATGATGGCGATGAAGAGAGAGGAAAGCGTCTTCATGGGTCGGGCGGGGGCGCTTTATGCAAAACGCGACTAGGATGACGAGAATCTTCGAGGGGCGCTTCGGAGCAATGGCGTGTGAGTGCCATCGTGAGCTTGCTTGGTTGGTAAAGGTTTAACAATCCGGCGGGTGTTTGCGTGAGGCTTGGCGGGCAATGGGCTGCTTATGTCGAGCATGACCAAGCAACACTAATGCGAAGGTGGGGCGGTGGACGGATGGTGGAGCTCCCGTTGCCCGATCAGACAGGACGCGATGACGGAAGATATTCCGTCATCTCTCGAATCTCAACACCAATCATTCGGTTGTGTCTGCTCTCATCGTGTCGCATTGTTTCTCCTATCTACTATGTTCGTGCTCCTCATACTCAAGGTCCTTGAACCTATGTGCAGACACGCCCATGATGTCCCTCGCATGTAAATCTACTACGGTGACATCCAGGACGGCGGCCCCTTCAAGAATCTTCTGGCTTTATCAGATTTCTTGTTCTCTGAATCTCGCCAGTCGCATTCTTCTGTAAAATGATGTACTTCTTTTTCCTTCGCTCTCATGTCAAGCGTCTGAGCTCTTCGGCCCGCTTCTTATGGAGCTTCTGGTACGTGCAAACGCTCGAACCCTGCAAACACCTGCAAATATCTCCTTGATAATGTCGCGATGTCGCAGGAACGTCACCTTCGTAGGCTTCAAAGGGCGTTCTACTACTCATCTAGCTGCGCGCACAAGTTACAACACTGTCCATGGAAGCGCAAAACCCTACTACGTCCATGCCATATCCGAGGTTTAGTACGACGAACATAAGAAGACACATCGAAGCGAGAGCTCACCACAAAGAGCGAAGCGACGACTCCAAAGATACGGATCTTTTCAGCCTGTCTCTGCCTTCGACTGCGATATACGAGCAGGAACCATTCGAGTTTTTCAATGTGAGAGTCACGCAGCTTTGCTCCGCTGGATTCCCCAATGCGACCTTTCACATTGAGCGCTTGCGAGGAGGAGCGTGCAACCGCATTACTGCGATTACTTTCAGGCCTCTGCCCCCCAAGATATTGAGCATCTCATGGATCCGTTCGTTTTTGATCAACCACGAAGAGTATGTCGCAGCTCAAGAACCAAAGAACTATATCCTGAGGAGCCGAAGAAAGAAACCTTCAAGCGAGAAATCGGGCACAGAATACGACGTACCAACACTCAAGTTCGCGCGCATCATGTTGGGAGACATGGTTCCTGACATCCTATGCTTTGATGATAGCCCATGTGATGCTATACTGCTGCCGTACATCCTTCAGACCCATCTTCATGGCCAGAATCTCTTCAGAATCTGGAATAGTCTTACGTTTTCCCAGAAGAAAAGCGCTATGTACATCGTCGTTGGTCTCATGAAGCAGCTACAAACCATCCAATACCCCAAGGCTGGCCTCATTGCAGCTGCGAATAGGCTCGTACATGCTCCCGGGCGTATAGCTCTGGAACTTCATACCTTCACTACCAGTCGCGGTCCAGCACCGGTACTAGCAAGAGCCGCGAACAGCCCCGCGGTATCTATGACTACGCGCCAATTCCTACTAGACCAAAGTCGTCGGTGGCGACTGCTGCAGAGGTACGGTGTGCACAGTAACGAAACGATATGGAATTGTTTCGATATCATCACACAATTCCTCTACGACATGAACTTCATTGCTGACGATGACAAGTTTTATTTCTGTCATCCCGACCTCTACGCGCGAAACCTGCTCGTAGAACTTGAGCACGACTCATCGCTCTCACTTACCGGATTGTTGGACTGGGATGCACAGTTCGCACACTTCTGCCCCAAGTTCGTCGCTTACTGTGCACCGTTCTGGTTATTGGTATCAAGCGGCAACGAGTACAATGAAATGATAGTTGCAGATAAGCCAAAAGATGCTGATTACCGGCGATTGAAGAGCTTGTGGGAGGAAGCGGCGAGTGATGAGTGGAGGCAATATGCCTATAAATCAGAGTATACGATCGCGAGGAGAATGTTCGCTCTGCTCCGGGACAGCATTCATCACGATGGAGACAAAGAGGAAGCCAGGTCTATTATAGATGAATGGCAGAAGCTGTATTACGAACAGAGGCCTGCGGCAGCATATGCAAATGATGAGATCCATACGAATGATGGAGACCCGGCTGCTGGATAGGGAGACGGAACCATATAGGAGCCCGTTGAACACAATATTGAGCTCGATGACGTGCTGGATGAATATGATGAGGCTTGAGAGACGAGTGAGTAAGGGCCGCAGTACTGTCCAGATGTGGCTGGAGAAGACATGCGATCAGGTAGCCTGTATTCAAAACTACACCTTGATTCTAGCAGAAGACTTCCTTTTGCGCATGATGCATCGTGCAGATGATGTGTCGCATAGCCAATTGCAACCTGAAGCAAAAGTGGGGTGAAGGACTTCACAATCCCACTTGCCCCATCTTCGACAACATTAGACCGTTATCGATAGCGCAACGTTCATGAGGGGTAGCTGAGGCAGCGGGTATATGGCAATCGCGAAAGCGAGAGTAACGATTAATCATGGTATAATTGCGGGCGACACGTCTCGATAGCTCGCTGCGGCTTTCCGGAAACCACACCCAACCTTGGAACGTTACTAGGTACCTAGGTATCATCAGGTTCCAACCACTTGGTCACTTCACTCACGCTGTTTACCTTGATACCGCACTGAACTTGACCGAGAGAGCCTATCATGCCAAACGCCGGTGAAGCGCCTCCTATCCTAGACTTCTCAAGTACGTTGACCCGCCAGACAAGCTTCGCAGTCGAAAGCTTGCTGACGAACACTAGAGTTCTATCAAAACAACCCAGCATCCAAAAAACAGCTCGTAGATGAAGTCCGAAACTGCTGCCTACACAATGGCTTTTTCCAGATCACAGGCCATAACGTGCCAATCGACTTGCAGAACAGGATGATGGACTGGAACAAGAAGTTCTTTGATTTACCACTGGAAGAGAAGAACAAGGTGAACAAAGGTATGTCCGATCGTACCATCAAGCAATGATCCATAGCCACATCAGCTCATCCACATTCCACCTAGACACAACCAACACCTGGAACCGCGGCTACGAGCTCCTAAAATCGCAAATCCTCGAAGAAGGCACCTCCCCCGAACTAAAAGAAGGTTTCTATATCGGCGATGAAATCCCAAAAACCCACCCATACTTCCTCAACAAGAAACTCAATTCCGGACCCAACATGTGGCCGTCCGCCGCCTCCCTCCCCTCAGTCCAAGACTTCAAAGACACATCGTTGGAATACTACGCTCGCGTCGTCGACCTCGCAAAGGACATCTTGAAAGTCCTCGCCTTGACACTCGACCTGGAAGAAACCTACTTCGACGCCTTCGCCACCGGCGCAGTAGCAACGATGCGCCTCTTGCACTACCCCCCACAACCACCCTCCAGCCCTGCCCACCTCACACGCGGAATAGGCGCCCACACAGATTTCGGCTGCATAACCATTCTGTTGCAAGATACCGTCCCCGGCCTCCAAGTCTACGACCACTCTACAAAAGAATGGCTCGACGTAACCCCCACCCCCGGTGCTTTCGTCATCAACCTAGGTAATCTGATGATGCGGTGGAGTAACGACCGGTATGTGTCAAATTTGCATCGTGTTATTAATGTGAGTGGGCAGGAGAGGTATAGTATCCCCGTGTTCTTTTCTGGCAATCCGGACTATGTGGTTGGTTGCCTGCCGAACTGTAGGAAGGAGGGGGAGGAGGAGAGGTGGAGGGAGATTACGGTTGAAGAGGCGATTTTGGAGGGGTACAGGGAGAGTTATGGGAGGGCGGAAGCGTGGAAGAAGGGGAAAGGGAACGGGGATGGAGGAATTGATGCGAAAGTGCAGGAGGTCGTTGTTGCGTAGATTGTGGGGAGAGGATGCGGTCGTTACTGCAAGTGAATCCGAGAATGAGAGCAGATGTGCCTTGCCTCGGCGATAGCCACAAAGACCGCTTCAGATCCCGGATCAATGCTTCCTAACCGAACAGACCTCAGTATTACACAAAATCACACGTGCTGTTCCGAGGTTCGCGCTGCATTCCATGTTAAGAAGTGACCGGCAGAATTCCGCCGGTAAAATCTGGCCGCACTTTCCGCCCCCAAACGCTTACAAGCGAGATCGCCAACACGTCTGATAGCTTTGCATTGGTTCACAACAACGTAAGGCGAAAGTATGGACAGCACTCAGGCAAGATCTACCTCTAATCACCCTGTTATCGGTGCCTTAGTGGTGCGGTGGGCCCTACAACCTGCATGCTAGCGGCCTATTAATAGGCCGCGGATAGTAGCGAGAAGCTCTTGTACATATTCACCCTAGGAATACTCTATACTTAGATAGCTGCCTCTCCAGATGCCCAAAGAATGGTGTCTAGCTCCGGCACATCATCTGCCAGGCTGCCCTAGACCTGCCCGTTCATACTGGAGTGTTGTATGGGCAATTTGTGACTGGCTTGGTCGTATAGCCTTACACCATTATCAGAGCAGCACATGCAGGATACTGCTGTAAAAGAGATTCTAGGAGTGTGAAGAAACATTAGATTGCATATAACCATCATCGACGTTGTCTTTCGGGTATACTTGGCCGCGGGTTAAGCACGCGAAGGATGGAACCAAGGTGCTGGTGACCGATTGTTGTGGCTTCAACACCACAGGGAGAGGAGGATGACTCTGAAGTGGTATCGCGTCGGGCGAATGCTGATAGCACGCTAATCGCGCGGGAAGGCGTCTATGGGGTACGTGATGATATTCAAGAAGTCATCTGCCACATCCACAGAAGGATATCACACAATTTCACATCGTCGTCATGGTCGCCCAGCATATTGACCCGGATATGCTCACAAAGATGTGCCAGTTCACTAGTACATATTATCGCCAACCATATCCCGCTCTCGAAGGGATGCAACACACTGGCGCTAGCAAATACGTTCTTGTTACCGGAGCTTCGGAAGAAATCGGTCGGGCAATCGCTTCATCATGGGCAAAGGCGGGAGCAGCGGGTATCGCCATCAGCAGTCGCGATGCAGACGATCTCGAGCCCGTCATCGTCAAGCTGAAGCGACTAAATCCCACAGTACAGGTCCTGGCTATGGCTTGCGACACCACAAAATCGGCCGAAGTCGCCAGACTGTTTGATGCGATAAGAGAGGATTTTGGCCAACTCGACGTAGTCATCGCAAACGTCGGTACCGCACATCTGAGTAGGATAGACGAGACAGACGACAACGACGAGTGGTGGGCCGATATGACAACGAACTTCCGCAGCACACATCTCCCCGCCCACCAATATATCCGCACGTTTGGTCCGGCACCAACCGGGACATTCATCTCCATCACGTCTGGTGCGGGCACCGTGGTGACCCCCGGCCTCTCTTCTTATGGCATCGCGAAACAAACCGATCGCCGGCTCATCGAGTTCCTCACTACCGAATACCCAGATATGAAGGCTTTCTCTTTAGATCCTGGGGTCGTGAGGACGAACAAAACGAGTGATATGTTCAAGCCGTTTGCGTTCGATAGTCCGGAGCTAGTCGGTATGTTCTCGATTTGGCTGGGCGGGGGAAGAGCGGATCGGCTGAAGGGCAGCTATATACATACTACATGGGATGTAGAAGAGTTGGAAACACAAGCAGACGATATAGTCGGACGGGGCTTATTGAAAGAGAAGTTTCCTGGTGAGCTGCTGGTACAAGAAGGTGTGACGTGGGGGAACCAGATGCCTGTACCAGAAAGACGTATATGACGTCTTGTGGTGAGGGATCCTGTCGTGTGTAATAGATGATTCAAGAAGAGGTACGCACAATGAATGTGAGGCCGATATTGATGCCACTTCGGTGCTGCTCAAGCAGTGATGACCTGATGCGCAATAGCCTCGGGGCTACACCTCCACAAATGTGTGTACTGGGCCAGCCAGACGCTTCTCAACATCTTCCCAAGACGCCATTCGCCGCCTGTCCTGACTCCATAGGGTACCGCCGACTCCGTGATTCCATATCCAGGCATCGCATAGTATGATGTCGTCATCGTCGCCGTAAAAGCTGATAGGTACGTCGGCTTCCCAGATCCGTACTGCGTCTTGTCCTGTCCAATTTCGAGTCTTTTCAGGTGTCCGGTGGTTGGAATTTACATCTACCAGGACAACGTCGAGGCTTCTGCCGTCGTATGATCTGAATAGGGTGTCGATGTCTTTGGCTGCTAGATTGAAGGGTCGCATCATAACAAGCGTTTGCAGAGATGGTGTCTTGAGACAGAACGCTATTTCCAGATCTGTCATCTCCTGCGTAGTGATGGCAAGCCGTTTTAGATTGGGTGGTGGGTGTCGAAAGTAGTTGACCACATCGTAGCTGACAATGAGCTCTTCAAGGTGCATCATGTGTGAAAAGACCCTGTTCTCGGTGACATGTGGCCTGATTTGCTCAACCTCACTTGGTGGCGCATAGATTGCAGAGAGGTCTAAAGCCAGTCTCTTGAGCGAAGGCCCTATCATATTGCAGAGATCGATGATCTGTGGTAGTCGCACCAAAGGCGTATGGTTCCCTTCGATCAGCCTGCGCACCTCGGTTGGCGAAACGAATATGGAGGTGATATGACGGAGTGCCTGGGCTTCCGCGAACAGTCCTTCGTTTCGCCCGGCTTCTCCATAGTTGAGAGCTTGTGGGTGACGCCCCAGGTTTAGTCCGAGTGTTCTTCGAAATCGCGCACAAGTCGTGCAACTATCCAGATAAAGACAATGAGAGTAAAGATATTGTGTGGCTATAAGGTAAGTATTGCGCGACACCAAAGTGAGTGCGCGCAATGTCTTGGTGATGGTGTTTGACGGCGCGTACGCTACAGGCTGCTGGCCGTTGTGGGTACCCACAAGTTGATCGAGAATGTTGAGGAACAGCTCTGATGGCAAGCTTGCGAACCCTCGCTGTACATCTCCCTTCAACTCAGCTCGTGCCATTAATTCGCTAGTGATGGTGAATAGAGATGTGCAAGCTGGTGATGGCAAGAACAGAATTTAGTGAGATTGTTGAGCCTCGTGACGAGTTCTTACGTCATCATCCTTGCCGCTGGCAGCTAACCGTCATGGCATTTAGCGGGTGAGCTAATGCTAGAATGTACGACCTCGGGAGCGATGTACGAGATACGGCGGCGGCTGTGGCGTCCGCGGAGTCCGTTGGCTTCTGTGGGGTAATACCGTCACCTATCACAACACGGCCGACACTAAACGAAGCGCCTTCTAGGGTGCATAAGGATTCATTCGGGGCAACAATACATCCGAGCTCTTTGTGGATGGAGGCGGCGAACTCGATACACCGCTCCGCCCCTTCTACTGCAATACCCCCCTCATCAGTCCGCTCCAACCGACCGATCGCGTTTGATTGTATACACTCGGATAACTTTAGACCCACTGTTTGGTCGGTGCTATCCATGCTTTTGACCGGCAGCTTTGAGCGAATTCACCAAGTCTCCCATGGTGAGCACGCGGGCTTCTGTGAGGCATGTCACTCCCAAGGCGGCCCAAGAACAACCCTACAGGATGTGCGTCACCATTGAACCGGACGATTGTCTTGAAGAACGGCGGGCCGATCACGATCTTGACCTCCACATTCCGAAAGTGCTGGCAATATGTACAGGGCCCTCCCGAGGTCGTAGCTGAAGTTCTGAAGCAACGTCTTCGAAATACAGTCACAAGACCAGTTCTTCACTGGATCAAATTCTACACCATCGGGAACTGCGAACTCAGTCGAAAGACTTCAAAATGGCACTTCAGCGAGGCGTCTTAGCCGCACTCCTGGTGGTATCGGCCTACATCATCAGGGTAGAAGGCTCATACCAGACTCATCCATGTCAAGGCTAACAATGCGAAGATAGTGTGGATAGGGTATACAGGTCCACTGTCAAAGCTGCCAGGACCATGGTATACTAAATACACCAATCTCGTCCTCCGATACCAGACGATTGCAGGCAAACGAATCTTCTACGTGGACAATCTTCACCAGCGTTATGGCGGCGTCGTACGGATTTCGCCAAATGAGACCGCCGTTTCAGATATAGCCGGTGTCAGTCAAATACACAAGATCGGTGCTGGATATCTAAAATCAGAATTCTATAGCGCCCTTATTCCGTCTGACACACCCGGCATATTTCCGATGCGCGACCCGCATGCCCATGCCGCAAGAAGAAAGCTGTTTGCCCGACCCTTCAGTAACAGCAGCTTGAACAGCAACTGGGATGTGGAGGTTAGGAAGAAAGCAAGTCTAGCTGTGGAAAGAATTCGACGCGATGCATTGAATTCGTCGCAAGGAGCCGATGTCCTCAAATGGTGGACACTCATGGCGACTGACGTCATTGCTCATCTCAGTTTTGGAGAAAGCTCCGGAATGCTTGAGCTGGGTAAGGTATGTAACTCACCCCTTTTCAGTCTTACTATATAAGCATCTTCTAACAATAGAGGTAGCAAACACCATACATCGATGCTATTCAGGCTGCTCTTATTTGCGGGATCATTCGGTCTGAAATTGGAACTACCATCTGGAAGCTTCTTAGTTACCTCCCCATAAAACGGGTAAAGTTTCTCTATTCAATCGATGATGTCGTACACGAACACGGCGAGCGGGCGATACAGAAGATGCGTAGTGAGGGTGGCAATGCCAAGAATCTCTTCAGTCAAATGGTAGCTGCTGGTGAAGACAGCAAGACTACGGCGCTGTCGAATAAAGACATAAGAGAGGAAGCGGGTGGCTTCATTGTGGCCGGATCGGATACAACCGCGGTGACGCTTACCTATCTCGTCTGGGCGGTTCTGAAGCAGCCCGATCTGCAAGCTCGACTCGAGAACGAGATTGCAGAACTCAGCGATGAGCTAACAAAGGAAGAGCTCGAGACTGCGCCTCTATTGAACAGCGTTATCGCGGAAACGTTGAGGCTTTACGGCGCTGCTCCTGGCGCCTTACCCCGGGTTGTACCGAAACAAGGCACTGTCATAAGCGGACATCACATCCCCGCTGATACTGTGGTCAGTACTCAGGCTTATACGAACCATCGCGATCCTTCTGCCTTCCCGAATCCCCTCGAATTCGATGGTCTTCGGTTCTTGGACAAGAGCACGATGTCAGCACATCAGAAGGCGTCATACATGCCCTTTGGAGGCGGCTCAAGGGTGTGTGTTGGCATACATTTGGCGTACATGGAGCTTCGCTTAGGAGCTGCTCTCTTCTTCCGACATTGTCGTGGCGCCAGAATTGCCGACTCCATGAAAGATGAGATGATGGAGATGGACAACAACTTCTTGGTTGCTCCTAAGGGTCATCACTGCTATATCACTCTGGGATGAAAATTCTCAACTTCAGTAACCGGTTCGCGTTTCTGGGGGTTGCGAGATTCTTTGAGATTATCCTTTAGTCTTTTTATCGAATGCTGCACGCGTGTAGCTAGGAAGGTAACAAATCATACGGTTGTCGATTCGCGAGGGGAGTTATAAGCACAATCAAGTGGACGTCCCTCAAGTCCACTCTGCTCCAACACTCTGCTCCAAGATGCTCAAGCTCATCTTCCGGATACAAAGTGTCACGTTGCTCTGCCAGCTGAAGCGCTAGACAGCGACGATCCGTACCTAGTAAGCCACCGGTTACGACCTTAAAAGGCTTCCGTGCGATAGCGCTCTCGCGAGAAAGGCCAAATTTGATGAACTTGGCTAATGCCGCACTTCTGAAAGTTCGCTTCAGTGCCTCGTATTTCTCAATAGGTGGCTCATACGTTACCACATCTTCGTCTCTCTCACCCATGGAGTCGCCCACCCAAGCCCAGAATGGAGGTCGAAGAGCCATAAACTTGGGTGCTAAATAAGCCATGTCCCAGTCTACAATGCCAGTGATCTTCACAGTCGCTGGATCAGTAATCTCAGCGATTATGTTGCGAGGGAACAAGTCGCCGTGTGCAAGATCGAAGCGTTGCTCAAGCAATCCACGGCGATCGAGAGCTTTTGCCACGGCGATCATCATCCGCCACATTTTCTTGTTACGATCTGCTTGTTCAATCTCCTCTCCGTACGTTTGCCAGCGTTGGCAATGATCAATTGGATTTTCACAAGGCGTTTGAGGTGGTGCTAAATTCTGGCTCGGTTGCGGTTAGGTCAACTTCGCTAAGTTCTTGGAGTGCCATGTCGAGATGCGCCAACGGATGCAGCTTAAATGCTCGCATGTACTTTATCCTGGTACCAGAGAGCCAAAACAGATACCTAGGTATTTCTCTATTTTTATCATGCTAAACAGAAGTCTGCAAAGGGAAACTTTAGCATATGATTTTCTCGACCTTGAAGATTCGTTACGTCGTGAATAAGATCGCAGTGACCACGTATTTAACATGATGCTTGTGAGTACACAACGTCTGTCAACAAGGTTATGGGAGCCGTCAATTTCTGTACTGTGAGCCTGAATGAGCTTCAAATATGATACTCAACAGGTCAATGCTACGAGCCTTCCGAAGCTACCCCTTTCAAAGCGGGTACTCGGTACCGTGGTAGCGCATGGCTACCCAGGTAGAAGCAACCTATCATTTCCGTAATAGCACCGTCATTTATGTGACATAAAGGTATTGGAAGAATAATGTGTTGAATCTATCGCATTCGTGTAGTTCCCTAGAGGCTTATCTGCATTGCTCAAAGCACTTGGGAGTAGATGCAGCCCCTACGCTTCGTTGGAACACCAATTAGACAAAGTGTACGAGGTACAATGCCATGCTCAAGCGTTGTGATATAAGATGAGAACTATATAATCAGGTATCACAATGCTGTGCGCATCTCGAACATGTTTTCCTACTACTCTTTAACGACAGACTCCTCTTCCACCACCATAGCTTCGTCTTTACCCGCATCGGATGTATATTCCGAGTCGGAATCAGACTTAGACTCCGTGTCAGAGTCAGAGTAAGGTTTACGGTATCGAACGTCATCCTCGGGGTGTAGATCATCCCACTCCATAATGATGCCCTGTGCCTCCTCATGCTCCCACTCATCAGGCATACCCTTCTGGATTATCTCAAACATGCGCCTAGCCATCATGGCCTCTCTAGGGAAGGCAAAGCGCTTGAACTTCTCCGACGCATTATCGAGGAACACTTGCTTCATGATCCTGTCCTCCTCAGTGTTTGGCTCCACAACCGCTACCCATTCTTTGTCTTCCTCGTCGCTATTCATCTCCTCAGGCGTCCAAAGCCAGAAAGGAGCTCTATAAGCCATGAACTCAGGGGCGATAATGGCTGAATCCCAGTCGATGACGCCTGTGATGACTGCCTCGGTGTCACTACGTACTTCCGCCAGGATGTTGTAAGGTTTGAGGTCGCCGTGAACGAGTACGCACGGTCCATCGAGGAAGCCACGAGCTTCCAGAGCTTTCGAGATTCTAGCGAAGCTCACCCAGACCTCGTCAAAGTTGACTCCTTCGAATGCGTCGTAAGCGCGATATTGCTCGCAGCGCTCAAGGAGGAAGTCGAGGGGCTTGCAGGACGAGGTCGGTTTGGATGATGGCTGATCATCGTAAGGCGGCGTGTAGAACGTATCGATATTGATCGGAGACTTCGAAGGGCAGGATAAGTTTCGCGACGCTATATCGCCGGCTGGACCTTCCACAGAAGCAATGGTAGAGGCGAGAGCGGTGATTTGCTTAGCCATGCAACGCTTTTGTTGTATGTTGAGTTTACGCCAAAAGCCTCCCGCAAGGTTCTCTCCAGGAAGTCGCTTTTGAATCATATATGGTCGTCCAAAAATGTTTTCCATGGTAATATCATAGCTTTCGACATCAGGAGTCGGCAAAGGTAGTCGTGAAATAGCCGTCTTCAATACCGCCACCTGGCGCTTCATGTCTTCGGCCATGGCTTCGGCGCCATTGTCACCATCATCCATCATTCGCGGAACACGTACAATGTATGATTCGCATTGTGTGGTCGCCTTCTTCTTGCGTGCGCTCAGGCAGCGGAACGTGAACCAGATCCAGCTAAAACTCTTGGGCTTTGTTGAGAGCGTGACGCTAACGACTCGGTTGAAGGAGCCACCCTTCATTTCATGAACTGAAATGTCTTGTGGGCTTCGCCGGAAGACTTTGGCGGCTAGTTCGACGACTTTGTGCTGTAATGTCTCAAATGGCTCCTGCCCGTAGAGAACAGTGTTCGTTTCTGAGACCGTATCATCTTGCGGCTCATCGTCCTGCTGCTCAGTGCGAGCGCTTGTTATGTACTTTAAAGCGTCGTATTGTGTGCTCGTCGCAATAGCGGCAGTATCACCTCCAGTATGACGTGATGTGTCCACAACGTGTTCAGCCGAAACTACAGGCAGAGAAGATTGAGGTGACATGGTGTCTTAGAGAGGTGTGGGAAACAGTTGTAGTGTACGGGGAGGAGCTTTTTGAAGTTTCTAGTGCGCAATGTTGCATGGTAGCTCTTTGTTTGCTTAGTGCCAAGCCTTGCTGGTGCACAGGGTCACTTCCCTTCAAGACCGTCACTGCGCGCGCGGTGTGAATGCTCGAACTAATCGACTGCCTCAAGATAAAAATCTCACATCTTCACAATGCATCCCGTGAAGTCAGTGTATATAAACCGTGCTACCAACGACGCCTCCGCTGACCTAAAGAAAACACTCTACTTACCGCAACACCATCTGCAAAGAACAACAAGACAATTTTATATTCTCAACCATTAGAATCATGGGTAAAGGTCCTACAACAAACAAGCATCACTGCCCGGGCGCGAATGGCTGGGTCGGCGACGAGAGCCCTGGCAACTGCACCCCGAGTATTGGCAGACTGATATACTGCACAAAGCACCAGATGCCGTGCCGTCAGGGATGTCCAGGCAAGAAACATCTCAAGAACCAGCCAGGCTGTTTATCGTGCAAGGCGAAATGGCAGGAGGAGGCTAAACAGAAGAGGAAAGCAAAGGAAAAGTCGAAAGAGAATGAGAAAGGTAAAGAACTCGAAGATTTCTTGGATCGAGGTAAAGAGAAGAAGAAGAAGAAGAAGTAGGTCCATGCATGCTTAGCATGAACCCGAAGGGTGGTCTAGAGAAAGGGGGAGGTTCAAGAGACGTTCCGTTACAAAAAACGAATAAGAAGATTTGGGTTGATGTGTTCGCTGGATATCTTATGCTACTCTCGATGTAATGCGATCGATACACTGTATGGACTAGTTTAATCAAAATCTTCAGCCACTAGAGCTAGATTCGACTTTGGCTGGGTTGTTGTTGTGATGACCAGGAGTCGCGTTTACCGGCTCTTCGGAATGTGTCGGTGGCCCGTGGACTTGTCCCTGCATCAACCGGGAATCTTGAGAACGTAAACATAGCTCTTATGATGAGCTAGTAGTTTACTCATTCTGCGGGTACCATTGCGCGGCTGTTTTACTCTGATTGAGAGTCGCGAGATCTGCTGGCGGGTCGCGTCGTCATAATGTTCGCTACTCCTGAGCACGAACGCGTGTGGGCTTCATCTCGTGTCACATCGCGCGCGCCCTCTGGAACGAGCATAGGGTAACATTGCATATAGATTAGAGGACGCGACCGCTATCTGTGCGCTCGTGCGCGAGATCGAGGCGAGTCTTAAAACTGCAAAGGTTTGATGAAACATGATGGAGTAGCGAGGTCTTTCCGAGGTTGACAGGATCGCGCACCTGGAAAGGCCCGCTTGAGCGTGTCATCACGTGGCTGTCACCCTGATCTATGGATTGATAGAACAACGACACATGCTCGTGAGGTTGTATCTGGCGTGAGATTCTATCGCTTCTCTACCATTGTGAAACTGTAAAGTGAGATCATGACCAAGTCAGACGCTGCGATATGCGTGTAATGTGTGCGCGACTGTGTTGGCCTTTGTCGTTGTCGCGCAGTTCAATCTCACGAACGAAAACTTTATTGTCTCGCGACACAGCGCTCGTGGAGATGTCGGATTTCGTTAGGATGATATAGAAAGTGACACTGCACCTTGCAGTAAGCTTTTTCTGCTGTTATTGCTACGTTGTGTAAAAACATACAACTTTGGTAGATTCGCAGCGGCGCAGCAGCGACCAAAACATGATTTTGAGAAGACTGCTTAACAGCCTACCTAAAACTTAAGCCTCTACCTACCTAATACAGATTCTTTCTATGTTTTTATCTAGATCTGACTTAGCTATTTCCTCTATTACTTTTAGTTGTTGTTATAGTGTCCACACGCGCTTCATTAGACCCAACCAATCGTCGCTCGCAGTCGGCCAATCACATCGACGTCCGTGCAGATCAATCACATACGTCATCGACCTATTAGAATAGTATCAGCGCAGAGACGCGTCGCGACAATGGTCACTACACGTTCTGCATCCCTCAATTCTGCTCCAAGTAGACCTCGTCGCTCTGTCCCTCGTTTCCGAGTCTCGCAACGAGCTCAAGAACGTCACAATCGTCACGTACAATAGTCTCGTCGTTCCGTCCCTCAATCTCAAGTTTCGGAGAGGGCCCAACGACTTCATAGACTCAGCGCGCATCATCCACTTCACCCTGAACGCCTCGCCCATACTGGACTAAATCAACGCTTGGCTTCGCTTGGAATTGGATCGGGTCCTGCAGTCAGCGACGCGAACCCGCCTCCAACTTTTTCTCCAAGACAAGGCTTGCCAGCTGCAGACAGTGCCGAAGGCCTCTGGAACACCTTTACGGCCTTCAACGTGCACACAAGACGCGCCCTCGGAAGATCGCCCATCGAGGCGCCCGGGGATTCGATCTTTCGTCGCCTGTGCAAGACTATAATTGAGACCAGGACTAGAAAAGTGGAACAAGAACCTATTAGCAATATCATTTTAGGCTACTTCGCTGCGAGCCTGATATTCCCTCCTTGGCCATTGAAGGTCCTAGTCGTCTGCAAACTGAGCCGTACTGCTTCCAGGTAGTAACAGTGAGTTTCCTCAAGCCGGTGATAGTTGGTGGGAAACCGGTGCAGGTGTGGATCAACACAGCCTCAAGACCCATGTCGCTAAAGCGAGGTGCCATCGACTCGTTCTTCAAGCGTCCTGAGCCCAAGAAGCCCAGGTATGAAGCAAGTCTCCATAAGTCAAGCCATGCGTCTTACCCTTTCGCCATCCCACATCTGCCTGCCCCATTCACGGAGCAATTGGGATTCGCACCTGCCGAGGAGGGCAAGCTCATGAACGACCAGCTGGATCTGGATCTTGTATACTATCAGCCATACGTACCCCACAGTATTGCGCCAGGGCTTTTCGAGTTCCTTCGACAGGAACTCCCGTTCTACCGCGTGCAATACAATATTACCCGCGGGGGAGCGCAGACCCAGATCAACACGCCGCGGTTCACAACTGTCTTTGGAGTTGACGACACATCGCGCTTTGCAGCTGATGGCAGCATCGTAGACGCAAAGACTGGAAAGCCAGTCGAGAAGAGTCGCTATAAGTGCGCACCTCGCCCAATCCCACAGTGTCTGGAGGAACTCAGGAAAGTGACTGAAGGCACAACTGGCGAGACTTTCAACTTTTGCCTCGTCAACTACTACGCCGATGGCAAGGATAGCATTTCATACCACTCAGATGATGAGAGGTTCCTCGGTCCCAACCCAGCAATCGCATCGTTCAGCCTCGGTGCGAAGCGCGACTTCTTGATGAAGCACAAGCCTATTCCACCCAAGGCAGGCGTTGTGACGGAGGAGCCAAAGGGTATCAAGCTGCCTCTGGGTTCTGGTGACATGGTTTTGATGCGCGGGAAGACGCAGGCAAACTGGCTACACAGTATCCCTAAGCGTGCGGGCCCTGAGGCAGGCAAGGGAAGGATCAATATCACCTTCAGGAAGGCGATGATCAAGGGCGGTACGGAGAACTACTACCAGTATAATGTTGGCACGGGAGGAGTGCACAAATGGGACGCAAAGGCTGAGAAGATGGTGCTTTGGACGGCGGCCATGGACACGAAAGCGTCTGGAGATGTTTGTGCTGATAGCGCGGAGCCTGGTAATGGAGCCTGAAGATATGGCAAATTTGATGATAATGATGGATGCGAAGGGACTGATGTGAGCGTCCGGACCTAAATTGTGTATATCGTTAGATACTTCTGCTTCTTCTCGAGTATGTGTGAGTTCCAACCAAACTGATATCATCGTATGACCATATGCCCAGGAAGTGGTGATCTGGAAATTGTGAGTAGGCTCTAGACTTGTCAAAAGCTTGTTGCCGTAGCGGGCCTGAGTTGCCGCCAGCGAGCAGGTGGCTTGAGCGTAGGCTAGTTCGACCCCGCCTGGGGCAAGCGCGACCACGAGCAATCCTGATATGTGGAAGAGACAGCGTGCGATGAGGAGCCATGGGAAGGCGAGATAGTGGTAGTGGTGGAGATGATCTCGCTACTGAAGGCGCTGACCGAAACGGTACCGTCACATGGATATGCGTGATGGCGACACGATGAAAAGTCGCATGTCGCAGGACATCTTGGCGGCGACGGATGAGGGTGGTCGGAGTTAAAGGCCGCCTAATTCTGCCCATGGCTGTACCAGCCTTTGACTACAACACCACAACAACCTCTTCCGATCCCCTTGTCTTGTGGTATTCGAGTCGCCGAAGCTAGCGCATATCATACACGGCCTAATTGGGGAGCCTACGCCATCAGAGGTCGCTATCGGGAGACGGGCGCGTTAGACGGAAAGCTGGCGGTGCGTGCAAGCCTGCTTGAGAGTAAGTACGAACCGGCGCATGGCTCTGTGAATGTGCAGCTGCTGACAGAGGCTAGTAGGTGTCAACAAGCCTTCGATCTACCGCTAGACCATTTTCCTCTCACCGCGAGGTCGATTGCCCACTACATGAGCTGCACCTCCCCCTCATAAGAAGTGCTGGGTAAGCCGAGCCTAGACGAACGACCCAACAACGGATTGCCTACGCATCGACCGGAGTGTACGTCTGCGTGATCAAAGAGGCAGCATCTGAAGAAGAAGAGCGGAAAGCCCGCCGTACTGGACGACATCCACTGGTGGGAAGGGCGGAAGCAAGTCGCATACAAGTCAACACCAGGGCAGTATCGCCATTTCAAGTCCACGCCTCAGAGTCATAGCACTTGGCGCATGGAGATAGCTCAGCTCCGGAAGATTTAAGACCGCACCAGGCCGCAATCGCACAATCCCACACCCTACAACCTTTCGATACACTCTCCTCTGCAGAGCGCATACTAGCGACCACCAACGTCTGCACGACACGAGTCTGGACCAGTCAACACCCTAGTCCTGCAGCTTAGGCGACCACCAAGACGTGAGATTCCATCATATATCTCGAACGGACTTTAGCGCTTAAGTCCGCATTCTCCGTTGTCTCATACCACACCTGCGGACACGATCGCGACCATGCCGCCCACTCCGCCTTCAACAACTTCGTCGAGCGCAGGACAGTCGCCGCCAGATCCGCAGTTCAGAGTTGTACGTAAACGGAATCGAGTTCCCTTGTCATGTGGAGCATGCAGGCATCGAAAGTAGGCACACATCACGACAGCGAAGAGATGATCGTCACATGCTGACCATTGTAGGCTGAAATGCAATCGAGGCCATCCCTGCGACAACTGTACCAAACGCGGAGATACGGCATCATGTACGTACGCTGCTCCAGGCAACCGCAAGAAGAGCTCAGCCAGCACCGGCTCCGCCACAACGCCCGATGATATGCAAAACCGCATTGACCGTCTCGAGGGGCTGGTTCTCTCGCTCATGACCAATGGCGCGCAGAGCGCGGGACCTGCCGCTGCTCAAGCAGCCATCGCGAACAGCATGGCCAATGCTGGCCCCGACCAGCAATTTGATCCAAGCCAGATGATCACAAGCATCAGCACCGGCGCTCCCGAGTCGATACCTGAGGAGGACGTGAACGATGAAAGCGAGATGGAGACCGTTACAAAGTCAATTGGAGTAATGAAGGTGCACAACAACCACACCGTATTCGCATCAGAAGCACATTGGTACGCAATTCTGGGAGAATTGTCTGAAGTCAAGAATTACTTCGCCGAGCACAAGAAACAGTACGAAGATCAGCTTAAGCGATTCAAGGCAACTCACGTCGAAGATCGACCGCCTGGTACATCTTTCCTGATGGGCGGACAGAAACCAACCTCCAAAGCCGAGATCCTATCGCGCTTTCCGCCAAAGCCCACAGCCGATCTCCTCGTCTCGCGCTTCTTCAACACATACGATCCCGGCATTCACATCATACACGGTCCTTCGTTTCAGGAGGAATACGACAGGCACTGGGCACAACCAGAAGACACGCCTGTTATCTGGCTTGGCACAGTGTTTGCGATGATGTGTATCGCGTTACAGTCGTACACACGAGCTGGTGATGAGCCTCCGGAATACCACAACAAGTCTTGGGAGATGTCAAGAGAATATGGAGACTTGACGGCGCAATGTTTGATCATGTCAGATATTACGCAGCCCATCACAGGAATGATGGAGACCTTGATCTTGCATGTTCATGCAGAGTATGCTCGTAGTAGAGATGCAGAAGTTGGCATCTTGATAAGCACAGGGATCATTGTGCGGCTAGCGATGCGCATGGGTTTGCATCGGGATCCAGCTCCATACGCTGGCATACCAGTTTTCCAGGCGGAGATGCGAAGACGTGTCTGGGCTGCGGTCCGCTCATTTGATCTACTTTTCTCTGCACAGGCTGGGTTGCCACCCATCGTCCGACCGCGGGATACCAACACTGAGATACCGCGGAATATATACGACGATGAACTCTACAAGGACATGAAGATACTACCTCCTTCGAGACCAGAAACCGAAGCTACACCAACACTCTTCCTCATCAATCGGACAAGATTAATCTACAAGCTCGGAGAAGCGGTCGAGTGCACAGATACTCTGACATGCTCTTCGTACGAGGAAGTCATGAAGCTAGATGCGGAGGCTCGGGAGCTACACGACAACATTTCGCCGCATCTCAAGATGCGAGGGATGGATGAAGCGGCGCGCGACCCTTCTACCTTGATCATGCAACGCTTCACATTGGATCTCCTCTTCCTTAAGATAATATGCGTACTGCATCGAAAGTACCTGTCTTATGCAAGAGTGCAATCACGTTTTGCCTACTCCAGGAAAGCGGTTATTGAAGCCTCGATGATGCTTCTCAAGCACCAAGCGACCTTGCACCGGGAATGCCAGGCCGGCGGTCGGTTGCGCAACGTTAAATGGTTCATCTCATCACTGACCACTGTCGACTTCCTTCTTGCAGCGATGATCATTTCTTCCGATCTCTACCACACTGCTAGGGAAGCGCCATCTCGCTCTCCACCATCAGGAGACACACTCGTGTGGAGTTCAGATCGTTGCGAGGAGATGCTCGAAGCCATAGAGATAGCGGTGGGCATCTGGGATGGTCTAAAAGATCACTCTATGGAAGCATACAAAGCGCACACAACACTCAGTGTCATGTTGGATCAACTGAAGAAGAACCGCTTGGCCAAACAGACACCCAACGGTTTCCAAGCAGCTACGTCGGCATACCCGACGATGGCACCCATGGAAGATGCCAACGTCGCACCCGAACATTCGGCCGCGATGACGCTTGGTCTACTCAGTACCGGCGGCATGACGCCCAATGCCAACATGTTCGATCAGCGATACCCAGCAGGTATGGCTAATCTGCTAAACGACCCTATGCCTCAGCCGTCGACGGGCTTGACACCACAATACAACCAGCCGACAAGCGGACCATCAGGGCCAGAGAATGCACCAAGTCCGTTTTCAAACCTGTTCGGAGCGAATCTATTCCAGAATCTAGATCTTCCGCCAACAGATAATATCAACTGGGTACGTCATCGTCACGATTCCGTCAGTGTTACTCTGCTAACATGACTAGGACGCATGGGACTCGTATATCCAAGGCCCTAACCCTGGCATGGAAGCAACCAACAACTTTTTCCCCATGGATCTTGGTAGTATGCCCATGCAAACAGAGCAAAACGGGATGCCAGCGACGGGACAGGCACCGAATCAGCAACCCATCCAAGGCAATCGAGCGAACATGTTCGGGCAGGATGTCTACATGGGCGTAAGTTCTCTCCACCATACTTCACTGCATACTTCTGATAGCTGACAGCAACAAGGCTGATTCCACGAAAACGAATTCTGGTGAAGCGTACACCATGGGGTTCTTGATGCCGAAACAGTCTAACTAGTACTTCGCGCTCTCACGTTGTTTACGAGCGGGTAATGAGCCTATGATTGTGTAACTTGAGCGTCGTATGTATTTGCATGATTGTACTTTCGGAGGCCGAGGCTTGATAGTGTTACTAGATATCCACAGCTATTGGGTGCACAAAAGGCGAAAGGGCGGGAAGAAGGAGGCGCAGCAAGCCATGTGCCCCGCGCTACGATGGAAACATGAATGAACTCAGCTCAGCCTTTGCGCATGTTTCATACTACTCCCATGCATGCCCAGTTTTCCACGTCTTTTCTGCCAAATCAATCTCGAAATCTCCAAAGTGTCTGCGCGTCGTCGCTCGCCCACTTCGTATCCCGATATAGCACGCGACGATCAAGGTCCATACCAAGCTTCAACCCCGGCCAGCTGCCGCGTCGCTGCCCCACTCCAACCGCTGGACCCTGAATCGCCGGCGCGTGGGGACAGGCAAACGTCATCGCGGTCACGACTTGCTTACGCGCTCGCGGGCTTTTGTTTGGCCGTGAGGCTGCGGAAGGCGGGCTGCCTCAGGCCTGGGTGGCACGAAAGGCAGCTGTGCCGCCTACGTACGTCTGCGATATTTGCTCGTCACGCACCTCACATCTTCGACATCCAGCGCTGAAAGCGACGTGACGAGGCTGAGAAGTGCGTATTCCACAACCACTACTACTAAACCTCTACCAAGAACTCTTCGCACCAGAGATATCAACATCTCTCTGCCGCCTCCAGACACGCACGATGACAAACCCACCACCACCCACCATATCCCCTCCCACTCTCACCTCAACTTCGATCATCTCCCCACCCCCACCAAGCGACCCCATCTCCCCCGTCTCCCGCACCTCCACCTTCCCTCACAAGACCAGCCCAGCAGTCTCTAGCCAAACACCGTTGATTGATACAAACACACCCGCAATAAACGATGCGCCGGTCGAGTTGGACGGCGGTGCGATAACGCCTGAGGAACTGAGGAGGCGTACTAGTACAACGGTGGAGGCGGTGGGTGGTATGAGTGGTGTGAGGGGCTCGATGCGATCGCCGGACGATGGGGAAGGGATTGATGCGGAGTTTCTAGGCGAAGGGGTGGATGCGGGGAAGGGGATTAGGGAGGTATGTTCACATCAATCCACTCATCTTCAGAGTTTGGGCATGAGTCGTGGCTACGCGATCGTGGCTGGTGGATGGCGGACTAGGGGGTTTGAGCATACCAAACTGACATATGCGACTAGAAACGCGCCGCGATGCTGGCTTCGCGCTCGAAAGACCCCAGCGTTATCGTCGATGTACCGCAGGAGCCGACGGCTGAGGAGGTGGATGCTGCGAGGAAGGCGGACGCGCTGTTGCCGCCGGGGATGAGGGGGAAGATACCTGAAGCACGATGATGAAGTCCTGTTCTCGATACCAGTGAACAACTAGAGACAGTGATACTGCGGCAAAGTGGATTTTGCAGTGATGATAGACGAGACTCTACATGGACGGGGCAGTCCTTGGATTTGGTTTCCTACGGTCGATATATGGCAGATCGCTGCTAAGAGTTTTCGCGATACCAACGCGTACCATGTCTTCACATCAATACTCTTTTCAACAGTTCGTCTAGCGCATCGGCGCACGTGTACACCTTCCAGAAGTGTCTATATAAGGCCTCCCAGCTTCGCACTCCATTCTTCCTTTCCACACAACACTTCTTCCATTCTCTTTACCAAAAGTGCTGGGCGTATACCATGATGTCCGCTGCTCGGTCTGCGCTTCTCAAAAGACACATCTCTGGTCGCCATGTTCGGTTTTCCTCCTTTTCCGGTCGGCAAACTTCCAAAACCCATTCCAAGCTTTCGATGACTTTGCCGGCGGACATTACATCGAGAGATTGGATTGTTTGCTCTATGCGACGTCGGCTGTTCTGAACGAAATCACAAAATGCGGAGATCATGTACTGCATATGCTGTTTCCAAAATCGTACAAACGAGTTCTGTGATTTCTGTCCCGCGCTTGAGCACCAAGACTACGCTTCCGCATTTCAAATCAACATCCTCCCCGGCAGAATCCTTCCTCCTTATTGCAGATGAAACTATTCTCAATCCATCAAGGTTCACTGTCGACGAAGACTTGCACATGATCTGTCCTTCCGCCGAGCGCCGAAATGTCACAAAGGCAATTCTATAAGGACTATGTTTAAGCACTGGAACCAGGAGAAGAATATGATGATCCAAGCCTGCGCCCAAAGACCACTTAGTAAATTCGGCCTCCGTGCTCCCAGTCTCTCACTCTACAACTTCTTCCCCGTCATTCAATACCTAAATCTACATTTTCAATCATCATATTGTCGGCTCGCTCTTCTCAAAAACCCAGACAAGAGCTATATGTCTTCATGCTTTGCGCAAAAGATTACCTCAAACCATTGATGTCCTCCAGCTAGCTGAGCTAAAAACAAAAAGGTATCATATGCTGGCACTTCAAAGCGCCACTAAGAAGCCATACCGTATTTATGTATGGTTTGTCTTCTCTGTCAGAACGCTTTTCCAGCCAGACATGGACCATGAGGTGGAGCTTAAGATGTTACCGCACTCACACTTTACTCAAAGCCTGGTGTCCAAAAGGACCAACTCGCACCTCGCGTGAGCTCGAAGTCTCCAAGTCCTCTATACTCAGGCATTCGCGCTCAAAACTGCACACAAACCCATGTATGTTGCCCGAATTGTCAAAGCACTTATGCATACATATATGAAGCATACATATATGGAGCATATATATATGAAGCATGCGTATATGAAGCACGCATGAATCGCCGTACACCCTTCTTCCTACAACATAGCTTGCGCTTTCCGAAAGAAACATAACCGACGACATACTGATGTCGTTCTGTTCTTCCGCTCTCTGAATACATTACAGATAAACGTCATAACGTTGTCTCGTTGAACAGCAGACCTTGAAATGCATCAAAAGACTGCCCGAGAACGTTATGCTGACGAAGGGATTAAATTGTTGCCCCAACACACTCATGTGTTTCCGTCAGTCTTCGCGGGCGGGTATTATCGCGTTCAGCGTGTCTAAAAGACGGACGCAAGTTGTCCATGCCGAAGAAGAGTACAAAAAGTAGTTCAGAAACAATGCATGTGTTTGCTCCTGCTGCGAAGCACCTACTCATAACGCGACACAGATGGAGTAACGTCACCAGAAAGTCTTTCGGAGCTCGAGATTTTTTACCGAGTCTCAAGAATTCCAGGTTGATCAGGCTGAGCTGAGATATGTACACCGAAACGAACCAAAAAGACCTATCGCGAGAACCCCCTCCGTCGCAGACTCGGCTACTTGCAGTTGGTCCCCCCATATACGAAAGTACCATCCGAGTTCTCACACCCACAACTCCCATCCTTCGGACTCTTAATACACCCGGCCCCGTCCCCACTTTCCTCGCCCTCCACGCCCGCCTTCGCCCAAAAGAACGTCCAAGTCCCCGCTTTCTTACCCATTACCTTCCCAGGAGCACAGTTATACGCTTCGCATGTGCCGTACGGATACCCATAGTTACCGTCGTACTGGTGGTCTTGGGTGAACACGGCAAAGGTCTGGCCGGCTGTGCGGGTGTTGTGGCTGCATTCTGCCGCTTGGATTGCTTTGCTTGTTTTAATTGCTATAAGGGGTTAGTCATTTGGGGATGGTAGGGGTGGGTAGGAGAGGGGAGCGCACGGGAGCAGGAGGGCGCGGATGGGTAGCTGCCGTTTGTGTTGGAGGTTGCTGGGTCGAGGGTTGCGGTGACGGCTGTCGCTAGTATGAAGGCTGCTGCGATGGAGTAATTGTTGAACATCATTCTGGTCTAGGTACTGGGTAACGAGCGTGTGGTCTTGTGAGGTACTGGGGTGAAGCGAGTTTGGTTAGCCACAGCGATGGGATATCTTATACAACACCAAGCCCATTCCCATCCCTTGCCACTTCTATCACGGCAATGTGTTTTTCCATTTATATGAGAAGGATTAGCTGATCCACAAACACGTACCACCAATTACGCAGTCTCAGGAAATTTGCGGTCTGAATGGTCTTGAAACAGACTAGACAGGGGTGGTCGGGTGCGCAAAGCCACATCACTTCTTCACATAGAGTGGAGGTGCATCGGATGTTTCGTGCCGCTAACGGGCCGAGCCTGGTAATCTTCAATTCCTACATACTGGTTCTAGGGCTGCGGCATGCTGCAGCATGGAGGTGTTCGCGTGCCCACAGGACTCGCACGTCAAACTCGTGGCGTCAACGTTGTCTTCAAACCCGGAATCGTACCCGGATTCGTAGTCGTGGTGCGTCGATGTAGGCGGGAAGTCGTTATTACAGTCCAACGAATCGTCGTCGGTATCTGATGCTGAGCTTCACAGGCCTTCGTCGGGGTTGGTGCACGTGACCGTAGCCGGAAGTTCCTCAGGGTCACTAGCCCGTTCTTCTCCAGCATCCTCCGCCACAACCCATTCCTCGCATCCCCATGCGTCCCCGCCATTCTTTATTCGAGCCAACTGAGCAGCAGTGTTGATCTCCTCTTGCTTCCTCTTGGCCTCCAGCTTCTCATGGGCTGCTGCCTTTCCAGCTGGACCGCCATCGTATCTTTGGTATACTCAGACAAATATTCATCGTTGCGCCGAGTCGTCACCTCAGACTTTCCTGCCCAAGCGGCTTTGTCCTCAAGCCCCGATTTGAGCTTCGACAGCAATTCCTCGAGAGTTGGGAGGAGACTCTCGTATGCCTCTTGTAATCCCTTGAACTTTTGGTTCTCTTCCCCCAGGGTACCGCCCCGCTTCCCAAATTCGTGCGAGGACCAATTTCTCATCTCATAGATCGGCTAGTTATCATCAATGGCCCTCGAAAAGATCTTCCACAGTGAATTTATGGGTGGTGACTCAGGCCACTTCACTGCAGACTCGTACTTGATCCTCTTCCAGTCTTCGACGGGGCTCACGTGGCGCGACTGTATTCTCGCCTTCATGTCTGTGATCTTTGCATCCAGGGGGTCTGGATGTCGGGCCAAGCGGAGCGACCAAGTGTCTTGCTTTTGGCCTGTTACGCCAGATTTGTTGTCGCAGCCCAGCATGTATGTAGCATTGTTGTGAAAACTTCGAGTGAGCTGGAGGTAGTTTTCTGCATGGCGCCTGGTAAGGACAACGCCGCAGATGTTGTTGCAGCAATCCATGTTGAAGAGAGGATGCTTGTTCAGATGATTTTGGTTTGAAAGTACGGAATGGTGCATAGTAGATTGGTTTGAAAGCTTGAAAGATGAGTAGTGAAGTGGCTTGGAAGTATGTTATCATGAGTTATAAAGTGAATGGTTAAAGAGATGAAGAAGGGACGGAGAAAGACCAAGATATAGTCCTGGACCTCGCACAATGCATGCGCTAACTGTCTACAGTACCGTGCGGGTAGCCGACTGAAGAATGTAGAACGAAGGGCATGATTCCTTAAATTCACCCGTGACAGCTAGAGAGAATTTTCCAACCAGTGTTCGACTTGACAGTACCATTACATCGCGTTGCCTATGATAGGCTACTCCCAGCTAAACATCGCTTATCCTGCACGGCATTAGTAATGTGCGCCCTTCAGCATTACACGCACACTTCTTTCTTCCTATAGAAAGGCCTTGGTCAAGGCCGTCTCCTCAGGCACCAGCCCAAAGATACGCGAGGAAATTCACTTTTCCAACCTGCCTCGATTTCATTCAACCCACCCATACTCAAACGAGCTAGCGCCAACAATTATGAAAGCACTCGTGCTCGCAGCAGAAGCTCGAACAGCGTATATTCGCGATATACCGCAGCCGGTACCTTCGTCAACCGAGTTGCTTATCCGGGTAAGAGCCATAGCGCTCAACCCTATCGACCCACTATACGTTACGCATCCACTGGGCAGCTCCGGTCGCACCGTTGGGAGCGACTTCGCTGGAGTCATGGTCGAAGCAGGCTGCAATGTTCCCGTGGAGGCGAGCCTTTGCGTCGGCGATGAGGTTGGAGGGTTTTTGCAGGGTGCTTGCAGCGTCAATGACCGATCAGGTGCATTCGCAGAATTTGTCGTCGCGCCGTGGGATCTAGTCTGGAGAATACCTAAGCCAGTCACCATCGAGCAGGCTGCTGGTGTGAGCCTCGTAGCCCTCACGGCCGCGCAAGCGATATGGTACCGGCTGGGCCTGCAAGCTCCGTTCGCTTACGATCGCGACCAGGCCTTTCAAGAGCACCCAGACTGGAGGGCCAAACACAACGAAGCGGATGGGCCGTGTGCAACCAACGTTCTCATCTACGGCGCATCGACGTCAGTGGCACTATATGCTGCGCAGATGGTACGACTCAGCGCCGAATCCAGCGGTAAGGCTATCAGATTGTACGGCGTCGCTAGCAAAGCTCGATGGGAGTTTCTCAAAACGGAGCCCTACGGCTACAATGCTCTCGTGGACTATCGAGACCTCCATTGGCTGGAGCGGATCAGAGAGCTCACAGGAGGTGTTGGCATCCATTATGCATTTGATTGCATCTCTGAGGGTAGCTCGGCGAGCACACCTGTTCAACTCTCGCACGCAACGGCAAGGTAGCCATTGTCCGATCTCGCGAAGGTGGAGCTTGGAAGGCGCCTAACATTTCGGTGGAGCCAAGTTACGGCGCGGTGTGGGAAGGTTTGGGCGAAGAGGTTCAATACCAAGGCTTCACGGTGCGACGATCACCAGCTGCTCGTGGGTTTGCGGTGGCGTTCTATGCGTGGCTCAGCGCGTGTATGGGTTCCGAGCTGAGTTCAAATCCGATCAGATTGATGCCGGGTGGCCTAGAGAGTGTAGTTCAGGATGGCTTCCAGTTACTTGGTGTGGGTGGTATGGAGGAGAGACGAATTGTCCGCGCTGAACCATGGATGCGACCTGTCAGTGCTGAGAAGCTCGTCTATGGTATCTAAATCTCTGTCAATCTAAGTCGAAGTCTTGTATCTTGCCGTACAATAATTTTACTCGCAACATTCGCGTTCTCCGCACTGCAATCATGAACATAGTCCATAACCCCGGCCTTAGATCGCGTCGCGTTGTTGCTGCGAAATGATACGCGTAGTCGTGTAAGATCACCTGGCTTGACCGTCAAGACGAGTGCGATTACGCGTTCACGAATCTACCCGGATGCATCATATGCCAAGTGTCAATGTTTCATATGGAATGCGATGGCCGGGCGACGTTCGCAATATTTGTGTTGTTGTTGGTGACGGTGTCATTAATTCTTACGCGAGAAGGGGAAGTCGAGGCCGCAGGTGGGGCTAGCCACTTCTGCACCCGAAGTCGATTCATAATTTCATCAACACATCGACCCACGCGACTCCTGAGGATGAGTTCAGCTTCCGTACGACGTTTATAGGCACACAAAGAACAGCGTCAATAATTCTTTGACCTCATGGCTGCATCGGGCAGAGCGTTTCACGTGGAAGCGCTGTAAGGAGCACCCTTGCGATGCACCACTTTGTTTGCGTAGCCTAGGCGGCCCACGACAGCATTGCCTTTGCGTCTGATGATGGTTTGATGCAAAATACTAATGAGGCTTGATCATGGTCGTGGTTGCACCTTCATATCGGGTCGCTCTCGTCCCATCGTCATTTATCATTGATCAAGAGATCTAACCTTACACAATGATACCCGCACTTCGAAGAAGAGACGATGGCTCATATCCGGAGGGAGGTGTGTTCTACAAGTGCAACTATTTCCGTGGTTGCTGCACGATAGACCCATGCATGCCAGGTAGTACCTGTCCTGCAGACGAGGACCGGACTCCAGGGCGATGTAAGTACACTCCAGTTTGTTGAATGATTGTGAAAGCTGACCACGAGCAGCCTCAGATGCACCGTCATCTACCCTGATCGCATCGATATCGATCACCTCGATCACCTCGATGACTTCTTCAATGGTGTCTCGAACAACCTCTGGGCCGGCCCTTGACACTGGATTTACGATTAGCTTAGAGAAGCCCTCGTTGAAGACTGTCACACAGAGTCCATCAGCCATAGCGACATCATCTACCAACGCGCCAGTACCAGCGGACCACGCTCAATCCTCGATTATAGCGCCCGTGGTCGGTGCAGTGCTAGGCACAGTCATCTTGTGTGCATTGCTTGCCTCAATACTCCTGTACCTCAGAAGGAGACGGCGGACGAAGGTATATAAAGCGGCATCATATCCTTCTCCCTTAGTTGGTGACGACATGACATCGCAATTATCAAGTAAGCCCATGTGTTACGCTTTGGTCTTTGGTACACGATATTATTTGAAGTCAGGGAAAGCATCTACCCAATTCCAGCAGAAAATAGCAGCACTCTACAGAGCAGACTCTATCACGAAACCAGAAAATCCACCACAGCTAGGCAGTCGAGAGATAGGTCAGCATGAACTCCATCGCAACGCCTCGATGGCACGTCTCTCTGAGCTTCCCGCTGAGCCAATACCATGGCCAGGCCATGCTGCCCACGGCTAGACCTTTCTTCAATCATGATGATATTACAACAGAAGCCTCTGGCATGCATTAGATTAGCGAAATGTGATGAATGTTGTAACTGTACGAGACGCGGGTCGTCGGATTTAGACGTAAGAATCTTATGAGTCAAGTTGGTAGTGCTGATCACAGTATCAGAGGAGAAGGAAATGTACCATGACACCCAACATCCATAGATACCCCATAGCTCAGGTAGCTTAGAAACTTCGAGATGGCACTAGCACAACAGATGGAGTTCTTGGTGTGATGCTCGCCAATTTTCGTTCCAGCCTGCGACTGCCGCAGCTGACGAATCATCGACGACTAGCCCCGCTGACGTCACAGTCGGGCAGCTACGATCTCACACCTTTCCGTCACTCGCGCATGCCTAAATCTGCGCCAACTTTACCCGTTCGCTTTCTAACGAGACATTTGAATCAACTCGCTTCAATATACTCTTATCATCATGTCCGAAGACGGCGCGCCGCCTACAGAATCGGCAACACAAGCAGCATCGCCTCCCTCGATACCCCGCTATTTTCGGAATGATGCGCCGTTGGCACGACGAGATCCTCACAAGCAACTGCTAGCGTCATTGGATCGACTGATTACCGACTATCCTCCGCATCATGTACCCCCAGGCGGTGGTTTATACTACGGACCGATTTCAGTGGCCTACCTCTTCTATGCCCTGCACAACATATACCCGGATCTTAAGCTGGATGACTACCCCTTGAACACATGGTCTGCGGCTTACATCGAACAAGCACAGGCTCATATCAAGGAGTTCCCGCCTCCGTCTCCCAAGAAATGCGGTATCTCCAACGACATCATGTCTCTGCTTGCCCTGTACGCCGTGACTGCGCAAGATCCAGACACCGTGAAGGAGCTTTGCGATCATGCTGCAGTCATGCTCGAGGATGAGACCTCCAATGAATGGCTATACGGTCGTGCTGGCTATCTCTATCTCCTCCGCTTGGTTCGCGGGGCGTTCGCTCACAACAAGGACGTGACTGAGCTGATCGAAGACACGGCCGATGAGGTCATCGAGAACATCATGCAAAGCCCGCGTCCCTGGAAGTGGCATGGGAAGGCATACGTGGGTGCCGTTCATGGCGCAATCGGTATCATTACACAGATCGTACTCACCGACCCTTCCTGGGCGTCTAAGCTGGAGGCCGAACTAGGTGCCTTGCTCAGCTATCAATACGAGAGCGGCAACTTCCCGTCATCCCTCCCACCAGGTCGTGACAAGCTTGTTGAAGTCTGTCACGGAGCACCAGGTGTAGTCAACTCCATTCTCTCAATCAGAAAATACTTCCCGGGACTTCAGGAACGCATTGATCGTGTTGTCGCAAAAGCTAGAGAATGCATCTGGGAAAGAGGCCTGCTCACCAAGGAGCCATGTCTCTGTCACGGCATCACAGGAAACGCTCTTGCTCTGGACGGGAAACAATTCGAACACTTCTTGACGTACACCACAGGTCACGAGATCAAGTCCATGGCCAAAGACGGTATGCTCGAGAAATCGGAAGATCCATCTTCCCTGTGGTGCGGCGAGGCAGGTCGTGCCTGGGCTTGGGCAGTCGCGGACAAAGATCTAGACAAGACACTTCTCGGATATAACGACATCTAGACCCTCGGTCCGAAACTTCCAGCAGTTCGACTGGCACTTTGATGATACACACGATATAATGAACGAGATCACCGCCAGACTATCGAGCGTTTTGCGCATGTGGTCCGATGCGGAATACTTGTATGAGGATGCACAACGCAGTCAGCTACGGCTAACGGCACGAATGACCTGTATTAGCGTCTCAATTAGGAGCCATTTAAATCAGCAATCAACTATTTCCGGATTCTTGCAACGTTCTACCATCATGTATGCGTATCAGTTTACCTTATTCCCCACCATCGGACGCCTTAAGTATCCGCTAGGCGAGTCGGTGCCTTGTGAGCCTCAAACGGCACAAAAGATTAATGGAAAAGCTAGGATTGTAGAGACTTTACTCGCGACATCTGCTTCGGTGAATTCAGGTTGGGCAATCTCCGTCAGCCAAACACGTAGCCGCGCGGGGTACACAGCATGTTGCGCATTGCTCCACGCGTCGTGCAACATTGAATGCAGAATTCCGCGGGCGTGACCGAACGCCGATAACTGTGCCTACCATCCCATCATCTATATATTGAGTTGTGGATTAGGCTGAAAAGATTATGCGTCGTGCGAACCATATTTGGCGTTGACAGGCAGTCTGCGTTCCGAAACCGCGGTCGAAACTAAGTAAGATTGCTTATGGTAATGTATCCTGCTGATGTTTCACACAACGGCTATTCGCGAAAACCTTGGAGCGATGTTATTTTGTGCTCCTACCACCTGATGACTATCAGTGCGGGAGAGACGAGGTCGTGATCAGAAAAGCACATTCCTGGCACGTCAACAAGCCCCTTGACAATGCTTCTTTCGTTGATGCACCTTCGACTCAAACATCACACGCTGTCTTTCTATCTCAATCGCTAGCTTTCGCCCTTAATTTAAGTCACCAACTGTCATCGTCGCATCTCTCTTTTCCGCTTCTAGAAGAACGCCAGCGCGAGGGTAAACTTACAACGCACCCGCCGCGCCCTCCTCTCATACTGCGTTGCCGCATTGGCGGTATTTCCTCCCAACCCAGCGATCAACTCGCAGTTTTCGTGCAATATTTCTCGTGTTCATCGCGTCACAAGGTGAGTGCGTCACATTCCGGTCAGCAAATTCCTTGGTTCAGGGCACATTTTCGCTACCACATCTCTTGTCATCACAACAACAACAACAACAACAACATAGGTGAGAGAAGCCAACAATTCTGGTCCGCAATGGACCTTGCTACTGTATTGCATGCCTATGCGACATCCGATTGACCTAGTATGACGACTGTGGATGACAGGCGCGATCATCATTCACTCTCACTGCATATCACCTTTATTCGTGGCTAGTCTGTTTTACACGCAGGGACTGCAGGCTTTGACGTACAAATATATCTCTCTGCTTCCCTCTGACCGGCTCTCCGCAGATATACCCCACGTTTAATGCGACAGTCGCTCACCATGCTCATCCCGTGGCTCGCCCGCTGTTTAATACCGTGGCTTTTGATATCATATGTCACGTGTACGCCTCTATCGGAAAGGAAGAGCTCCCACGCCGTCCGGCAGTCCGTGGCGGGCGTAGTGACCGGAGTGAAGTCGCGGGACGAAAACGGTCAGTACTCAGCTAGCCCACACCTCTATGAATCGCCGCTGACATTTCACAGGAAACGTTTATGTGCGCCGAGAGGTGAGGGACTTGAAGAACAACGCTCCAGACCAATGGAGTCTTTACATCTTGGCGCTTCGACAGCTTCATACAACTCCGCAGAATAACCCCAACTCATACTACGGTATTGCATGTGAGTTCATCCGCTCTCAGCATTGTCCATCGTTTACTAACATACTTCCCAGCAATACATGGAAGGCCTTACGATGTTTGGGGAGATGCACCAGGAAAGACGAACAAGATCGGCAAGGCGGGCTATTGCCCACATGGCAATGAGTTGTTCCTGGGTTGGCATCGCCCGTACCTTGCGCTATTTGAGGTGAGCTCCATACATTCGCGCCTTCACCATTCCCTGAAGCAATAACGACAATGATACTGACTCATCTTAGCAAGCACTTTCAAGCCATGTCCATGATATCGCTACAAAAGCACCCGCCGACCAGATCGAACGGTATCTCAAGGCAGCAAACGAGTTTCGCATACCGTACTGGGACTGGGCCCAGGGGACCACTACCGGCCCTGTTCCAGACTTCTTTACAGCCTCCGAAATAGCGGTGACGGATATGGACGGCAGTCTGACAATGGTGTCCAATCCGCTGTATTCCTACAAGTTCAATCCCATACCCGCTGGCTTTAATCAAAAGGTAAGCGATCCCAATTTTGGAAACTCGTGGTACAATTTTTGTGACTTTTCGTGCAGTGGGCTTCTATGAGCTCGACGATACGATGGCCGAGCGACGCTACCGCCAATGCGACGGCGCGACAATCCATGTTCGTAGGTGCCTTCAACGACCAGTCCACCAATTTGATAGCTCAGATTGGTGTTGCTTTCCGAGCGAGCAGTTTCTCCAAGTTCTCTAGTATACTTGAAGACCCGCATGGCTGGATACATGGTGTCATCGGCGGGGGCTATGATCCCACGACGTCTTCACCCGGTCATATGTGGCCGCTGGAGTATTCGTCTTACGAACCCCTCTTCATGCTGCATCATGCGTAAGTGCGCACTGTCTGTGTGAAGGTGCTGAGCTAACAAAGTATTAGCAACGTCGACCGCCTACTCGCACTATACCAAGGAGCGCACCCCGATCTTTGGATGGAGAAGTCAAGCATCGGGCCGCATGGAAACGTCTATCTTGACGACTACCAAGACGTCGACGCGAACACCGAACTCCTCCCATTCAGAAAGGACCCCGGCAAATTCATGACCTTCAACGACTGTCGCAACACTACCGTCTTAGGTTATGCCTATCCGGAAACACAGCGTTGGAAGTTCTCATCGGACGCTGCCTATCAGACCGCTGTCACAGCAAGCATTGCGACGATGTACGGCGGGCGCATGCGCGCACAAGCCGAAGTCCAGGTTGCCAGTACTAGACCAACGCCATTTGGAGAGACGCTTCAGGACAGCAACGGCACATACACCGACTGGACCATCGAGACACAAGCCATTGCTTCCAAACTTCCACCATCGTTCATCGTCAAGTACTCGCTCGGCAGCATGTTTCACACCGATCCTGTCGTCGAGGTGGGAAGCTGGATGATGTTGATGCCGGAGCGACTCGACAACGTGCACACCCAGAAAGATCCGTCGGTACCGGAGAAATTGATAAACGGAACGACAAGCATCACACCTTATCTCGTCGAGCAAATCGAGAATAAGAGCTTAAAGAGCCTGGAGCCCAGCGACGTAGTGCCTTTCTTGACCGAGAAGCTGACCTGGAATGTGTACGATGTAAGTTCGCTCAACGTCATGACTGATATCAGAACTGACTTACAATTCTAGCAAAATGGCAAACACATCAAGTTCCCAGATCAAAAGACCCTTTCAGTAAAGGTGTCCAGCACCAGCGCGCGCGTACCAGACAACGAGGAAGAGCCGATCGAATACGACGATGGAACCACAGCTTACCCCGAGATCACGGCAGGCAAGTCTGGTGGTGATAAGATGGGTCCTCCGGGGATGATGCGTCCATGATTTTAGCGCCTTCGCGCTCTCAGCAACTTCCCTTTAAGCGTCGATAGCTTTCCTTGTGTCCTCTCACGTAGCAAGTAACATGTGGTGGCAGAACGAATCAGAATCAATGCTCAGCCCTTCTCTTCTGACCAATCGACTGCACAATCGTCTCACCACTAAACCGTGCTTCGTGAGGTTGCGAGAGCGTCTTTTCCGGTTACAAGGAGAAAGCTGTGAACCTCTCCGGCGATGCGTCACACCGGACATGAGACGATCTTAGCCCCATCCGCTAACCTGTTACCCCACACATTGAATTTGATTCGCTGCAGCACGGCGCTTTTCCGAAGAGCTTGTCACTCCTTGTACATACTTAATCACCTCAAGCATTACTCAAGCATCATTAGCCGTTTCCCCAGCTGATGCAAAGACGCTGCACAAATGGCCTACCCACTCCTCCGAAGTTCTCGAACCCTTCAATCGGCCCGCCTAGCCACATTCCACCCGCGGATACATATCCGCAGTCTATCCACCATCGTATCGACATCATACCCATTTAACCCATGGCACACACTTCACCAACCTCGATTCCAAAAACCATCACAAAATAACATCCTTCCGCACCAACCCTGGCATCAGCCCTTCAGCACCTCCCCAACCACAAACATGTCAACAGAACCCCCACCAAAAAAAGACTGGTCAGCAACCCAATACCTAAAATTCAACAACGAGCGCCTCCGTCCCGTCTACGACCTCATATCCCAAATCCAACCCAACATTACCAGCTCAGCCCCCCGTATATTCGACCTAGGCTGTGGACCCGGAAATAGTACAAAAGTCCTCCTCGATGCGTTTCCCTCGGCGCGCATCACGGGCATGGATAGCAGTCCCGACATGTTGAAGAAGGCGAACGCGGAGTTCGACGGGAAGGATGGTGTGGATTTTTTGAGGGGAGACTTGGCGACGTTTAGGGTAGACGGAGAGACGGATGTACTATTTAGCAACGCGGTGTTCCACTGGCTCCGCTCTTCGGAACGCATACCCACGCTCGTGCGCCTGTTTTCTTCGCTGAAAAGTGGGAGCGTGATAGCGATCCAGGTACCGGATAATTATCACGAACCGTCGCACCGGATGATGCGTGAGACGGCCCTTCAATCAGGGAAAGCGTGGTCAGACGCCTTTTCCGGGACACAGATTGGGGATTTGAAGGATACGACAAGACCGGATCTGGATCCGATTGAGGAGCCGAGTGCGTTTTATAACGCTTTGGTGGGGGAGGCGAGTTTGGTCAATGTGTGGAGGACAAAGTATATGCATGTTCTCAAGGATGCGGGCGCGATTGTGGAGTGGGTCAAGGGGACAGGGTTGCAGCCTTATTTGAATAAGATTGAGGGTGAGGGGGCGAAGAAGGCATTTTTGGAGGAGTATGAGAGGGGGTTGAAGGGCGAGTATCCGGAGTTGGTGGATGGGAAGGTGCTTTTGGGATACCCGAGGTTGTTTGTGGTTGCTGTTAAGAAATAGAGTTTTGTGGAGTGAGAGTTGCATCAGCGACATTTAGATCTTACGTAGACCAAATGCTATGCTAAACTGAGTCTGCATACATGCTTTTGAAGAGTGCCATGCATGTATGTCCATATAGCTACCTATCTACGCAAGTAGTATAGGACCTATCTATGAGCAACACATTGACTGAAATTCTCGGCCTGACATGTGTTGCGCTCGAGATGTATACGGTGGCGTTCAGGTAGTAGTGGAATTGGGATGGTAACGCTTCGTGCATAGCCAACAAACCCGCAGGTGACATCCTTTAAAGTTACAGCCATGGACCCAGCGGTCCTGGTTCCCGCAGTAATCACATTTGGTGTCGACGCCCTTACTCTTATATAATCGCCTGAACTCGTGGTCGTCGCCCAGGTGACCGTAGTCCTGCGCATTGTTGCCGGCCTGGGGCAGGTGTTGTTGCTGTGGATGCTGACCGAAGGGTTGGAACTGAACTTGGGCTTGGTATTGAGGCTGAAAAGCCGGGGCATTCGGCACTGGAGCATAGACTGCTGGTGCAAAGGCAAACGGCGGAACGGGAGGTACGACGTAAGCGGAGTTTGCAACGTGAATGGGAGCATTGCTGGCCAGTACTGGTGCACCAAAGAATGGTGGCGCGGGCTGTACGATGTTCGCAGGATTGACGACGTTTGGAGCGGCAATGTTGGCGGGTACTGGTATATTCGCAAGGTAGCGCGCATTCTTCCCGCAATTACATGTACGCCACCTTGCCTGACAACGGTAGCAGAAGTGATGTCCGCAGCGGCATCTAAAAAGTCAGTTGAACGTATGAGACGCGTAACGGTCGTACGTACGTGATGTGATAACAGCCACCCTTTAGCTCTACCATCTCGTTGCAATTAGGGCAAGTCTGCCATTGCTTCTCCTTGGCCACGTCCATAAGCTTCTTCACATCCATATCGTCTTGACAGAGACCTTCATGTTGACCACGTTTGCAAGTCTCGCAGGTTGTCTGGATGCATGTTGGGCATGTCGCGACGTTTGCTACGATGTTGACAGGTCTGATCCATTCCGAGCAGAGAGCGTTACTGCAGTACGTTCGGTTTGGCGTCTCCAGTTCTTCTCTTCTGGCCACAAATCGAGCGAAGAGCGTGGGCGGCAAAAAGGGAATGCACGCGAAAACTGGCAAGATCTGATTACAGCATCGCGGTGGGAATTGCGAAGAATCTGTGATGCAAGCTTCGAAAAGGTGGATGAGACAGTCGCGGCAGTATGCATGAGCCTCAGCATCGCCAGCGTTCTTGCATTGAAGTTGGATCGTGTTTCGGATGGGATACATATCTAAGCACGCAGAACATCTGCGGGACAAGATGGCTCCGGATCCCGCTGCAGGCAAGCCATGACCTTCCTTGTTGATTGCGTCGGACGAGGCGACACTGACGGTTGCATCGATGGGAGTTGTGCTTGCCTGTAATTCAAGCTTGGTTCGCTTGGTTCGCCCGTCATTTTCTTCCCGAAGTGCTGCTGGCTCAATGTAGGCGTACCGTTTTCTGACTGTAGATCCATGTGCGTGTGGTGTAAATGAGTTCTTGTCTTCATCATCCGCATCTTCAACGCGCGCACGCTTGAAGCTGTTCAGTGACAAGGCGGGCCACCAGCTGTTCCCGGCAGGGGGCTTGGTCTTGGTAGGTGCGGACTGGGTCCCAACGGACTTGAAGCGGAGAGGTTTTTGAGCGGGCGTCATGCCGTTCACCCCTTCGAACTGCTTGTCTATTGCGATTCCGTGTGCCTTGTGATCGTTCGACACCACAGGGCGTTGAGGTACCGGCAGACCTACAAGTCTGCAAGCCATCTCGTAGTTGCCTTCATAATGTTAGCCTTGATTCATTTACCATGACCAGAACGCTTGCACTCACGATCAGCCTGCTGCGCCTCACTCGAGTGTTGAGTGAAAGCTTCTCGGACAGCGTTGTCCTCTCGAACGATGATGAGTGTAAAGACTGCGTCGTGTAACTTGTTCCATCCTCTCATTAGCTCATCGCGAAACGCGGCGAAAGCGACCCCTTCGCGGTCGTCAGGGCTGGTCTTGGACAGGCTCTGAAGGGCGGCGTTCAAGTCCTCGCGATGGAGCCCAAGGATGACTTTGGTAGTGGCGGGATCCATCGTGCGCACGATGCGTGATATAAGTACAAGCACCGGTTGGTGCGGTTGACGAAAGCTACCGTCTAAGGCCTTCTGTCAGGCAGGTAGTGCTGCGAAGCGATGGCCTTGTGCTGCACGCAGCGAATTCAGCGCCCGCGTGGGAAGATTGAGGTAAAGCAAGAAACAGGCAGCAAAGTGAAGTTTCGCTGTGGAGGGTGTGGGGGAAGCTTCATGAAGGTGAGTGCAAGCCAGCGGCAACTGCCAAGCACGGTGAAGATGAGGAGGAAGGCGCGTCCTTCGCACCGTAAACAACGGGAAAAACAATGACGTGGAGAGTGGGAGAATGATCAGATACCTACACAGGCTTTTGTAGCCATCTAGCAGCAGTAGGCAAGAAGAGCCTTTGACGACTACATCTCGCGACTTCGTACATTGTCCACACCTTCGACTCGGCATCTACTGCAGCGACCTACGCAGCTTCTACGCAGTTCCGCCACGCAAGTCCCTTCATCCCCCAATCCCAGTACTCTTCACACTCTCAAACACCACCTCTACAAGCCCTCGCACTCGCACGCGCATGTTCGCGCCACTAGTAAACAATGCCAAAATCGTATATGGCACAATGTGATTACCCAGAAAACGCCCATACCAATGCTGCAGCAAAAATGTTGTTCCTTCCAGTACGCATCGCGCAAGCGCATGATGCCTACAATGCAATCAAACAGGTTCGTCAAACTTATGCCAAGCCGATGCGTGAAGATGGACTGGCCAGTCTAGATGTCATAACGTAGACTCTGGCCAGGGGTATAGAATAGGATTCGCCGCTCATTGAATGCTTTTCGCTCAAGCCATGCAAGAATGGTTGCATGCAATCAACGCCATGTACTCCGGTAGGGTTCCAAAAAGAGAGTGGTCGTGTCTCATCCAGCGCCCGCGGTGCCAATCTGTGTGTGTTTTTGGAAGCCAGGCGAGCGGTAGCTGTGCCGATGAGGTGATGCAGTGCGATGGCCGTCGGAGGAGCCTTGCGGATTCTGGGCGAAGGCAGGGTTAGGTGTATTTCGGTCATACCCTGGTGTGGGACTGTGCTGATTGCTGCCCATAGGTTGACCACTCCCGCCGGGTATCTGGCGAACAGAAGCCTCACCAGCTTGAGCCGAGGGGTTGTTGTCCGCCGTCGTAACTTGAGGCGAATTGCGTTGGTCTTTCCTGGAAGCTGTGCCGGTTTGGTCTCTAGGTGACGGCGTAGGAGCTGACAGAGGGTTCTTCCCCCGCTGCTCCCATTGGCGCATGATTTCCTTCGCGCTCATGTCGGACACTTCATCGCTGAGGAGCTCCATAATCTCGGGAGGTACCTGGCGACGTTAGTATGAGAACAGAACGGTAGCATGGTGACGCAACAAACCTCCGAGAATTCATCGTTGTTTTCAATGAGATCAAACACGACCTTGACCGCGCCTTGATCCACGCTCTTGACTTCTTTGTCGTTGCTCTCTCGTAGAATATTGGGAGCCATGACCGTAGCGATGTTCCATGTATCCATCTTGTTGCCTGTTTCTTCGTCCACAGTGTGGAATGACGAAACCCAGTTCAGGAAACAGAACAGGACTTCCATGGTGTCACGGTGGGCCTTGGGCAGCAGACAAAGCACGAGATGCAAGACCTTCTTTCTTTGCGCTTCATCCTCGATATCTGCTATTGTTAGTAAAGCACCAGCGACAGAAACGAGCGACTCACCATTAGCCACCATGAACAGCCTATACAGCTTCAATGTCAAGACCGGCTCCGGCATTAACCTGAGGAAGCGCTTTAGGAGGTTGGCAAGTATGACCGGGTTCTTTGTATTCAGGTCGACCTTCTGAACACCGTGAGCGTCAATCTCTTCCTCAAGTTCGCGCAGAGCTTTGAGGTTGCCGTTCTTCCTGAAAACACCCTCGATGGACATGTCCATACTTCTCATCGCAGTGATACAATCCTGAAGCAGAGCTGGAACTTTGAGAGCGCCCGGTCCTACACCTTCCGTGCACTCATCACCATACTTTTCCACGAGGTACTCAAGCGACTGTCGGAAAGTTGCTTTGTCGGAAACCGGCTTCTCGACTCCTGTAACACCCTTCTTCGGCTTGCTTTTGTCGGCCTTGAACGCTTTGCCGAATCCGATCTTGCCCCAGAAGTTGTTTTTCTTCGACTCGATGAGATCGAGCAGATCGCCCTGGTTGTACTGGTTGTCGTCGAGCAAGAGGCCAAGCTGGAGTACTGCAAGGCCCTTCAGCTTGAAGTATTCAAGTGGCGAGAGCTCCGAAAAGTAGGTTCGTGAGCGACCTTCGGTCATCAGTTGTAGGTCCTGGGCGCCAGAGAAGTCACGACGGTGGCCATTTTGCAGCTTTGGTTGATCTTCTCGTCCCAGTAATGCGCTTCCGCCAGCGCGGAATGCGTTTGGACGTTGCTCTCGTTGCTGCTCCAACGCAGCCATGCGAGCAATATCGTCTAAAGCGAGAGAGTTCACAGCGAGTGTTACAGCATCAGCGTCGCTCCCAAGCTCGCGTTCCTGGACGATTTGCATGCCTCCTCGCATCTGTCCTTCTCCTTCGAGACCCTCTGGACCGTCAATAATTCGCGATGCGCGCGCACGTTTCATCGTGTTGGATAGGTGCTTGTCAAGTCGTGTCGATCGTAGGCGCTTGATGTCAGACATGGACTGCTCGTAGGCGGCATTGTTACTGTTTTGGCTGTCTGTCGCTGATGTTCCTCCGTACGACTTTGATCGCGTATCCGGTCGCAAATGCGGCGGGTCATCCCCAAGGCGATGTCCCTGTGTGGAATCATAGCCTGCCAGGTTAGGATCATCTACAAGTCATTAGTGGGACGAATGTAATCTCGGAAGCGGCTCCAGAAATCTGAGTCGGAGTGTCAAGATGAGTGGTGACGAGGTGATCTGTTACGGAGAGTTATTCTTACCTGAAGTGTGTGGCAATGCGCCACTGGATCGTAGGGTCGCCATAAGACGCGCATGCGCCACGTTTAGTAGGTGCACATATTGGCGCAGCTTGGTGACCTGCTCGAAACCGTTCTCAGCGTCTGGCTGCGCTGCTGCACATGCCGGACAGAAGATGCTTCGCTTCGATTTACTCCAATAAGCGCTCTGAGGGCTATGGCGCAAGTCGGCATTGCACCCCCGGCAAACCATGCAGCTGTAATTGTACGACATGTTGTTCAGGTGTAAACACTTGTCTTCGACCTGGGCATCGCATATTGGACATGCGTCGGCCCATCTTGGGACAAGCCGCGCGGACTCAGCCGCCTGGTCTCTTTGGGCCTCGTCCTCCAACCGCGCATCCAGTGAGTTTACTTGGGTAAGGAAGTTGGTCAAGCCGGTGGAGCTCCGGGTCTCGCGCTCTAATTTTAGAGAACCCTGCAGACATATGCGAATGAGGAGCTTCAGGTAGTGGGCCAGGCCGGTAACCAGGGACAGCAGTTCTTGGGTCACGCCCAGTCGTCGTACGCCAGTACCCTGGGACTGGGTAAGAAGCGCGAAGAAGGCTACCACTTTCTTACAAAGTAGCTTTGATTCGCGCGAATAGGTCAATCCCTTGGGTGTCCTGACGATCAATTGCGCATCGAGCGCGTCGGCGGCCGCGAAAAGCAGTTCGACATGCACAATGAACTTTTTGGCTGCCATGACACCGTCGACGTAAGCACCATTACTGACGTGCAGGAGCATGTCGGAGATACAGGTCGCGGACTTTTCCTCGAAAGCCGATAGGGTCTTCCAGATCCAGTTGACTTTGGCTTCGATCTCTTCTTCCTGTTGGCGAACGCTCTCGCGCACCTCATCTGTCGCGTCGCCATCGGCATCCTGCAGTCGCTCAATGACTGGTTGGCCTGTCGAATGAAGCCTGACATTCCAGTACTTGTGTATCATGTAGCATTCAGGATGCCAATGCTGGTTCTGTCCGTTTCGGAAGATCTCAACGAATTGCTTCAGAATCGATGTTTGACAGCCGTTACACCGCTGGGCAAACTTGGTCGAGTAATGGTAGTGACAGTAGACGCTGCCCTCGTGCTCGTAGTAGCTGTCCGAGGCGCCGAAAACGGTAGGGCATACGGAACACGTAAAGTGCTCAATATGGTATTTGCGATCTAGCGCTGTGATGTATGAGCCGCGCAAGGCTTGCCCGCATTCGAAGCAGAGCAGATCGAGACGTCGGAAGTAGTCTGTTTCGCAGAGGGGGTACTGGCCGGGTGGCTTGTCGGGGACGGGGAAAAACTTGGAGGCGACGATTTTACCGCAGTCCTAGAAGGCGGGTCAGCACTGTGATCAGAGATGCTATGTAGAAAAATCTAGCGCTCCAGACAATCGAGAGCTGTCCGTCCAAAACAGCAGTACGCGCACTCCCGTCGCTACAGAGCGAAAGACGTGCGTACGCTCACTTTCTCCAGTTCAAGAAACAACATGGGTGTCTTACGTGACAAGTAAAGCATTCCAAATGGTAGGTATCGCCGAGCGCTCGCACGAATTGTCCAGTCAGTCCTTCCCCACACTTTCCACATATCTTCCCACTTCGCTTGGGTTTGGCGACGGCCTGGTTTTGGTCCCCCGGATCGGTCGACGATCGCGAGGGGTAGTTGGTGCGGTCGTAGGGCGCAAGACTGTTTGACGACGATGCGGCCTCGTCGGTGGCGCGTCTAGAGAGGCCATTGTTGCGCGGGTCGTAGTTGTACTGTGACTGGGCGCCCTGATGATCCATCGGAGGCGGTCCCTCCGCCGGTGTTCCCATGTCCAGTTACGCCAGCTTCGACAATCCTCCACTACGATGCAGGGTCCGGAACGGGTTCGTGGCGTTGCCGAGGTGGGCGGGGGCGCGCGACAGGGAGGCGAGAGTTAGCAGGGACGGGTTCGTCAGAGTACGTTTGTCGTATAAGCTGCGGCGTTGGTAAGAGGTGCTGCAGACGAGGGGTGTCGAGTCGCGGTGGATCTACCCGGGGAGGTGGCCAAGGGTAGAAGGGCGGCGATGTGTTGGCGAGCGCGCTCTGTCTGGCAATGCGCAGCGTCTGACAGGGCGGGCAGGGCAGGGTGTAAGGGATGCTATGTACAATGGGCGCAAAAGCAACTCGGACGGCATGCGGTCGCCGCGGAGGAGGAAGCGTGTGGTGAATTAGGCCCGGCGTGCTATGGGGGGCATAGGACGAGGACCCTGAGCGGTGGATGAAACGCGGTCAGGGCGGGCAAGGCAAGTAACAAGAGGGAGCAGCACCAGACATGCAACTCGCAAAAGCGCAATCAGTGGTCGCTTGGCGGAAAATTCGCAGGAGGCGGCTTGGGGTGTGAGGCTGGTGGTTGTTCCTGTGTCACTGCGGCTGTGGTCAATGTTCGAGGAGTGGACTGCATGTCGCAGACGGCGCTAGCCGCTTTGGTTCACGCTGATTGCGATGTACAGGCAGATGGCCGGCAGCAGCATCGGCGCCTTGGGACCCCTTGAGCTTATTTTAGCCCTCTAAGAGAGCCGGCATTAGTATGCCATTATGCACTTGTTCTGCGTTGCCGGTGCGCATGCGGCTAGCTGGTGGGTTGTGAATACGTTACACAAGATATTATACGTCCAGTGCACACACGAGATATTTCCCTCAGCATCCTCGGTACATGGCAGGCTATTCCTGGAGAATAACGCACTGCAGGCCGTCTGCAGGCCGATGAAAGTCAGCGCGCCGGGCGGGGAAGGCTGTTCGTTTCAAGGTTCATGGGTATCGCTAGCGCTTTCAGAGGGTCTTGGCATTTCGACAGTCGCGATTTCCATCAGGTGAGGCCGTTGTTCGCGGTTGGAAGGCACGTTTGTCGTCACTGCCATTCAATACCTCTCACTCGCTCTCACCCGCTCTCACTCTAGCTCCGCCGCTTTCACTAGCAGGACCGAGCTCGCACACCACCGAAGAACCTGCGCATATCCAACAAAGACCATCACAACTGACCGACCGCGTCTATAACTTTGCCTACCGTTGTCTATCAATCCACCACACAGCCTTACGCCCCTCACCATCATGGAAGGAGAAGGAGAGCACGCGCCGCCCCAGAGGCAGGAGCCACCCGTCTTCAAGGCCCCAAGGCTCGTTTCGCGCCCGAAGCCCCCGGTGCAGCAAGAGGAGGAGATGGGCTCTGAGATCAAGTTGGGCGATTTCGAAGACGTCCATGCCCTCTCCGTCTCCGAAGCGCGCGCCGTCGTCACAGCTGTCCACGAGGCGCGGAAGAAGAAGGATCCCGAGAACAACCCACTACGCGATAGGATATACAACGACAGCATGTGAGTCGCCTCGTCTTGGCGCGACTTGTGGAAGGCATCAAGGAAAGAGCTTGGGCTGACTGCAACAGAACCATCACGCAGTTCCTCGACTACTTAGACAATTTCGCCCGCTACAAGGAGGAAGACAGTCTGCACTCAATCGCTGCCCTCTTCGATGCGCACCCTGAGATCTCCGTTGTCGAGAAGGCGCTGCTGGGTAATATACGAATCGGAAGGGAGTGGATGTGGTGCTGACAAGCATGCTAGGAACGCTTACCCCGGACACCGCAGAAGAGGCCACCACCCTCATTCCCTCGCTGAACATGGACGAGGACGAGCTGCAGTTGATTCTGGATGAGCTAAACAAAATGCGTGAGTTGGAAAAGATGAACAAGATGGTCGTGGGCCCATGAAGCTGACTTCTCGGACAGAGGATCGGCTTCGATAGTACACTCGTGGATTTCTGTACCATTGCATGCACCCTTTGGATGACGCCATGAGAGAACTGGATAACATGTCGAAAGCGGCCCGTCAACACATCAGGATTGTTACATGTTCACCCGCAGACGGCTCTTGAGCCGTTTCGGTTCATTTGACCAAGTATAGCAATCCCGCTGGTCTGGAAAGTATCGGTATTTGACTTGAGATTGCACCCTCATGGTTGGACAGCGATAGCCTGAGGTTGGTAACAAGAGCAAGTATGAAAAGACCTAGATTGGGCATTTTGAGCCTCACCGAGAACGAAGAGCAATCATTTGCGACACTTACCCCGACATTGTTCTGCTGTTTAAGGCTCGTAATCAATACAATCAACCTTCATTCGATTCAGAATGACAAGATGCCGCCACTCTTTACTTTGTACATTGTGACAACGAAACATCATCCTTCCACAACTCAAGTTGACTACTGATAACAACACCGAGTGGGATTACAGGTACCACGGCCTAGTACACCTCTCCAAACACATCTAAACATGGTGTACACAGCCCTCCTCAGCGTTCAGCTACATCATACTCCGAAGTTGCACTGCCAACAGCCTCTGGTACGAACATTTGGTTTTTGTAAATAGTTCTCCATACCGTTCACATTACTCGATTCATATTCTAACGCACCAACTATCACAACTCAAAACTTCTCGACTCCACCATGAAAACAGTCCACTTCTCCACAGCCGCCTGTCAATGCACCACCATGCGGGCATCCAAGCGCGGTCTGGAAAGACTTCATGCATTGAGTATAGCCTACCCCCGCCACCAAACTGTCCCCGCCCTTACAGCCAACTGCACAGTAGACAGCGTTGCTACAGGCTGCCATACACGTCGATGTCCTTGCGCAGCTTCCGACCCGGTCATAACGTATAGCCTGGCAGCAAGCGTCCTTGCAATCAGCATTATCGCCGCCATTGAGCCCGCAACTGGCGTCCTTATAGCTGCGGTTCTCGCGGTCACCATTTTTATTGTAGGATAAGGCTGTTCTCTCCGCGGTCGCAAGGCTGAAGTTGTACGTGCTGGTGTTGTAGACAACGTCGAGGGGAGGCGTTGATGAAAATGGGATTTCAATGTTTCATGAGAATATCCTAGGTATAACTTGCTTCTTAATTTTGGCCACCATCATGAGCGGCAACTCTTAGCAGTTTGATATCATCTCGTCACCCTAGATCTTTCCGTTCGTTCCCCACCTCATGGCTTTCACTCCCTGTGAAGTGAAAATCACTGTGACATCAAGTACGCGGTCCTTCATGCACAGCGCAAACTCACTGCTACATACAAGCAACAAGCAGGAACCAGCACCTCGAAACCTGCCACCAACGCTCCTGTCAATCCATTTTAACGACTCGGTCTCTGAGTCTCACCGAGCGTTCACTCTCTTTGCCCTCCTCAACCACCAAACCACCCAAGCACCTCAACACATCAAACCACCACACTACCCAAACCTCAATTATCAATCCACCCACAATGCCAGGCTTCACATCCTTCTACATCAAAGGCTGCATGAGCAATAACGCCGCCCCACAAACCGACTTCGCCTACGACTCCGAACCCGAATTCGAAACTCTAGCATCAAAGAAACATCGTCTTCAGCTACAGCAGCGCCATACCCACCAAATAACACATATCTAGGGCACCGTCATGACACGCTCCAACACCCACCGAACTTTGATTATGCTAAAAGGCGTGAAGTCGCATATCGACGCCCAAGTGGAGGAGTCCCACGAGATGGGGTTGATGTCGCTTGGTAAGCGGAAAGAATCTATCCAGCGGTTTGTGAAGAAGAGCCAGTATGTTTACCGAGATGCGTCATGCGCGTTGCAGAAGTTTAGGTCTGCGCAGGGGCCTGTTGGGGAGGTTGCGGAGGGGCTTGGGCTGTTGGGTAAATACGAAGTGGGGAAGGAAGGAGAGGTGGAAATTTGGGATGTGGAGTGCATTTTAGTGATATATCAGCGGAGGATCTTGAAGCCGTTGAGGGAGGTGGTTAAAGAGGTTAAGAAGGTGGTTGCGAGGGAGGAGGGGTGGGCGGATGAGTAGTGAGTAGTGTTGTCATGACGGAGCGATACGATATGCAAGGATTCTGTGGCGGGAAGATGGCATTCTAGTTGCCTACGTACTTATCTAGTATCGTCGTACAAGCCAAGGTGATCAGCCCGAACCAAGACGAGGCCGCAGTCCGAGTCAAAGGCGCATTCCATCGTTGTTAAAGGTGGGGTTGTAGTCTCTACAGCTTCGAGCGTTCTTCTGAAGCGAGCCTCATAGTGATGTTTGTCTATCACAGAGAGTTGGCACGTCACGGTATGCAATGGCGTGCCATGCCACCTTACATGTCTCCAGGGCTACCTCAATCTTTTGCTTGCCGCCAGCTTCCGCATGACCACGGCCTCTGCTTTTCCTTCTTCTATTTTGTTCCTTCCACACTTCCGGTGTGTACATCGGGATACTTCTCAACGGCTTTGTGTTACCTGAGTATCTTCCAAGGTTTCCTCGAGCACAGCCTTCTGACTTGGCAACGGCCAATTCAGCATAGCGAAGACAAGGCATTTCGTCGACGCGTCATGGGAATTCAAATTCAGATGATCCAGACCACCTCGCCCGGTCAGGATGTCGTGGTCTTGTACGACAAACATGCGTCAGGGTCGTCTAGTGGCCAGCTTGATTGGACCAGCCACTTGTGTAGTGTTACACGAATACGAAGCAATTCCGATGTACATGAAGACTTTACCTTATTCTATCAAAATGTCATTGCAAACAACCAGCTTCGCTTCAGCTGTCAACCTTGCATCTTCGTTGAGGGGACACAGGCATGGCAGTGCCAGCCTGGGCGCCTCATTGTGCCTCATGTATCCATGCGGCTACTTGTCGCTTTACACCGGGCGGCTTCGGCCAGGTTATCTTCTACATTCTCATTGTTTGGTGGATGTGCGATATTTAAGTAGTGACCTGCCGCCGCCATGTTGCAAGCTCCACCCAAGACTCAAATCAGACTATTCACGAGCAATGCCACAACCCCATCAGGCTCGCTTTGCTTACCCTGTGGTACGACCTTACCCGTACCGGTGGTATACTCCAATTGTTGTTGTTGGCGGACTCTGCTTAACGGCACTATTTACCTACATCAATGTCGCCATTAGCGGTTTCGATCTAGTCTTCGAGACAACATTTAACCCCAACGCAACCATCGCCCAGCGATCGCAAGATGGCTGGCCATCCTGGAACATCCTCACCAACAAGTACGTTACATCCGAATGCAAAGCTGCTATGTCCTTGACATGCTCGACTTACACCTGACCTACCTTGCCTGACTGATCTGACTTTGTACCTGTACGTACAGGATACAACCCAAGTGCATGCCCGTGGACCTCTCTAGGCACGAATCCTTCTTCACGAACCAGACGGCTCTCTCATACACACTCACAGCTATCTGGACAGAGCAAGACACGCAGCTAACCGAACTGCCGTCATTAACATATCAGAACAACATCTTAGAGAAATGTTCTATTGTCTCCATCGGGATTCAGTTTCAAGCCTTGGACGAAGCGACCAACCAGATTCGTTACGCCGGATGGAACACTGCAGTCCGAACGTATGCTACGTGCCAGATCTCAAATTTATTAGGTACGGTCTTCTTCAACCTGACGCAAACCTACAACTACGTTCCATCATCGACAACGCTCTCGCGGATGAAGGGTCGCTCCTCGGGTAGGGAATTCCTCACCCATAACAAGCAGACTCGCGCGAGCCTGTGGTGGGGCGAGTCGCTCATGTCCAACTACTGGGGCTACACGACCTGGTTCATGCAACAATATCGCAAGAAAAAGATTGATGCGGGCAAGCAAGGGATCCAGAAGGGCCTGGTGTATCTCATGCCCACGGAATCAGTAGACGATATTGCCGACATAGACTTCTTCACTCCCAATTACCGCTTCATCGTGGCCAGGGATAACGGCATGGGTTTCAAGAACATCTGGCCCGGCAGTGGCAACGAGAATTCAACCACTCTGGGCGACCTCAACAGGCGAAGAGTCTATCCCAACATCTGGGTACCGGTTGACATGCTAGCCAAAGCAGCCTACTCGACTGTCCTCGCAGACTTGGGACAGGTCGAGACGCCAAACATCCTCAACAACGAGACAGCACTTGAGTATTTCACGGCAAATTTCACCTCTATACACGAATACCTGTCAACTGATCGATTCGGCCCGGAGCGCGATCCCTTCGATGCCCAGCGCTCGACCAGCGGTCCTCTGGGCATCGTTTCCTCCGTCATCAGGAAGCAATACTACTGCCAGGTGCCGCAGTTAAAGTCCACGGGTGATCTGGTCCTTTCAATCATGATCGCCGACTTGGTGCTCTTGCAGGCGGCGTGGCAGCTTTTCAAAGTCTTTACCGAGTGGTTGGTGACGAGGAATGGGGGCGACGGAACATCCGATCCAGATGGCACGGCCGAACAGGGGCGTACTTCACCAAACCCATCATCCGTCACTTCTACATCGTCCACCGGCGACTCCGGCATAGGAGCGTCGATGGATGTGGGTATCATTCAACGCACGTCGGACGCTACAGGTAGATCTATCTCGCCGGACGCTGTACCACAGCCATCGGAGATCATCCCTTTAACAACGCTTTCCGGTCAAGAACACGGTGCGCATATTCCTCAGCATACAGCGGAATCCGCCACCGGCCCTGGCCATGGGCCGTAAGTGTTGGAAGCGTGAGGCGATTGAGACTGGCTCTACACGATGACGAGTCGTAGTATTGCGGAAGCAACATGGACACGCGTTCGTGAGGAGTATAGGGGGTTGTGTAGCGATCCGTGGTAAGTGATGTGACGAGTGACGCGTTGGCAGGGATAGGAGGCGACGTTTGTGGTGGTATTTGTGCTAAGCATTTCATCTTCCCCGCATGGGATCCATTTGTGTTCCTTGGATAAATGTGTAGATAAACATAACATTGTATCTATGTACTGCGCCATCTGTTTGCTCCTGCCGGAGCAGCTCAAGCACCGCGACCTCGTCCGATGATGTGGTGTATGTGACGTGAAAACCGGATTTGATTAGTCGCGGAGTAAGTCATGTGCCGCTTCCGAATGCCTGGTCTACTTAACAAAACGTTCACCATACAGGTCTCTCCGATACGATCTTGACAAGTCTGCAGCTCCGTGCTGCTGATCTCAGACGCCTCTCCACTGTTGGTTAGTTGACTTTAGCAATCACAGTTCATCACAAGGATATTTGGATTGGGTTTCGCACCTCTTTTCCATCCTTCTCATACTGCAATGCGCACCGTACAACTGTTCCACGCAAGCTGCTTCATCTTTGTAGTCCTTGGAACTATACATGAGATCCGCGAGCGTGTTCAAGATGGTTTGGTTGATGGGTGGAGGTGCGGCTTGCGTGTGAGCCAGGAGGCGATAGGTGACTTGCACTGTGCGAACAATGAGGCCATGCAGGGGCGGTGCGAAGCTAGTTCTGTTGCGCATTGCGAAAAGGATTGTTGGCTATGGGGTGTGAGATACAGGAAGGGGACTGCGAAAATGACGGGTGTGTGTAAGACAATCTGGTTCAGTGGAGCAAACAACAACAGGCGCAAGCGGAGGCAACATGTCAAGCACCGCGCTTGACTACGTTGACGGTACAGTTGATCTGCTGGCTGCGAAATGTGAATGACATAGATTCGGCTAGACAACGCGGTCGCTCACATCTTCGCCCTATCCCCATGATCCGCATTCACAAGAACATAGCGATACCGTGCATGTCCCTCCTCCATATCAACCACACTCTTATTCGCATCTTTCATATTACGCTTCTGCACCCAAGGCTTAATCCCCTTATCAGCCGCGAACTGGAGCATCTCCTCAATCTCCTTGGGACTGCCAATTTGACTACCCCCAATCTTGCATCCTTTGCCAATAAGGCCGAACGCGGCGATTTGAGGAAGCTTGTCTTCTGGTGCGCCGACCTGGATGAATGAACCGCCTGTACGGAGAAGACGAAGATACGACTCGAGCGGCATGTCTGGAGAGGAGACCGTGCTGACGATGAGGTCGAGGGTTCGGCTATGGTTACGCGCCCACTTGTCATCTTCAGAGGTGGCGATGTAATCTGTTGCACCCATAGCTTTTGCGTCGTCGACCTTATTCCTGCGTCGACTTATCGCTACAACCTTTTCGCAGCCGAGTGCTTTCGCGAATAAGACACCGAAATGGCCTAGACCCCCCAACCCTACGATCCCTACCTTCTTCCCGGGACCTGCGCCGTTGTTCTTCAGTGGCGCGTAGACGGTGATGCCGCCGCACATCATAGGCGCCGCTTCTTCGCTCTTCAACCCAGTGGGTATCTTGATAGCGAAATGCGCTGGGACGCGGACATAGTCTGCGTATCCGCCCATGCTCCAGCTTCCATCCGGGTACCTCGCATTGTACGTGCCCACCATCTTCGGACAGTGCTGCTCAATGCCAGCGTTGCATTCCTCGCAGTCGTCCTTCAAGCAGCTGAACGCCTGCGCGCCTACGCCCACTCTGTCGCCTAAGCGCAGGTCCTTGACTTTGTTTCCCACGCGTACGACGTTTCCGACGATTTCATGGCCGACGCATACGGGATAGTGGGTTGCGCCCCAGCCAGAGCGCAGAGTGTGTATGTCGGTGCCGCAGATGCCGCAATGGGAGACTTTGATGTCGATGTCGATGTCGTTGAAGGGCTTGGGTTGGAAGGATGACCAGGTCATGTTGCCCTGTGCGGCATTCTTATCGTGGCCTAGCCAGCCGTGGAATTCGGAGGGGGAGGTCATCTTCGTTGGAAAACGGGGTTTCTGACAATTCTCAGGCGGGGTAAGATAGTTCGAGCTATGTCAGTATAATGATATAGAAATTGATCGCAGTGTTAGCTATCACGGAATGAAAAAAAAAATAGTAAACATCGAGCGTTGAGAGCTGCAATCACGCATCGCGCAGCTGGGACCGAGGATGGCCGACGTCATGGTGTTGGGACAATGTTATCCGAGGCATCTCGCTGCAGCTTGAGCGGGGCTTACGGTGCATCAGAAACAGCAACCATGATCATCGCAAGGACTTGTGATGGAGTCAACGGCGCGAGCTGGTGTTTCTGTAGGTGTCGAGAGCGAACAATGAAGCTGTGGGTGATGTTGGGGATTGTGAGTACTGGAGGTGCACTGTCGCGCTAAAACGCGACCATCAGTCAGCATCTTCAACGCATATTGATAGGTCACTATGCTATACAGCTAGGATTCTCCTATTCTTGATTGCACCGTTTCAAAGTACAGAAACAAGGCATATTTTGTCAAATGCCAAGCAGTTTATGAGATTGCTCAAGCGTCCGTTCACTTATGCTACATTACAGCGACGCGACGCATTGACAATTGCCGCGAGAACGTCTATCGCCCCCCTAAGCCTCAGTCTTCTTCATCCCCTTTGTAAAAAGCGGACTCTGTTTAACGCGTTCCCAATCATGAAGCATCATAGTATTCGCCGTGCCATCCCTAACCTCTGTGCCTCCCCGCCTAATCATCTCCTCTTCAAACGCGTCCACCGCAGCTTTCCTATCCTCGCCAGCCTGGATCTTAGTAATAGCTTCATACAGCTTCCCAGCGTCTGTAACAGAGTGATTGAGGCCTTGACCTCGCTGGTACGTCATCGGATGTACAGCATCGCCCATCATAGTAATTAAGCCGCGATGGTTATCCCAGCGGTGGCCTTCCATGCCCGGGTCCCAGTCCGTGAGCCCGAGGTACCACACAGGCGTGCAGTCTGGCGTCCATTCAAACGCACTCCTCCACGGGTCGCAGAACTCTTTTGCGAATTCTTTTTGTTGCGCGAGGCGCTGGGCACCGGTCCAGTTCTTGGTGGCTTCCTGCTCTTCCAAACTACTTCGCCATGAGATGTAGTAAAAGAAGGTCCAGGAAGCCGGGTCATCTTCGTCCGGCGCATCATGCATGCCGAAGAAGGCGAAGTTGTTATTCGGGTGCGCACATGCTAGATATAGCGGGTGAAATGACCTCAAGAAACGGGCTTGCTCGGCGGTAAACTTGCACTGGACAAACGTGCACGCATACGGTATGTGGTTGATGGAGCCCAATTCCTTGCCGAGTAGAATCTGCCTCGTGGAAGAGCGCGCTCCATCCGCGCCAACCAACATGCGTCCCGTCGTCGAAGTTCCATCGGCGAAATGTGCAGTGACTGAGTCATCATCAGGTGAGTATGAGACGTCGTGTAAGCGCTTGTCGAACTGTATGTCAAGGCCTTGCATTAACAAGTCGCGCAACTTGCTCCTCCGTAAGCGGTAGAAAGGCCCGAAGGTGATGGCTGCAACCAGCGCTCCGGTATCGCCTCGCAGCCACTTCAACGTGTCCTGCTCTTTCGTGGGGACATTTGGATCGACCTGGACGCTCTGGATGCGATCCCACCAGCCATCTGGCATGAGGCTTTTCAGGACTGGCGCGCCCCAGTGAAGCCCCATGTTCCAGTCGCGTTCGCCATGCGTGGCACCGTTCTTCTCGAACACGACGCACGGGATATTCGCCTAGTTAATCGAATGAGGCTACCCTTTGCATTACACAGACGGTGTACATACTTTGCGGAGCCCCTGTGCGAGTGCAAGTCCAGCGGTTCCTGCGAGCTGGTCAGACCGACCGTCGTGCAGCATGTATGCGGCGTCAACCGTCGCTTACCAGAGCCAATGACGAGGATAGGGAGCTGCGCCGCATGCGCTTCGCCGTCGGCAGTTGGTTTTTCCATGTCAAGTCGCCAGAGATCATCGATGGATTTTGGTCATACTCTCAACCTGTTCTTCGTCTTCTACAACAAAGTTCGAGTATCCACTGTAGAGGTGCTCTTGGCCCACCCTCTCCAACCCGTGCCGCTTGCTAAAAGGGCCGATTAGGCAACGGGCGATGAAAGGAATGACGCCGTTTGCGGGCCGCAAATGAGCCAGTCCATCAATCACGCGATGCATTCATCGACACCCTCCTTTTCGACCTTGTCGGAATGCTCGCCAATGGCCTGCTGCCTCAGACACCCAGAGTCTTCGTACAACATCGGTAAAGTGCTGCCATGGACGCGCTTACCCCGACGCCTGTAACTGTCATGCAGGCGATGCAGCACCGTTCCTTTTGGACGTGCATTATACGCGCTTGAACGAATCACAGCGACCGGAGCAGACGACCGGTCCGCTGGATCTGCTCGAGGATGCTGCGCGAACGCGGCGCCATCGGTGCAATGCTCCACTTTGCCAGAGACCCCTCGCCCATTGACCGAAGCCACCAAACGAGAGTCAGCGGCGGGCCAGCGTCCAGCACCTTCCCAGTGCATCGGCTCCAACTCTCCAATATGTAACCTGCTGGCTTCCGCGCGTCGCGTCGAAATCTCCCACACCTCCTCCCCGCGCACTCACACGACAGCATCATGGCGTCTTCATCCTCTCAGAAGCCTTTCGAGGGCATCGGCTTGCACCAGCAGGATAGCGCCGTACATCTAGGGGACGACGCGCCTTCCTCGTACCCACAACAACACGCCCCTGTACACCACGCAACGCCACAAGACTCCGAAGCTTCCCCCGTAGACGACGATGATGGTCTTGGCTTCTCGTCCGACTCAGCCTTCGACAGCGGCAGCCTCCTTGGCGACGAGACCGATTCGCTAGCCTCGTCTATCCTCCACCACCGCATGGAAAATGGCAGGCAGTACCACGCATACCGCGACGGCGCATACTGGGGACCGAATGATGAGCTGGCCAAGGAAATACTGGATTTCGCGCACCACATGTACCTCCTGACGCTCGACCAGAAGCTGCATCTCGCGCCGCTGGTAAACCCACAGACGATATTAGATTGCGGCACAGGAACCGGTATATGGGCCATTGTACGCTCCCCAATACCAAGGACTCCTCCAACGCAGGCTAATATGGATACTTATAGGACATGGCCGACCAATACCCCTCCGCAACCGTAACAGGAACCGACCTTTCCCCCATCCAACCCGAATGGGTCCCCCCAAACTGCCACTTCGAAATCGACGACGTCTCGCTCGAATGGACTTTCCCACCCAACCACTTCGACTTCATCCACATCCGCGAACTCTTCGGCTGCATCCCCGATTGGGATTTCTTCTTCCAGCAAGCCTACAAGCACACCAAACCGGGTGGCTGGATAGAAATAGTAGAGCATTCCGTGTGTCCTACATCTGACGACGGAAGCATGGGGCCAGACCACTTCTACCATACCTGGGGGAAAGTAGTCGTGGAGATGGGCGATCGATTTGGCAAGACTTTTACGATTTGGGAGGAGAGTGCCGAGAGGATACGACGAGCGGGGTTTGTGGATGTGACGGTTATGGAGTATAAGTGGCCGATGAATGGGTGGCCGACGGATAAGAAGTTGAAGAATATTGGGAGGTGGAATCAGTTGCGGTTGATGGATGGGGTGGAGGGGTTTATGTTGAGATTGCTGACGCAGGTTGGCGGGGTGAGTATTATTATGGTTGGTATGATGGATGTGGCTGACATGTTCTAGTGGTCCGTCGCACGAGCTCAATTGCATCTAGCGCAGATGCGCAAGGAGTTGAAAAGCTACCGGACGCACGCGTACTTGCCCGGAACGGTCGTTTACGCTCGGAAGCCCATGAAGTGAAAGATGGGCATGTTGCATCGACCTCACACACTCCGAGATACGGCTCCACGCTCGGGCTCAACTCTTCCCAGTATCTAGAGACGAACCGGCTTGACTGCGATTGCAACGACTCTGGCGAGTAGCCTTGGAACCAGCGCGTATCTCTACCCATCACACATATGCAACAGCATGATGGAATGTCATGAAGGAAGCATGTCATTGGATATCGGATCTACACAGATCATGAATCTTTTTGAGGAGAAGAGGAACCGGCTCCAGTTTCGGACGTGAATACCCGAATTTCCGCAGCCTTATCCAGCTTCCAACATAGTGGTCAGAATTGCCATCATGGCTCATCGACACACGACGACCGTTCACTCTTAAGTGCGTGGGCAGTCGACGGACTTGCACTTGAGGCAGTTATCTCCCGCAGTGCTCGCGCACAGGCACAGAGCCTTGCATATCATATCGTCGCTGCCGCACTTCTTGCTACATTCGTACCCGGCATCGCGGCAAGCTTGACAGTGTTCACTGTTGACGTCGTCATCGTCGCTTCCCTCTCGAGCGTTGGCAGCGGCAGCGACTTGCTCGTAGTCGGCGGTTTCAGGGCCAGCAAGAGCGTTGTCGTGGTCGGTTAACTGCCATCGCTCGCAGCCTTGGGGAGCCTCGACGCAGCCTATGTTAGAGTTAGTATAGATGGAAATGCGAAGAAGCTCTGGCATCTACAGAATGTTGTCACGTACCTTGTTGGCGACAAATTGACTTTGGGTTCGAGTGCAAGAAACAGGCGCAGTAACCCCCGCAATGGGGACCAAAGCCGCACTTCTCGAGGCAATACGGCAAGCCAACGTCGCAGCCCTGTGTTGCGCAGGTGTTGTCGTTGCCGTTGACATCAGCAGTCTGAACAAAGTCCTCGGGGGCGTCTTCGTTGTAATTGATGTTCTCGGGGTGAATCTGACTAGCAGTCTCGGACGAAGCTTGACCAACGGTCGCGGACGCAGCCTGATCAACAGCCACGGAAGTAGCTTGGTCTCGACGAACCTTGCCACTGAGTTCGTACTTCTCGCAACCTGTAGGAGCAGTCCTGCACGCTATGCTTTGTATTAGCAAAAATCCCAACTCCCACCCCATGCCTGCCGTAGGGTATCAGCTGTTCCACATACCGTCATTCTTACACACGACAGTATCCTTGCCTATCCTATCGTGCAGCTTGCACTCGCAGTAGTGCCTGCAGTGAGGGCCGTAGTTGCACTTGTAGACGCATTCCCTCACGAGATTATCGTAATCGATCGTCTCGGGTTTATTTCCTCCGCCTGCGCTTGCGAGAGCGGCGAGGCTGACGAGTAGAAGGAAGATGGTGGTGAGGAAGCGCATGGTGGTTCGTGGACTGGCTGTTGGGTGATTTGAGTTGGTGGGGGAGAGGAAGGAAGGTGGGAGGCAGGTGGAAGTAGGCGGAAGGAGCTTTTTGACTGAGGAGGTGAGAGCGCGGTGGTGGTACGTCACTACCTGGGCTCGCGTTTGTAAGTGGGGAAAGAGCTAAGTAGGTTGCAAGGAGTGTCCGAGCGCAGAGTGCGTGAGTGAAGGTGAATGGAAGGTGCGCCTTGCGCGCAATGGATAGTGGCCCGGGGGCAACACATCGCGTGACGCAGTCGAGAGAGTACGAGGCTCTGGTACTGCTTTCAGAGGAAAGCCCAACACAACGGGGAAGCTAAAGACGGGTATGACTTTGTGGATCTTCGTCGGCGTTTCGATGTTATCTACTCTTGCCAATATCACGTAACTCGATACTCGGCTCTCTCTTCACCACAATCTCCTTCCGCACCCAGATATCGACGTCCTTGTCTCTCCTCACAACAGACGGACTGCGATTCTGTTGACTACCAATCTTGATGTAACTCGACAGATGCCCTGTAACACCCGCGGATGTGTAACCCGACGTCGTAGCAACACCCGCATGTTGTGCGCTAAGCAGACCAGAGTCGAGACTCATCATAAAAGGCTTCAGGAAGGGGATGGTCGAGGTCATTATGCTGGCCACTTGTACGATTTGTCCGCAGACGACGATTTGCCATATTGAGTGGAGAAGATCGCTGTTTGGGGGTAGGCTGCGGATGTATGCGATCTGGGCGGCTGAGGCAAAGACGACGCTGTGACCGTGTGTGTTAGTTTGGGCTGAATGATAAGATGGATTGAGAGTGAGTAACACGGCTTACACTATGCGAGACCAGAAGCCTGTGATGAGTGTGAAACGTTTTTCGGGTGTGATTTGGAGAGGTAGTACCATCAGTGTCGGTACACCTGCGAGCGCAAGGTCGGTCGCGATGTTCATGACAGCATTATAGGTGCGTACGGCGCACTGGGCAGTGTTAGCCGCTGATTTATAATACGAGATGTAGTTGATCAAACTTACCAGATCCATACACCTCGGGTTCGTGATATCCCATCTTTGCGGAGACGGGCATTGGAATGCAATAAGGAAAACGGCGCTCAACCCCCATAGCACCGTCAGAACACCTGTAACGCGCATCATCCTCCAGTGTGTGTCGATAGGCGTCACTGACGCCAGTGAGACGAGTAAAGAGCTCTTGGCGGCGACGATTGCAAGGATGCTCAGGATCTCGCTGCTGAACAGAGCCTAACACTGTCAGCGTTGCGTGCCAAAGTCTCCGTACTCTATACCTTCCAGGCCCCATTAATTTGATCCGGTTCGAGGCCAGATTGTAGATTCCCAATCGGCTGACCCGCTGGACTGAGGAGAGTCGCTGTCTGTCCTGCTGCGAAGACCTGCAACGCTGTTTGTCAGTGTACATAGTCATGATTCTCTTGCTCAGAGACCTACCAAAGCCACTAGTAGCACAAAGTCGGCTTTGACAAGACGCTTGGACATGGCTTTCTTCGTCGCAAATTGCGCTACGACTGCTAGTATCGAGAAGGCAAGGAATAGCCATGCGAGAATCTGAATCAATGGCGATGCGTGGCCTTCGTGAAACGCAGGACGCTTACCAGCGTCCATAGCCTTGCGTCGAGAAAACATGATAGGGGAAGGGGGGGGGTTTGAGTGAAAGGCTGCGATGTCCCGATGGTCGACCGCGAGGTTGCGGCATTAGGGATATGTTCCAACGCGAAGAACACAGCCTTCTCCTGTCGTTATCTCTGCGCCTCAATCCAACATGCTGACACCGCATGGTGTCCACGGACATCTCAAGGCGAGAAACAGAACCTGGTACTGCTTCCATCTTACCTGGGAGTTCTTCATCGAGGAATTACTGAGCCCGCTCGGCTGGTATCACCCCCACGTAGGCGTGTGAACATGCTCCTTTCAAGAGCCTGCATGCACGATTAGCTAGCACAAGCGAGGGCACGAAAGAAGCTTGCTACACTATTACTACCCTCACGGGCAGCTTGCATATGCGTTGCAAGTATGTTGTGATGTTCAGACGATGTAATAGGTCGCTTAGAAGATCTGCGCCACATGCGTGCAGACGTCCATATTACACCACCAATGAGACGAGAAGCAGACCGTGTGCACATTTCGATAAGACGCAAAGAGGAAGGCAGCGGTAAACGAGCCTTGCGGGACATACCGTGGGCGTTTATGCGACCATGGCGGCTGCTCAAGACGTCCCATGCTTGACCAACGCTAAGCCTCGCTCGGGACGGTAGCGTCCGCGGCACCTTGACCAGCTTCCACCCGGATCCTGCAGGATGCGGACTGAGCAGGGGTTTATTCATTGAGGTAAGGGTGCGATTGTTGGGCTGGGAAGAGCTGAGGAATCGAAGTCGATTCACGCTGTACAGAGCGCCTGTGTGACACTGAGCTGATGGTATATTTGGTGTGTACGCAAAATCGCGAGTTTGTGTCTCATGTCCGAATGTGAACGAAGTTGCGCATGAGAGAGCAGCATCCATCCTGAGAAGGCCGTTATCAAGACCCCCGCGCGGCATGCAGTGCGGCAGAGAATGCGGCACAGCATGTAACCTGCTGCATGTGTTTAGCGAGACAATCTGGATGAATCTTCGCATAACCGACGTTTGAACGCGACGCTGCGCATTATAGCGAGTCAAAGTGCCTACATTTCTTTTTGTTTGCCTCGCCCCCGTTACAGTGCCCGTCACTATCTCTTGTGTCTGATTACCTCTGTACATACTGATCCGAAGTCATGGAACTTGGCAACCGAACGAAAGCTGAAGCTGTCACTTCAGCCATCGAGGACGCTGAGCATGATGGTTACACTCGAGATGACAGGGATCTCATGCGATTGGGCAAGAAACCGGTGCTGAAGCGCAACTTTGGCTTCATGCAAATCTTGGGGTTTGTAAGTTTTTGGTGTACGGGATACGTGAGACATACACTGACTGGGTCTTCGTAGTCGTGTACTGTGTTGGTGACTTGGGAAGGTATTCTCCAAGTTTCGACTCCCAGTCTTCTCAATGGTGGTCCCGCAGGCGTATTCTGGGGCTATATCCTCATATGGATTGGTTCGTTGTCCATCTATACGGTTTTGTCGGAGTTGTCGTCGATGGCGCCTACGGCAGGTGGACAGTATCAGTAAGGAGACCGGTCATGATATTTTTCCTAGCTGACATACTCCTAGCTGGGTTGCTATGTTAGCCCCGCCATCGTATAGAAGGTTTCTGAGCTACATCACCGGATGGGTAACACTCATTGGCTGGCAGGCCACTACCGCCTCTTCTGCATATCTTGCAGGAACCATTCTGCAGAGCACTATACTCATGTGTGACGAAAGTTACTCACCAAAGCCGTACCAGGCAATGCTGCTTGGTTGGGCTGTGCTCGCTTTCGCAGTCATCATCAACACCGTTGGAAGCAAAACACTTGCACACTTCGAAGGCTTGATCTTGATACTCCATATCCTGGGCTTCTTTGCAATCTTGATCCCGCTTGTGTATCTCGCTCCTCACAGCAATGCCTCAATATTCACCACATTCGTCAACTCCGGGGGCTGGTCGACGCAGGCGCTTTCTTTCATGGTCGGACTTCCATCATCCGTGTTCGCCCTTGTTGGTAAGTGATTTTCCTGATTATGTCTTAGGGCCAACATCGATGCTAACCCTGATAGGTGTTGATTCATGTGTGCATGTAAGCTGCTCTTCCGCCGATCGGTTGCGGTTGTGCTAATCCAAATGTAGATGGCCGAAGAAGTCAAGAATGCGTCCAAAGTTGTTCCACGAGCTATCCAGATCAGCGTGTTGTTGAACGGCACACTTGGTCTCGCGATGCTGATTGCGTATTTGTTCTGTCTTGGGGATCTGGACGATGTCCTGGCGTCGTCAGCAACACTTGGATACCCTTACCTATACGTGTTCTTGAAAGGCACTGGGTCAGCTGCTGGGGCTGCGACCATGGCTATGATCATGTGGACCCTTGGCGTCTGCTGTCTGGTGGGCCTCATGGCTGCGACTTCCCGACAGATGTGGTCTTTCGCCAGAGACAACGCTATGCCATTTTCTGCTCAAGTCACCAAGGTGAGCAGCTTTCCCCAGTCATAGCAATCTTAATGCTAACGCTCGCAGCTCAATCCCCGAACGCTCATTCCTGTCAACACGATCCTCATCACTGCTGTCATCAGTGTGCTTTTGTCATTCATCGCACTCGGCTCGTTTGTCGCCTTCAGTAACATCGTCAACCTCAGTATCGGCGGCCTTTACGCTTCATACTTCATCGTCTGCGCCCTACTTCTGTGGCGACGTCTGAAGGGCATAAGCCCCTATAACGCGCGAGCAGCGATGGTAGGACCAGAGACGTTGCAATGGGGCCCTTGGAAGGTTCCGGGCGCATTTGGTATCGCCAACAACATCTTCGCCTGTGTCTATCTCTTCGTACTGTGGTTCTTCTCGTTCTGGCCGGGCTCGGTTGAGGTTGATGCGCAATCGATGAACTTCAGCTCAGTCACATTTGGAGGAACGGTAATCTTTGCCGTCGTCTGGTATTTTGTCAGAGGCAAGAAGACATATGTTGGCCCGATCGTCGAGGTAGCCTTGTAGTAGCTCGAGGTGAAGAACGACTTCAAGTTCGAGCGCGAAGCTCAGTAGAGCCAAGTGCGACTTCCAACGTCCGCATAACAAACACACTAGCTTGCGCGGGCTTTCATTCTGCACGTAAACATGCGCAGGGCGCAACAGAGCCCGTAGCGCCGTTGCGACGAGAAAGAGAGACTACACTATCGCGATAGATACATAGACATCGATAGAATGAATAATGAGAAGCAATCGTGCATCTCAAATCCCTTGCGTAGGTAGATGGCGATGTTGCTGAAGACTCAGGTGTGTTGCGAGACCCACGTCATTGCCGCGACTCGCTTAGTCATCGTCACGTAAACAATAGCACACTATGTATACGCTTCCATCACATAGCGATAAGTTCCGTAAATCTAAGCTCCTGCATCACTTCTAGAGCTTCACACCATAGAACGATAGCCTTTGTGCTCACGGGTAAATTCAGTTTGGGCTAAATAGGTGTTGTAGTCTACAATAGATAAATGAAGAGCAATGCTGTATTAACGTCCATCTACATGCCAAATATATACGTAAATAGCTGTAAAGACATGGATCCGCTCGTGCCTGCGACCGCAAGACCACCCACGATACCCTAGAAAGAACCCATTTACCCCTTCCATAAGCCCTATCCCTTGGTATCTCAAGAATGCACAATATTGACATGAACAAAAGACTAACGAGAATACAAAAGCGAAGACAAAAATATACTACAACACGAACAATAAAAACACGAAGCGAAAAGCCGACCTGGGCCAAAGGAAAAGAGACGCAAAATAAACACAATGAGGAGTCAAAAAAACGCGAAAGCAAGAAAACAAGTACCTCTCAACCATGCTTATGAAACAAACTCCTCAGCCCCGAACTCCACTTCCTCACATGCCCATGACCCTTATGTACATGTTCCTCAGCACCACTAGTCGTTGGTCTATGACTCAATCTATGCCTGATACTATGACTTGTCTTGGGTCGTTCAGGCGTCGAGGGTGCAGTCTTGGTCTCAGGCGTCATAGGAGCGGTAGGAGCGATGTAAGTGCTATGCCTCGAATTGGCGTTTACGGTGGAGCGAGGCGAGAAAGAGGATATGGCGTGGGAGGTCTTAGGGCGGTCGGGTGTTTGGGGGGATGAGGTGCCGATGCGGGGGGAGGGTGTGGTGGTGCGAGCAAATTCGGTGGTGTTGGTGAGGGGGTTGGGTGTCATGGGACGGGATTTCTTGCGGAGGAGGTTTTGGGGACGTTTACTGGGGGGTTTTGTTAGTTCTTGGAATTTCATGATGTGGTGGTCTGATGGAAGAAGCTTACGTTTTAGTCTCCTTCTCCAACCGGTGGAGTTGCGCGTCTGTGTCCCGCAGAGTCTTCTTGAGGTTGTGGCGCGATTTCTTCATGCCTTTGAGTTGGACGGCTGCGTCGTCGCGTTGCATGCGTATCTTTTCTATTTGCAGGCCCCAGGAATCGGGTTCTCCCTCATGGGATACGGTACTTGCGCTGGTTTGCGGCCTCTCATATTGCATGCTGATGTGTCCGATCGAACTCCTGGTATGAGACGAGATGGGGCTCGGAGGAGCGGTGTCGTAAGAGCCGTCCTGGATGGTGATGTGGCGGGGCGACGAAGTGCGATTTAGTTCGCTCGATTCCTTGTTCTCCTTCGGCTCATCCCACTGCTCCAGGGCCTCCAGGTGTCTGATCTTATCTTGCAGTGTCGCGATCAATGTCTCGAATGCTCGCTTGTCGTCTCGCAAGGCCTTTACTTCCTGCTCGAGCGCAGTGAATGATGCAGCATACTCATCTTGATGGTGCCGCATCTCTTCAATCTCAGTCATCTTCCTCTCCAGTTCGGCCTCTAGACGAACAGCGCTGTCGTGATTGCCGTCTAGCTCTCGATGCTGTTGCTGCTGCTCTTCAAACTTCCGCTTGAGACCGTCATATGCCGAGTTCATCGATCTTATCCTGCTATCGGTAGAAGATCCGAGTTCTTCGATGTACTTCTCCTTCTTCGATAGCTCTTCGACCAGCTTGCCTTTGCCCTGCTTGAGTGTACCCAGTTCTCGCGTCTGGTCGCCGATCTGTTGATGCAGATCTGAGTTCTCGTTGATGAGGATCTCAAGCTCGTTGTTTCTTTCTGAAAGCCTGCGCTTGTACCTTTGCTTGGAGTCCTTCGCGGCATCAAGCTT